CCCAGGCTTCTAGCCCAGATACTCACACTCATGTGTACATCTAGATGCCCAGACACAGGCACACATGTACATATTAACTTAAAGCACTCAGACCCACACCAGCCACGTGTATCAAGATGTACACAGTCCAGCTGGTATGCACACCCAGTCAGGCACACAATCAGACACCAGCAGCACTGCTTCAGACACACCCAAACGTGGCAGATGAAACACCAGCAGGAGGCTGAGCAAGCAGGCCCTGGTCTACACTAAAGGAGCCTAAGTCCACCAATGCCCGCAGATGGGGCCACCACCCACAGGAATCCTCTCCATCATGCTGATTTGCCAGAGAAGCCCCATTAGCCTGGACTTCCTCATCATCAACCGGGGCAGCTGCTCTCTGGGGGCAGATTGATTTATCCAACTAATTAGCCCCAATTAATATTAATACACATTTTCAACAACAATAGCAGCTCAGGCACAGAAGCTGCCCACTGGGGCCATCAATCACCATCCAGGGGACAGCAGAGGACACTCAGGAACTCCACAGCATGGAGAGACTATAACCCCACCCTCAGTGCTCCCAGAGTCTGCCACCATCAACGAAAGATGAGAACCCCAAGATCCACTGCTCCCTCCTCCAGCAGCTAAGGGGCCTGGAGTCCAGAAAGGGCATGTCATATCCCCCAGGCAATGCCAAATTCAGGCTCAGTCTCTGTCTCCTTGCCCTGCCTTCCCCTCCTTCTCTCTGCTACCACAGGAAGACTTGGCTCAGCCTTCGTCTGCTAATTCCATTCTAACCAGCCTCAACTGTCTTGAAATAGCCCCCTTTGAACTGTCAAAGCCAGCTTTTAAGACTTAAATTCTCCAGGTGCTTTGTCGCTAGTTCCCTATCCTTTGCACTAAGACTTGCTCAGAAAATGTTTTCAGAACTTCATGGAATGGAGTGCAGGTGGGTGAGAGTTCCTGTCTCAGTGAGTCTTGGGGAGGTCCAGGCACTCCCAAAAAGCTTCCATCTCTTTATGTCAACAAACACCCCAAGTAAGCGTATTACTAAGCCATCTATGTGCCCAGCACTGAGATAACACCAAAAACACACAGTCCCTGACCTCCACAGGCTCCATGAATGTGAATGGAGGAGAAACTGACAGGGACACAACTGATAGGGCAGAGCTGGGTGAACACTGCCTGACTGGACTCTCTGCTTTCTGAAGGAAAGGGCCCTATTCCAAAGTATGTCCATCTGCTGGGATGGAGGACCAAGGTTGTCCCTGGTGCTAGGAGCTGCTGTCTGCTCCTCTGCTGCCAGAGATGCTGGCTAGGACCCCCATCTGCTGCAGCTCCAGCTCCCTAAACGCCTGCGCCCTGGAGCTCTGCCGAACCGTGCTGCCAGAATAGCAGCGCATCTGCCAGCAGGGCCCACAGGAGAACTCCCCGACCATGCGCCCCAGCTTCACGGGACCCTGTGTGGATAAGGCTTCTATTTTCTTAAGCATCCTCCCGCCGTGTGACAGCTACACTGCCAGGGCGCCCACTGGATGTGCCACAGCCGTGCCTCTTCCCAGCCAGTTTTCCCATTACCTGGACATTCTGGGGACAAAGGCCAGACAGAGGAAGTATTGACAGAGACAAGACTGAAGAGTGTCCCAACCCTTGCAGAGGACAAAGGGGGCAGGTGACAAGGCTCTGACATCACGTTCTTCACTTAATGCCCCTCTAAGTGCCCTAGTTTGATCCTCAAAATTTCCGGATGGGGTTGTTCTGTAGTTTCCTGTTGCTTTCACCGCTTTGTACTCCCCCTAAGCAGACCCAGGGAGGTAGCTGAACAGGCCTTGCTCTCCCCAGAGTGGATATTCCGGGGGGGATTTAGGGACCAGTCTCTATTCACCCAGGGGACAACACATGAGGACATGTGGACGGAGTAGGCAGCTCTCGTCCTGGGGCTCCCGCCTCCCCCCAGGTGGATTACCTTCCAGTGGGGAGGAGGCTGCGCGTAGGTGGAAGTGAACACACTGAACACAGGCTGTCCCAACACCCTCAGCTTCCTGGCCATGTGGCACCTGCACCACATCCTGTGACACCCAGAGCTTGACATCTCAGCTGAGCTTGGGTTGCTACTCTGTTACCATAGTACCTCTCTGAACCAGGCATGGTGGAGCATGCCTTGAATCCCAGCACTCAGGAGGCTGAGGCAGAATGCTCACCATGAGTTTAAGGCCACCCTGGGCTACTTAGTGAGTTCAGGGCCAGCCTAACTTCTAAAATGAGACCCCGTCTCAAAAAATAAAACAAAAAAACCAGCCAAACAAACAAAAAACATATTACTCCACTGGACATTTCACCACCCTTAAGGGGAAAGTGTGTTTTCCACCTTAGAAAAAATGTTTCACAAAAACAAGGACCAAGGACCTTGTGAGCCTTTTACAAAGTGTTTGGCACATGGCTGGGGCTCCATGATAATTCTTCAGGAAGGAGTGGTGGTGATGGAGTCCTTCATTCCTTCTTTTATCTGTGTCCTCTGTACTTCTCTGTGGGCTCCTTCCTAACAGCATCCAATATGCCAAGTCAGATCTTAGGGTGTAAGAAAGGATTCTCAGGTTTACATCCACCACAGCCACTGCCCCATCGAGACATGTTCTCAAGTTCTCCACACTTCCTGAGTGTACTCCTTGCCTTCCTCTCCCTCCTCCACCCAACTCATCTAGTTCCTGCCCAGATCTTGGTTATATCAATCATGTCGGAAGCCGTCAGCCTGAGCCCTCTTGAAATGTGCTAATCTTTGGCCCATGTGCTTCTCAAATGTCCCCTCTTCCAGGAAGCATTCTCTGAGGCATGCTTCACACACACAATTGAAGCCAGATCAAGTTCCACTTGGTTCAGTCCCATAATATTCAGGACTTCTGCTTCATTGCAATCCTCCTAACACATTTTTGTGTAATTATGCATTTACTGATAGAATGAAAGTTGTTTTTTGTTTTGTTTTGTTTTTGACAAGGTCTGGCTATGTAGTTCAGGCAGGCCTTAGACTAGCCTTAAACTTGAGGCAATCCTTCTGCCTCAGCCTCCTGAATGCTGGGATTACAGGTGTATACCACCACACTGGGCCAAGCATGGACTATTTCTGATTGGCCACCCTGTGCATATTGTTCAGAGGAATTCAGTATAGTTACTGGATGGGTAAGGGAGTGGAAGAAGGACTGTAGACTGAGTAGGCAGCTCTTGTCCTGGGTGGGTAAAGATATACAGACCAGGAAAAAGCTCTAGGCTGAATATACATTGATGATTATTTGTCCTTATGGGCAATAATCAAAAATATGGTAGTAGATAAGATAAACGTAGGCTGAGGGAATCAGAGACTGACTGGGAAATCGCCCACTGAGGATGAAATGAGGAAGTAATATGGAGGTGGCAAAATGGGCTCACTGATAACAAGTCCTCCATTCCTCCTGTCTCAATGAGGCTCCACTGTATATCCACTGAGTACCAGGCACCATATGGGGCGCTGGGCTTACACAGCCAACTGCAAAGCCCTGACCCTGCATAGTGTTATCTGTCTAAGGAGGCCGGGACCACCACTCCTAACTCACAGGCAGGAGGGCTGGGGGAGTCCACCCAAGGCCAGCTGCTAGAGAAACATGGACCAAAAACATCTTACTGGGAAGCACATGAACTGACTATGTGTTCGTGTCTGAAGTGTGTGATATGTTCAGAGGAGCAGGTAGGTGTCACTTCTACCCTCAGCATATCTGCTATACCTATAGCATGTTCAATGCTTCTTGTACAAATGAGAAAAGTTTGTGTGGCTTGGAGTGGGACATGTGGGTTTCATATTTTCTCTGTACCCCTTACTGATTGGCCCTGGACAAATCAACAACTGGGCTTCAGTTCCTCATGTATAAAAAATAGTAATGCCCAATTTTCAAATGACACAGGGGGTTACCAGCTCCACAATCAAACAGATTACCAGATCTTACAGTTACACCACCTCTGCTTCAGACATAGACAGAAGCACAAGGCAGCGCTTGCAACACTGTCTGGCAGAGTTGTGGTCAGGGGTGAGTGGGCAGGTGAGAGGTGATGAGGGGCAGTGTCCAGCACAGCTAGTGCAGGGTCCAAGGGCAGGGAGGTGGGAAACACGCTAGATGCTCAGCATCACTCAAAGGCCAAGTGTGGCCTTGGAGGCTGGAGCCAGGAGTCAATGGATATTAAAGACATTAAGTGTATTCATATTTGCACTTAAAAAGGCCCCCTCACTGCCCTACATGAAGAGTAGACAGACACAACCACAGCGGAAGCAGGCAAGGCACACAAGGAGCTGTGACAGTGGACATGGTGAGAAGGGAAAAGACCTTGGAAACAGGTGACAACCTTGTGACCTCGAAGGTTTTGAGTCCAGAAGACAGGTGATCAGAAGGGAAGAGTTGACTCAGGCACTCCTTCCCCTGGCGATGTGCTTGCTGTGTCTCCATGTCGTGCGACATCAGAAGGGGCTGGACATGACGTGAGGCACTAACAAAGGCTGACCCAGGTTTCAGTTCCAATTCCCCACTTCCTGCCATGGGACCTCAAGCACAGCACATAGTCTTTCTGTAAAATGGGGGCAAAATACCTACTAAAGGGTTAATGGGATGATTAAATGACATGTTAGCTCCGAGGGCCCAGAAGGTACATGGCTCACTGTAGGTACTCAGTAAGATGATCTAGATCCCTTTCTTCCTCTTCTAATGAAAAGTTACCTTATCTCTCCATGCATTAAATATTCAAGAGTCTTTGTTAACACACCCACCTGCCTTCACGCTAGAAATATCCTCTAGAATGTAAGCTCCAAGAAGACAGAAACCAAGCCTGTGTCATCCATCACTGTAGCTCAGGACCCAACACAGTGCCTGGCCCCCCTACTAGATGCTTTCTTAATTTCACAGAAGTAACTAAGCACCTTCCACATATCATTCATGCCAAGAATACAGTCATAAACAAGAAAAAGTATGGTTGCTTTAGTAGAGGAGACAAAAACACATAAATGATTTTAGATAGAAAGAATTCTATTTTTAAAGAAAATGTACAAAGGGTAACATGTTAGAAAGTGACAGCTGGTGTGAGGGAAGGTGACACAGAGGAACAGCTAACACAAAAACTCTGAAGCAGAGACCAGCTCCAGATGACCAAGAAACCAAAGTGCTTGTGTGGCCAGAGCACAGTAGATGAGAGGAAGAAACCTACAAGAGGAGACTGAAGAGGTGGACAGGAGCTGTGTCCCACGAGGAGACTGGATTCTATTCCAGTGGGAGGTCTTCAGCAGAGTGATTCAACTATGACTGACTCCTGAAGGATCACTCTTGAAGGGACTGAGGGCTGGCAAACATGGAAGCAGGGAGGCCGAGGGCTAGGAAGTTACCACTCTACCTGGATGAAAGGCGGGTAGCTGGGACGAAAGCATGATGGTGGACATGTACCACAGTGGATAGCTTTGTGCCTCTGTGACCCCTTCTCTTCCCTCAGCTGCAAGGGGCCCCATCCTTGTGCCCCCTTGACCTGGCCCAGGTTATTGATAGATTCTGCCAGCCTGAGGCTTAGCTATCTCTAACATGACATCCACCCAACTTGGTACCAGGCCCAGAGAAGCAAGAGTTACTCCAAGAGTAACTTCTACGTTCTTCTAGTTCCAGAAATAAACCCCCTGCTCCTTTTTTGCATAGGTGCTGAGCCCTCTCCAATCCCAAGACTCTACAACCACCCAAGTGCCCTACCCCAGCCCCCAGTTAATGTTTCCTGTTTTTGTGCATACATGTGTGGCTTCAAATCAGTTGTTGCTATGTCATGTTACCCAACTCCCAAACTCCTCCTCCAGCCAGACCTGATAAAAGCACTTCTACTTTGTTCCAAGAGTGCTTGCTTCTCTTCTGTAGCCCTCCTGTGCCCACAATAAAGGCCTCTTTTCTGCTTTTTTTTTTTTTTTTTTTTTTTTTTGTCTTTTTCATTTTTATCGGTACCAGGGATCGAACTCACGACTGCCTGCTTGCAAGGCAGGTGCTTATGCCGCTGAGCTAAATCCCCAGCCCCTGCTTTGTCTTTCTTATCACGACAAAAATCTTATCAGTCACTAGGGAGCAGTTGTGTATGTCAATTCCCTCTCAAGGATGGCAGCCAGGCTTCCGTCTCCAGCCCCACTAAGCACAGGGCTGGATGTAGCCAGACTAGGGGTCTGGAAGGCTGAAATCAAGAACCAGCAGCGAAAGAATAAAGGAATGGCATCCCCACCTTGGGTCTGAAAGGACAAGTCTACCAGTCACTGAAAGAGAAATGGGTGGGAGAAACAGGAAGCTGGCACAGGTGACAGATGGTTTTATGGGACAATGAGAGAAAATTACAACAGCTATTATAAGGCAGTTGTCAAGTTAGGAGGAACCAAGGCAAAGTGTGGCAAGAACCTACTTATCTCAATCTAGGTGTCTCAATGCAGGTTGGGCCCTTGAGTCAGCCACCCCCAAGGTGTGGGTCCTCCAGATAGGGCAGTTTGGTAGGGGCATGGACTCCAGTGGGCAGTAAGCTGGGAGGAAAGGCACCGAGGAACAGGGAAATCAGGGTGGAGAAGAAAGCCTTGGAAAGGCAATTTGGTTGGAAGAAAATGTAAAATAGGCCAGGTGTGGGCCAGTACCTGCCCTACCATGAGTGATCAGACTCTCAGCCTTCTCCAGACCACAAAAGAGTTAGGCTGGGGCCGGCAGATGGGGAATTCTGTGGAAGGTGCTCAGTCCCCCACAAACTATGCTCCCCCTGCCAGGCAACTCAGCCCAGTAAGAGACATGAGCAGGCAGCCAGAGCAGGACCGAGACTCTGAGATGAAACAGCTTACCTGTACCCCAAGTACCCATCCTCAGGCAGTCTCTCCAGCCCTCTCCCCTCTCCCAGATCAGCAGTCAGCAGCAGCACTCTTACTCTGTCTGCTCCCCTCACTGAGCCTATATGGCCCTTCACAAGCCATTGCCTTTGAGACAGAATTCGAGTTGCTGACCTGGCTTATTTACACCTCTGTTTCCTCTGTACCCATTCAACATCCCTGCTCATCCAAGCTCACCCTGGTCTTGGACATACAGTACTTCCTCCCAGGAATGCCCTCATTCCCTGTTCCTTGGCATGAAAAACTTTCTGGACTAACAGAACAAGGCAGGCTTCAGCTGACCCTGCAACTGAACACTCTCCCCAGATCACTGACCACCAACCCCAGGCCTGTGGGCTCCTTGGCCCAAGAGCACTGGCTCAAGGCCGGTGTCCATTCAATTCCCTACAGCCCAACTCAGGTGCCCACCCTGTTGCCCTGTGCTGGCCACAGGACACAAAGACATAGCTATGTGGTCCCCACCATTTAGGAGAGCTGGTTAGGGAGACACCTGCCACAGATGCCCCATATAGGGGAGCCTGGCAGGAAAGAGCTCACACCTTCCAGGGCCCAGAAGCAACACAGAAAGCCTCCTGGAGAAAGAAGGGTCTGGCCCAGGCCTTCAAGTACTGAGTGGCAGAGGAGCAGGAAGGGCAGAGAACAGAGGAGGAGAAACCAAGGTCAGTATCTAGCAAACCCTGAGTGAGTCCAAGCAAGAGAGGAGGGGCTGGAATAAAGTGCTGGAGACACTGTACGTGTCCCTCCTAAGGGTAATGGAGACTTGGGGGGCTTGGGGGCAGAAGGGTGACGTGACTGACACCTGGCTCTGGAAGATCAAGCCAGCCCTGCTTTCAATAGGCTCCAGTCCCAGCAGCCCTCAGCGAGGAAACATTTTTTGACTTATTGGTAGTCTTGGCCCTGCTGGTTGCCATAAGTGTGGGGGTAGGATGGGGGTCAGGATGGAAAGGAGACCAGAGAGGGAAACAAGATCCAGACTTGGGGAGTCTTTGGCAGGGGCTCAGGGAAGGGGACACAGAAGCCTCGGCCCCATGCTGAGTATTTCCTCACAGGGTGGCCATGTGCCCCATTGGGCTGGGTTACAGGGTATGTTCTGCTGGGGCCTTTGGAGCCAAGTGGCTGGCAGCCCTCAGGATGGCCGCTTCTCAGGGGTCATCAGCTGCTCCACCTCCCGCATGAACCGCAGACACAGCTCTTCCTGCCAGGGCAGAGCCACACATTGCACGGCCACGGGCAGCCCCACACTGTTCTTCAGGGCCTGCAGGAGACATGGTCATTGGGAGTGGGGCACACCCAGGGTCCAGGAAGGGAGTGCCTCATTGAGGAGGAGAGTGGCAAGTGGAGCTGGATGTTGTACTGATTTCAGAAAGGCTGCTGAGGATGCTGAGTGCTGAGGACACCAGCTGGGGGGCAGCAGGTAGCAGGGGGAGGGATGGGCAGGCCTTACCTTCTGTAATACCGTGTCCCAGATATCCCCAAAGTAGCCCCTGTAATGTTCCATCTGGGCCTCATCCTCAGTGGTCACCGTGGTGACAGGCACCACTCCCGCAGGGAAATCCAGGCAGTTATAAAGGACGGTGTAGCTGATGGCCCCTGAAACATGCCACAAAGGCTAAAGCAGGTCTTAGTGGTCACAGTGCTCGGTGTCCATGCTGGGCCTCAGTCACTCACTCTATAAAATGGTCTTTCCCCAGCAGGAAAAGACCTTCTCCAGGGCTAAGGCTTGAGTGACAAACCCAAAGAACCCAGCAAAATTCCTCTGATGCTTGCCCTGGGCCTTTACCCATATAGTTTCTGGAATGTTGTTCCTATCTTCTTGGTTCATCTAAATCCCAACTAGGTTCAAATACCACCCTTCAAAACTACAGACTCTGTAACTTGAGGTCTCTGACTTGTAGTGTATATGACAGGGGTCTCACTGTGTATCAGGGTAATCCCCATGACTCCTCTTTCCACAGCCAGCCAGACTATATGCTCTCAAGGGCAAGGGACCCCAGAATGAGAGTAAGCTGGAAAACAGGCCTCACCTGTGGCCCTTCCTGCAGCATTCAGGTCCAGAGCCGGGCCCAGCATCGGGGTCAGTAGCACATCCAGGTTCAGCGCTCTCCACTCAGCAATCACAGATTTCTGGTACTCCTGAGGGGACACCAGTGAAACAAAGGAGGCACTCACTCAACCTGGCCTGTCCAGGACTCATGGCAGGGACAGTGGCCGGATGGGCTCTGGTCCTACCACCTGCTACTGCAGCAGAGCTGAGCCATGAGGAGAAGGAGGGTCTCTGGGCAGGCAGGAAGCACTGAGAAGGGCATCATTGCCCCACCTTCCACCCAAACTGCAGTCACTGGTCTCCCTGCCAAAGTGGAACTACACTCTGCATGGCCATGCATAGCCCCATGGAGCCAAGAAGCACCCAGGACAGGAGCCCCATCCTAACTCAACTTCCCATGATAAGCACTGTGGAAATGAGCATCAGAGAGCAGGGTCCTGGGAAGGGCAAGGCAGACTGACAGGTCACTCCAGCAGAGCAGCAGTGGCACTGGCCAGAAGACCCTGTTGACAGCTACTCTGAACAGCTTCCCTCCCTCACCCCCTACTCAAGTGCAGGAGCCTCGAGGCCTTACCTCAATTTTGTGCTGTAGCTCCCAGAGTTTTCCAGCTGACCTGGGAAGAGGGAATAAAGTCACCAGCCACTACAGCCACAGCCACTCTCAATACTTCTAGGTCTTGCTCCTCCGTAGCCCTCCACTCTAGGGATCTCTAAGAGGGCAGAAGCTCAAAGCCAGATGAAAAGTTCAAAGACCAGATGAGACACACCAGGCTTCACAAGAATTTAAACTGGATTATTAGTGACTCCACAGCGGAGCTCACACTAAACCAGGCCTGATTCCTCACTATCCTCAGGACCAAGGAAAGGCTAAGGCTGTCAGGGGTTCCTAACGCCTGCAGGTAAAAGGAGGAACAAGTGCAGAGTGTCTGTGTGGAGGTGAGATGCTTTACGCCCTGCCTCTCCAGTTTGCCCACTGAAGGGTAGATAAGACTGGTGCAGCTCAGTTCAGTTCAGAACTCAAAATGTATTTCAATGTGTCACCCAGTGCCCAGCATACCCGGGTACCACCAAGCCTGGGAAAATTCCTTCCTAGTGTTTCCCTCCAGCCCAGCCAGACTGTCTCCCCTCCACTGCACCCCTCCTGTTCCCCTACTCTACAGCTGGGCCTGGACCCCACTCAGGCAACTTCAAGGTGCCACCTGAGGGCCCCAACCTGAGCCACTTCCACCTCCACCAGGGACTTTGGCTGTCTGAAATCACCTAGACTCAGAGCAGGTAAGACAAAGACAGGGCAGGCATCTAGGCAGTGGAAGAATCCTCACCGAGGCCTCATGCTGCTGAGAAAGGCTGCCAGCCGCGGGAACTGCACCAGAACAGACACAAGATCAGTGACTCAGCATGGGGTCACAAGCTGACCACCCAAGTCACCTCTTTGGGCAAGCAGGTTGATGAAGATGCAGATCAGTAGTCAGGAAGAGGGGTGGAGAGGAGAGGAGCCTAAGCCTGTCCAAATGGAGAGGCCGAAGTGAAGCAGGGAATAGCCAGGAGCTGGGGTATCACAGGATGGGGGGCCCAGAGGCTCCCTTAGCCCCTTGTACTCGTGTGTTCTTACCAGAGGCTTCAGCAGGAAGGCCAGAAGTCCTTTAAGCCAGCTGGGTAGTTTCAGAATTAAGGTCAGGTCTCCCAGGCAGGGGTCTACAAAATCACCTTTGCTAGAAAACAAAAGGGAGTCTTGGGGGTCCTGTCCTTGGTCCCTCCTAGCTTCCCATCAGCTTCAACCTGTTCTCTGCTCGGTGACCCTGTAACTCACTCCTCACCAGATCTCAGTGACTACTGGCCTCCAACCCTTCACCTTCCATTTTCCAACACAGGCTTTTTTTCTTGCCAATTTTTCAGGACACTGCACACCCACCAGAGTCCCTAAGGCAGGAGACTCAGGCTCCCCACCTCCAATAGATCTCAGAGTTTTAGGGGCCGAGGGAAACATCTCTCACCAGACTGAGGGCCTGTGCCCATCGAAACTGATGCCAGCCTGCAGGCTCCCATGGAGCATTCTAGGGCAGCTACACATGAAGCCTGTCTCTGATCTGGCTCGAGATCTTACAGACAGGTCTGAGGTGCCTAATCCCAGGGCTCAACGCCAGGGCCAAGGTGAGAGGTAGCATCCTCTGCTGAAGCATGTACCAGACTCAGCTATTGGGGGTAGAGGTGGAGGATACACTGATTCCTTGACTGAGCAAGACTACAGGTCCAGGCATCCCCGTAACGAAGTCTATGGCCTGAGGAACACTGATCAGGCAGCCCATCACCAGCAGCCACCTTCACAGGTCCATCCTCTACCCCAGTAATGTCTGAAAACAGCTAAGGAGAACCATCTTCTCTAAACATTAGCTCTGCCAAATCCCTTAAAGAGAGTCTGGTACAACCCACACATTTTACAGAAATAAAAACTGAAGTACTACTTAAAAAGAAAGACTTGGCTCAGGCCAGACAGAGCCTACAGTTATAGCCTGCTGTCCATACTCCAAATCCACCTGCCTTGATCTTACCCTTGCTTCTGACATTTCCCAGACCACAAGGAATTCCCCTGCCCACTTCCTATGCCACAAAAAAAACAGCTCAGAACAGGCTACAGAGGCACAGTCACAAAAAACCAGCTCAGAGGGGCTGAGGATTTAGCTCAGCGGCATAAGCGCCTGCCTTGCAAGCAGGCAGTCATGAGTTCGATCCCTGGTACCGATAAAAATGAAAAAGACAAAAAAAACTCAGAACAGGCTACAGAGGCACAGTTAGGCGCCCTTGGGCTGGTGCCTCTTCAGTCTCCCTGGCAAGATAGCTCCAGGCTCAACATGTACAACTGGAAGGAAAGCAAGGTCCCTGCCCAGAAAGCTCAAGTCTTCTTTGAATGTGGCTGAGCCTGTCCTGGGGGTCACAAGGCCCAACTGCTCTCCCTGGGTATATTCATTTTCCTGGTCCCACCATACAGCCCAAGCTTGGGAGCACTCACAAGTTCTGGAGGAAGCTGTGGCCACCATCACTGAACAGCCCACCTGCACACAGTGTCTCCAGAGCATAGGGTATGTCACTTGGCAGGAAGGGAATAAGCTGCAGGGATGGAGGGATGGTAAGGTTCTGGCCTGAATGCAGCTTGTTCCCATGGCCCACACACCACCTGGCAGCCTGGTCCACCTGGCCCATGTAGCTATCCTCATGAAAGCCATGAAAACACCCTAGAAAATGGCCCTTGTGAGAGAAGTCTGGAGCCATGACATATAAGGTTGCCTCAGATAAGCATGAACCATTGGCCCAGTAGGTCAGGGGCCTGGGAATCTCTGGACAGCTTCTCACTATTGTTCATAGTCAGTGAGGTCCCCCAAAAATGTACTACACATGTGTTGAGTTCTCCATCCACCACTAGCCCCAGCCTCTGGGTCAGCCCTCTGTACATTGGTCCCACAGGGCCACAGTTCTGATCACCAATGACAAAACAATCAGAGCCAGAAAGCCTGGGAGAGAGTGGCCACAGATACCAGGAAGGTCTCCTGGAGGGGAGGAGACGGGCAGCACTCGGTCCTGCAGCCATACCGTGTGACCAGCCGCTTCAAGCCTCTGCTTGGTCTCCAGCAGGGCCCGCTTCATGGCCGGGCTGGGCCTGGTATAGTTGTCAGTCTCATAGTATCCCACACGCAGGGGCTGGGAGCTTGTGTAAACCTGGAGACAAACACGGGGCAGGGGCAGGGGCAGGGGCAGGGCAAGCAGAGGAAGTTCAGGAGAGAAGGCCTACACAGAGCTCCTAAAGATGATACAAGCTACTCAGCTATAGCCTGGATCTCGGCGCCATTTGCCCTGGAAGGAGATTATCTGCACACCTTCCACATGTGACCCTCTCCTAAAACACCTTCATATCTTGGAAGTGGGCAAAGCAGACATAAAAATTTCTACTGGTCATTATGAAGAAACTGAAGCTTGATGTCTAAATAATGGGGCTGGGATTTGCCTGAAGCCAACCAGTGGCCCCAGGCATCTTGACTCCTGGGGTGAGCCTCTCCATCACCTCCCTTGGTGTGGATATGGTGGCTCCCAGAGCTCCAGGCAGGGCCTCGTCTCTCCTCCTCCCCGCAGGAAGGGTTCAGGCTCCTGTAGTCTGAATCTGTCGACTGAGAATGAGAGCCTACCCTGCCCAGATCTGCCCACCTGCTCCATCCCCAAGGAACACCATGACGTACTCTCCTGCCCACAGCCCCTCAGCCTGGCTGGGGTGAGGACAGAAGGCCTGCATAGGAGAGAGGAACACCAGACTGCTAAAAAATGGAGCTCATATCAGCTAGCTCAAGTCTACATACCCAGCCCGTATGTATTCCTTTTTCTCCACCCCCCCCCCATGTATTCTTGAATAGTCTTCACCAACTCTTCAACAGAAACCATCAAATGACACACCCAGGACTCAGACCCTGTCATCTCAAGATCCTCAGTGGCTGTGTCCCCAGTCCTGAACTATTAGGCATGACCTTATCCAGTCTCATCCAGGCCCATGTTGAAGGGTACTCTCCACAGCACCCCTGCCTTCTGAGATACTGCGGAGGCTCTAGGGGAGGCGGGGGCCACCTCAGGAAGCAGTGAGCTCAGCTCTAATCACTGGGCTGTCTTGGTGATATTTTGGGGATCCAACTATGGCTCAGTCCATGTGAAGCCTCCCACTTGTGGAGATACAGACCGGAATACATATGTAAAACTGCTATTCACAGAGGGGCAAATACGGTGGAAAGCATGAGGGTCTCCAAATGCGTCCAAGGTTGCCACCTAATGGTCATCTGAGGAGCAGCAGCTGGCCTTGGCCACAGATCCTGGGGGCCGCTTTTCAGGAGTAGGGGCTCCAAGGCCTACACACAACCCTTGGGTTCAGGAGGTCACCACCTTACCCACCCATACCCTCACTCACCTCCTCCTGGAAGGGCAGGGGTGGCACGGTGGGGTCCAGGCGAAACATGTCCTCACACAAAAGAGCCCGCAGGCACAGGGCCAGGCTCTCCACATCCCGAGCAATGGGGCCAACAGAGAGCTGCACTGAGGGACGGGGAGGGGAGAGAAGTGGGGTCACCTGACCCAGTGGGCTCTGGGCTGGGATGAAGTCAGGGCTGGGCCATGGCTCAGGAGTGTGAACAAGACAAAGAGATTGGAGCTCAGGCCTAGAGTGGCCCTGTCCCCAGAGAGTCAGGGTCAGAGGCAGACCAGGCTGACCCCTACCCTCAACCAGGGCACCGAGAGAACCGCACACCTCACCTGCGCTCTGTCCATGGATACAGCCCTTCAGGCCATTCTTGCTGGGTAAGAAACACAAGGGGTTGGAAACAGGAAACGGCTCCCCTCTGTCCATCCCAAAAGTTGGGTAGCATCTCTGAGCACCCACCATTGGAACCTGGGAGCCCTGCATAGCTGGTGGTGACACCTCCACCCAGTGAAACCCTACTCAGCAAATCCCTACCTGGAACCCAGAGAGGGTGGAAGTTAGGCCAAGATCATGCCACAAGAGGCCCAAAAGTTCCAGTACCCATCGTACCTGAGGCGGTTCCCAGTAGGCTTGAGGCCGCAGACGCCACAGAAGGCAGAAGGGAAACGGATGCTGCCACCAATGTCAGTGCCCAAACCCAGGGGTGAGCCTCCAGATGCAATGAGGGCCCCCTCACCCCCTGAGGAGCCACCTGGGCTCTTCGAGGACTTCCATGGATTCACGGTCCGCCCAAAGAGGGGGTTACTGCAGTCATAGCTGGAAAAGCAGTGGCAGGTCAGCTAGGGTCATGCTGGCACCTATCTCCCAACCACCCCACTCCACCTTGCTGAGACTCAACCTGATCATGGACTGGGGGACATTGGTGTGCACAAAGGGCATGGCACCCTGCAACTTTAGCACCTGTACCACCACGCTGTCGACCTCGGCTGGCACCCCCTCATTCAGGCTCAAGCCCAGCGTTGAGTTCTGGCCCTACAAGGAGGAAGGGCAATGGAAAAACATGGCAGGTGAGTCAGGAAAGGTCCACTCCCCACTCTGTCACACCAGCCAAGGCCAGGCACACCCACAGGTCCTTCTCATCACTTCTGGACTTCACAATGCCTCTGCAGGACCTAAGAGGCCAGGACACGAGCTGGCAGCAGGGATGGAGGGCAAGAAGAGCCTAACACCATGGGAGGTACCTTGTAACTGAAGCACTCCTTGAGGCTCACAGGGACACCGTAGAGCAGGCCTTGACGTGGGGCCTGGCGCAGCTGAGTCTCACAGTCAGCCAGGTAGGAGGTTACACAGTTGAGCTCTCTGTTCACTTCCCAGGCCTGGTAAGGAGGAAATAGACACAGAGTGAAGCTGTACTTCTTCTTTTCCTTTTCATTGTACAGTAAGTCACTGACCCATGAACACTGAGGTGGCAAACTTGCACAGCTGCAAACTGACGTAGATGTGAACAATTCCAAAAGTAGCTCACATGTCTGCCAAACAACGTCATAGTTATGCTGCTGTGTGCTTACTGCACAATGTGTAGTGCACAGCAGTACAGCACTTGGTCAGAACCCAGGAGGTCCAGAGGCAGGAGGAAGAGCAGTGGTGATGTGGAGGGGACTGCTAGGAAACACGAAGCAATACACATTGTTTGTGTCAAAGGTGTGTAAAACTCACTCTGTCAGACTTAGGAATAAATCTGACTTACAAATGTTCTCCTGGAATAGAAACTTTTTTGTAAATCGAGGCTTACTACAGTAAAATGTGTACAGTTAGCTTTTTAAAGTATATTCAGGGAAAGGATAAACAGCAATATGGTCCAGAGCCAGGACTCTTAGCATACCACATAGCTATCTAGCTAGGGACATTTGGCCCCTGCCTCACTCTGGTCATTTGACCTCAATCCCAAAAGAAAAAGAGAAAAAGAAAGAGTTCCTACAACCAGGGTACAACCACGGAACTCAGAGGAGCAAGACACTATTCTCTGGCTGGGCATGGTGGTGCACACCTGTAATCTCAATACTGGGAGACTGAGGCAGGAGGATCGCTGTTAAGCTTGTGGCCAGCTTGGGCTACATAGTGAGTTCAAGGACAGCCTAAACTGCATCGTGAGATCCTGTCTTAAAAAAAAAAAAAAAAAAGACACTATCCTCAGATGCTCCCACCAAGAGATGAGCTGAGAGGAAGGTGACACTAGCCACTTCCCACCCTCCTCTATGCCACCTGTCTGCCCACTGAGGGAGACAGGAACCATAGAGAGGCTAAACCCAGCCTCCTGGGGCCTAGCATTCTTTTGAAAAGGAATGATTGAGGTATCTATCTAGCCCTTCAGTCACAGCCCTGGGCCCCAAGAAGGAAAGGTGAGAGAGCCAGCTGCAGCTATCCTCCCTTGTGAGAACCTAGGGGGAAAAAGTACATTGTGCTGCCACAATCAGGACTGCATAACATCTGTCCCCAGGCCACCCAAGGCAGGAAGGGAGGAGCCTGTGTATATTGGAATGTGCTCTTCAGATAACCAGGAAGAGCAAGAGCCTTCCCAGGACTGTGACAGGGAAGAAGCAAGACTATTTGCTGAGACTCTATCCTTTGTTAGTGACACAGCCATACCCACCATCACACAAAAGTCACATGCATAACACGATGTGTCCTTCCTTTCTTTTCCCATATATTTCTTGCACACTTCTTGAGTGAAAGGCAATGTGCTCAGCACTACTTTCAAAGATAAGTAAGACCAGGGGTGGTGGAGCATGCCTGCAGTCCCAACAGTCTGAGAGGATGAGGCAGAAGGATTACAAGTTCAAGCTAGGTGAAAGAAAAAACATATGTATATGCATATGCATATGTATATAAAAATCATTAAGATAGTTATACTACTGATTTCTCTGAGTTCGCTGAAGAGAAAGTTTTGTACTGGTATTGTTCGGACAGTTGAATGCAGATGTCTTGTGCTCTGGGTGAATGATTCGGGGATAACAATGTGCAGTGTAACAATGTGCACTGTTGCCCCCTGATTGATGTGTTTTGAATTTTTTTTCTTCTTCTTCTTCTTTTTATCCTTGAAATAAAATATATCGGGAGGGGGAACAAGCCTGAGCTATTTAGCAACTCAGAGAATCCCTGTCTCAAAAAAAGGAAGGAAGGGAGGGAGGAGAGCTAGGGATATAGCTCAGCATGAAGGCCCTGAGTTTAATCTTTGGGGAGGGCGGGGACAAATACGAAAAGCTCTATCCACAGAGCCCATGGTGGGCAAGGGAAAGAGGAAAGGTAGAAACCCCACATGTGCTGAGGAGACGGAGCAGAACAGGGCCAGCATGCAGGACAGCAGCGCCTTCCAGTCAGGTTGCCTCTCATGCCACACTTAGCACGACTTTGCAAGGGGCCAAGCAGAGGGCAGGGCCTTTGGGAAGGAGCTGAACAAGCCAGTGCAGAGTATGGCAGGCCACAAGCCCCAATGCCCTGTGTGCCCTTGGCCATAGTGCTACTGGATACCAGTGTTACAAAAAGGAAAGGACTGGGGAGTTGGCCAGGAGGCTGCTGCTGGGCATGAAGGAAGATGGTAGTTAGGGACAGGGTGGCTGACAGGGAATGGAGTCAGGGAGGCACTGGAGAGAGGCAGAAAATGGGAACAAACCACACAAGATGACAGGGGTAGAGGCAGGAAGGAGAAAGAAGCCTGGGCTAAGAGCCAGGTTTTCAGCTGAGACCACTGGCTCACAAAGCACCCAGGTTCCTTCCCTCCCTGGCAGCCCCTGGCACTGAGGCCCTCAGCTCCAAGCCAGGTTTTCTCCACAGCCTGTGCAAAGATTGGGAGGAGAAGGGAGCAAAGGGAACCAGCAGTCTTGGGCCACTTACCTTTCCCACATAGGTGAAGAGGGCAGCTTCTGGGGACAGCTCCCCACTGTGTAACTTCTGTACCAGTTCAGACAGGGACAAGGCCAACAGTGCCTCAGAGTCCAGGTTGGGGTTCTGTGGGGAGCACACTCAAATCAGCCCCCCATGTGCTGGCTGCAGACATGGCCCACGCCCCTCTGAGCCCCCAGCATCAAGCAGATTCTCACTGCCAAATCCCTATCTGTGATAGCTACACCCATGTGAAGCTCAGACTTCAGAGTCAGGACACAGCCTGGGAAGACCCTTGCTATCCCTGGATAGTGATAATTCCTCTCTGGGGTACTGGAGGACAGGTCTAGGAAGGCCATCCTCAGGCTGATTCCTGCAACCATTCCAGCTAACCCCCATTGTAGCTGCCCGCTACATGCTCTAAGCATCCTATAGGAGCACGCTATCTTTGTTTGGTTTTTATGTTTTGTTTTGTTTGGGACAGAGTGTCACTATGTTGCCCGGGCTGGGCTCAAACTCTTGATTCTCCTGCATCAGCCTCTCAAGTGGTATCCCCATTATACATGGCTATACTACTTGTTTTGATCCCATTTCACTAGCATTCCCATTGCACAAATAAAGAAACCAAGACTCAGAGAGAGGAAGCACCTTGCTAAGGACTATAAAGGTAAAGAGCAGTGTTCTGCCCACCCAGCACAAGCTGCCCAGTAGCTGTCCACCTGCACCCAACCATCACCCAACCTCTCCACCGAAGTTGGGCCTGTTGCTGGAGGAGGCAGAGTGGAAAGGGAAGGGAGGGAGGAGGGAAGAAAGGGAGAGAAGCGGGGGCGGGGGATGGGAGGGGAAGGAAGAGGTAGAGTAGGAGAGGAAACCATGAGGTAGCAAATAGAGTTTAGTGGACACCCAAGGCAGGCCTCTCTGGAGAGGGGACATTTCAGCTTTGGTCTAAAGGACAAGAAAGTGCAGGATGCAGAGAAATACACAAGTGCCTCAGGGTTCCTCAGGCACCTTGTTTTCCCTCTGACACTGGGGGAAGGCTTGTTCTCCTTTGGGTTCCAGTCTGCGCTCCACCTGGCCCTGACTCTCTCCAAGCCCTCACCCATGCCATGGGCTTACCATCTTCCAGCCAGCTCCAAAGCAACTCACAGGGCTCCTCTTGTCACCTGCCCTAGTCCTCTGTGATCTCATCACTTCCCCCACTTTCACAAGAGTGAAAGAGCTGCCATCCATCCAAGAGTTCAGGTGAAAAATTGTAGTCCTTCCTGTTCCTCACCACCACTCCCTCACCTACCTCCCAAGGAATTTGGAAAATGGCCACTTCTCTGGGCCAGACCCTCCTCCAAGTCCAGCCCTTCCACGTGGGTCACACAGGGAACCGAACTCCTGCCTAGCTGAAGCCCTGTCCCCCTGGTCTGCCCTTTCTTCTGGGGCCAGACTGTGTAAAGCCCAACCTGGCCCCTGTCCTCCCCTTCCAATCCTGTCACATCACAGGCTCCAGAGCACTTTCCAGAAGAATCTCTAGGCCAAAGTGCCCTTATTCCTGCATGACTGTTTACACCTACACTGCCCCACCCTGGAACATCTTCAAACACCACAGCCTTTGTACCTCAGCCCTCACACATCAGGAGCCCTTCCTGAGTTTGTTAAATGGATACAGCATTGACTTGGATTTTCTATTTTTTTTTTAATATAGCAGGTTACAGAGAAGAAAAAAAAAGAGCTCATGGCCTTACCCCCAAAACACCACATAACCCTTGATTTTTTTTTTTTTTTTAGAAGGTAGGGCATAAAAAATGCAAAGTAAGCATTCACCACCCCTGGTCCACCCTGCACAGTCCCTCTATGAAAAAGGAAATGCAGTTAACAGTTTCCAGTGAACTCTTATAGGAAATAACTGTGTATGAAAAACCCAAAATGGATATACCTGTTTGCATTTTTTTTTTTTAGAAAGTGATCATGCTGGGTAAGCAGCTGTGGTGTGGCAGGCTGCAGCAGCCCCGGGGTGGGGTGGGGGGGACCACCAGCATCTCCTGAGATCCGCACCATGTTGGAACTTAGGGTGCTGAGAAACCAAGCAAGCAGCTTGCCTCCCTAGTAAGCAATAGTGGGCCTACCGGTTAGAGTTAAACATCCCACTTCCCCTGCCCCCCTTTAGCAAGTGGGAACCAGAGATCTGAGCATCTCTTGGGAGGTTGACCATATGCAATATAGCAAATAAGGGGGATTTCCTTCTACCATCTTTTTGAAGGCAAATATTTCTACTACTGTTTTGCTTTATTCTGATTAATGGTACTGTTCTATTCAATATTCTGTTTTGATAAGTTCTATAATGTTCTGTACTTCATTTTATTTTGCTACACATGATTGAAAGAACAACTAATGTGTCCCAGTGTGACATACTGCCAGCTTTGTGGTCAGGTTCTCAAGGCTCAGCGTGGCAACCATAGTTTGCGCGTAGGCAGACCCAGCCTGTGACATCAAGGTCTAGGGCCTACAAAGTGTTGGGTGTCAATTCTTGTTGCAATGTGAACACCTAATTATTCTGTGACAGTGGGCAGAGATTGTTGTGTAAATAAAACAGTATATGCTTTGTAAAAAAAAAAAAAGGAACAAATAGTGTGATGATGATAACAAGATATACTGTGGTACCTATTGTTATTATCCCAGTAACCTGCTATGAAGTTCTGTACCAATTTCACTACATGGTCTCAACTGGCTTTGTTCTGTCTTGTTCTATTGTATTTTACTACCTTCAAAATAATAAAATGTCCAAAAAAAATGATCATGCTTATACACAGAGTACTGTATCTTGCCTCTCCCATCTCCCAGTGAAAGATGGGTTGTCAGATTATATAAATAGAAGCTCACTGCTTTTTTTTTTTAATGTCCAGCTGGTCGTGGTGGCACACACCTGTAATTCCAGCACCTAGGGGGCTGAGGCAGGAGGATTGATGTGAGTTTGAGGTCAACTTGGGCTTCATAGTGAGCCCAAGGCCAGCCTGAACTACATAGTGCAACCCCATCTCAAAAAAATATAAAAAATAAAATTTAAGAATGCCTAACACAACCTCGTGTAGTGGCTCCCAGCACTCAGGAGGCTGAGGCAGGAACGTCGTTGTGAGTTTGAGACCAGCCTGGGCTACAAAGTGAGCTCAAGGCTAGCCTGAACTACATAGCAAGACCCTGCCTCAAAAAGACAAAATAAATAAATAGCTAAATAAATAAATGTGCCTAACACACTAGAGACGAAAGTTTAAATCAACAGAGTCCACCATTATGTGATAATTAGCACTAGCGGTCTGCTCACTATCTCCTCCCATCTAAACACAAGGCAGAGTTCCTGTTCTTACAAGTTATCTGCACCCCCATTCTCAGCACATACTTTAACTTCCCTCTCAACAGCTGATAAGACTGTTGCTAACAACTATTTTGTCTTCAGCTATTATCAGGCAATTGAGCCATTCTCTCCTTCATAAGACACCAAAGGAAGTCTGCACCTCCAGGAGGTTAATCTGTGAACAGGGAACCATTTCTTGTAGAGAATGCAGGGACACATACTCATAACCTGTAAGTAACTGTGTGGCCACCCTGTATGAGAAAATTTTCAAAGGAAGCTAGTATACCTGTGTTACGGATTAAAAACTGGTAGTCAATCTAACACCATCTGAATTAAATCAGCATGTTGCTGTGTGTAGATAGCACATGTGAGGATTGTTGCCAGCATTAAAGGAGACATGGAGAAGAAGAGTGAGGCGTTGAGGGTTCTCCTAAGTTCTGCTGTTGTTTGAAGCCATTGGTTCTCCTGGAAGAGCTCGTCATTGCTAGCTTCCCTGATAAGAATTTGGCCATTATCATTAGAGGAGCTCAGGACCTTGTTGCTGAGAATGGCTGTGGTTCACTTTGGGGGAGCTCTGGTCCTTACTTAGAGAATCGCTTCCTGGCTTTGGAGGGGAAGATGTTTGCTGTTTAATGTTCAAAAGAAGCTTGTCACACTGAATTCCTGACATGTACTCGACTATTTGCAGTGGAGGAGCTCGAGACCTTACTGTCATTGAGGATGGCTGTGGTACTTTTCAGTGGAGCCCTGGTCCTTATTTTGAGTGTCACTTCTTGGCTTCAAATGTAAAACCCTCAACCCATTGGCACAGATCCTTCACTCTGCTGGCATAGAATTTCTAGCTTCCACCACTGACCTTTGGGCCTTCCCAGTGCAGATCCGTAAAACAGACTTGTATGAGTCATAGTCATGGGCTCTAGGCCTCCAGTTGGACTAGTCATGGGAGGCATCGTCATGGGCTCTAGGTCTTCACCAGACATTACTGTAGGATCCAGGCCCTCAGCTGGATTTTCTAGGTCTTTAGTCTTGTGGACCAATTTCCTGCACTTTCTGTATTTAACTCTGGATGACCATCATAAAATAAGTTCTCTGTCCTGTACGTAATTGTTCTCCTTATAACCCTTGACTACATCAATCTACCTTTCGGGAGGAGGGATACTGAGGATAGAAACAAGGAGTGCTCTACCACTAAGCTATAGCTCCTGTCCTTTTTATTTTTTAAAATTTTGAGACAATGTCTTGCTAAGTTGCTCAGACTGGTCTCAAACTTGGGATCCTCCAGCCTCCGTGCTGGGATTACAGGCATGCGCCACCATGCCTGAAGCCTATCACATTTCTTGTCCTCCATCTGTCTTATTGCTCTTGTTCTATTTCAAAACATCATATGCAAGCCAGGTATGATGGCTCACACCTATCATCCCAGCACTTGGGAGACTGAGGCGAGAGGATCACTGCAAGCTCAAGGCCAGCCTAGGTTACACAGTGAGTTCAAGTGAGTTCAACTACATAGTGAGTCCCTGTCTCAAATAAAAAAAAAAAAATCACCTCCATTTGATCTGACAGTCCCACTAGTAATCATATTATCTTTCAATTCACCTACTAAATCATTTCAGAGCACTATGCAATGTAGGCTTGGAGAAGGCCAAGAGATGGTGGATCCAACCAAAGGAAGTGACATTTGAGAACCAGAGGGCCTCAGCTATGTTGGATGTATGACATGAAAAAGGCGTCCAGGGTACAACAAGACCACACATGCAAAGGCATGTCCTGTGACATCTTTCCCAACCTCAACAGTCTCAGTGATCCCTCTCTTCAGTCTAGAAAAGATATGAGAATTTACTCAGGGGGAAGATGGTAGAAATAGGTAAAGGGTCGTGACAGATATGCCTCCCACAGTCCACAGAGTCATCAGAAACACCTTTCTGTAGAGCTACTCCAGAGTCTGACAAGATGAACTATTCATGATAACCCAGAGGTACTTAGCTTCCTTCCCCATCTAGCTGGCCTGCTGCTTAGCATACAACTAGCTGCAGGAGTAGGGAGCTGTACTACACACAGCTGTAGTCTCCCAAGTGTCCTTTGGTACTCAAGGCTGGGCCAAGACAGTCACAGATGAAAAGTCCTGAGACATCCTCTTTCTGTGATTTCTAGTCACTGGAAACAGAAAAGATAATTTTCTCTGCCAAAAGAGCCAAGTTTTGGTATATAAAACGAGGCCTTCTACTCCAGGGAAGATATGTAAACAAGCCTGTATTTCAGAGCCATAATTTCTATCCTGGAAAATTCATTTTTTTAAAAAGGCAAAAATAATAAAAGGGCAGAAGTGGATCCTCAGGTTCATAGACCTGATGATTGGGTGTTCATGCTCAATGCATGACATGTGGCTCCTTTGAACTTTGTAGGACATCGGCACACTACCCATCTGACATGAAAAAAAAAAAAAAAAGGCAAAGATGAAATGTAGGAAGACCCAGCCCTAGCAGTTAAATGGATTCCTTCTTACTAGGCACATTCCTCCCTGCAGGCAGAAACTGGGCAGGTTCCCATGAAGAGGGCTACACTGAGTGGGGAGCTGGCAGAACCCAGCTGGCTGCACAGGAGAACAAGGGCAAAGAACTCAGGCTCCAGTCTGAACCAAGTTCATCACAAGGATTCAACCCTAAGAGAAGCACTTCCAGAAGGTAGCCAAAGATGAGAGTGCTGGACCCTAGGCTCAGGAGGAGGAGGCTGCCAGTCTGAACACTGGGCTGATCCAGTCTGGACAGAGAAAACCCTAACACTGACTGATGGTGGACTTTTTGGCCAGTTTGACAAGTGGAGCCTGGAACCCAGATATGTCTTTACTTAATAAATAAAATAAATACCACACATCCTAGCTTCTGGGGTGGTGTGGGGTAAATGCAAAATAGTTACATGGCCCCCCGAATGTGTGTGAAATCTCGGCTATAATTAATTTAGATTCACCTCTACCACCACCCACCACTACACACACATAAGCTGAGCTGATGGAAGACAAAGCTAGAAAAGCAAAGCTTGTTGACAGATTCTGCAGGGACATGCGCCCTACTGGGGGAAAGCGGTGCAGAGACGAGGGGGCAGAGGGGGATTGGACACAGCAGCCCGCGAGGCAGGAGCTGGGACGACTTCCACCAACTTTACCAATAAAACCCACTCACGTGGGTCGCTTTCCTGCTCCCTCTTAAGATCGTTAGGCAAAACCAAGATTCCTGAACTCAAGCTTTCCGGGTGCCCTGGGCCAACACTCCAGGTTCCCAAGTCCTAAACCCTTGCACCCTTTTGACCCTCACGGAGCGCTAGTCTAACAGTCAATCAGTAAGGCTGTGGCGTTCAGCAAAGCTCCCCTTTGAGCGGCGCTGGCCTCCACGACCTGCTTTGACTTCTTCGTTTAGCTCCGCGGGAAGAGGTGCCTTAGTCACACACCTGCACTGCCCACGCACCTGCCTGCGCGCGTCCCCACGGCTGGAAGCCCTGCGCGGGGACTCCGGCCAAGCCCCGCACTACCCTGCAGTCACCTGGAGCCGGAAGCGCCGCGCCGCCTGGTCCATGGTCTCCAGGCCCGCTAGCTGCCTCTGCCGCGCCCGCGCCCTCGCGCCCAGCGCTGTCCGGCGACCCGACCAGCGGAGGGCCACCACCACCGCCACGAAGCAGCAGGCCAGGGCAGCCCCGGAGGCTCCGGAGAGCGAGGTCCACAGTTCGTCCAGCACCATGATGTCGCGCCGGGGTCTGCGGCAGAGGGCGACGAACGAGGAATCCGCGCCCGCAGCTTTAGTGCTCGCAGCCTCAGCGCTCCGCCCAAAACCCGGCCTGGATCTCCCGGATCGCACGCCAGCCCGGTAGGCAGGAGAGTGTGGAGCTGGAGGATGGCAGCGTGCGGAGGTCGGTCACAGTCAAGCCTGGCCTCCAGGTTGAGATCACTCCCGGAGTCCTTCCCCTTCTGGCGATGCCGAGCAGCCAACCGAGAAGGGGATCCGCTTCGCGAGGGCGCCCTCAGAAGCACCAGTGCCGTGATTTAGCATGGCCTCACCCCCACGCACCTAGCAGCCCAGGTTCCCCCTGGACATGGACCAAGAGGACCGCTGCAGCCAGAGACCGGGCTCGCGGTCCGCGTTAACTTCTGCAAACATGAAGCAGCATCTTTCCTGCAGAACTGAGTCCTGGCGGAGCACCGCAGGGCGTCCTCTACCCATGCCAGCCTGGGACAGATCCTGGTAGTTTTTCTGGGGCTGCCACCTTTTGTTACCCCAAGCCTTGGATGCTATGCCTTCATCCTGGACTCCTCTTCATGACCCAAACTCCCCATAGCTAGTCCATTTCCTCTGCCACTTCCCACAGGCTGTCCACTCAAACCTTACCCTCTCCCGGTGCTGAGCCTGCCTGGATTTCAACCTTCATCCCGCTAAAAGAAAACTACCTGACCCCGACTGGAGATCTGGACTTTTCCCAGTAACTACAGACACACTCCTACACTTGACAAGACCTCTCTCACAGGATTTTATGTGCTTTATCTTATTTGTTCTCCCAACAGTCTTGTGAGAAGTTATTCACAATTAACTGGTACAGTAATTGAGGTGAGAGGATTACATAACTTCTTTGGGTCACACAGGTGACTGAGGGAGGATTCAAACTCAGGTCTAATCCAAAGCCAGTGATAATTTATCCCTACCCAAACCCAAAAGCCCGACAAGGAACAGCTGCACACAGAAAAGTTATAAAACTGTCTTTGATTGGGGCTGGGGATTTAGCTCAGCGGCATAAGCGCCTGCCTTGCAAGCAGACAGTCGTGAGTTAGATCCCCGGTACCGATAAAAAAGGAAAAAGACAAAAAAAAAAAAAAAAAAAAACTGTTTTTACACAATGCTAAGTAAAAAGCACTTAACTCCAATTGAACAAGGTATGCAAATATTTTAATATGATTTTTGTTGTCAAAACAATGAATTCAGCGGGGTGTGAAGGCTCATGCCTATAGTCCCAGCACTCTTGGGAGGCTGAGGCAAGAGGATCGTTGCAAGTTCAAGACCAGCCTAAGAGAGACTCTGTCTCAAAACGACAAAAAAAAAAAAAAAAAAAAATTAAACAGTGAATTCATCTGAGACCCTGTCTCAAAAAAAAAAAAAAAAAAAAGCACAATTCACTGGACTAAAAAATGAGAGCTTATTGATCAAGTTACTAGTGGAGAAAAAAAATGTTTTCACAGAACATGTATCTTCTCCCATTTTTTCTCCATTTGATGTCCATCAAAATGTATCATTTACCATTTAGTTTTTAAAAATGTGAGGGGCCAGGGGTTTAGCTCAGCAGCATAAGTGCCTGCTTGACAAACTTGAGGTCATGAGTTCAATCCCCGGTACCTAAATAAATAAATTAAATTAAATAAAAATGTGTGTGAGCCTGGAATATAGCTCAGTAGCACATTGCCTGTCTGACAATTACCAGGTCATGAGTTTGATTCCCATTATCAATAAAATAAATAAATAAATGCACCAGTTACTTCATGAAAAATGAAGGGCTAGGGAGGAAAAAATTGAAAGAATGGAGAAAATTATACTGTAGAAGTCGGGGGAGATGGAACCAAATTATGTTTTCTAATTGAGAATGTATTCTTGGTCTGCAGGAACTGAGTTCCAGAGGAAAACAGCAGGCTTCATTCACTCATGAACAAGCTTTCACTATGCAGTTCAGGTTGGCCTTGAACTCACTTTGTAGCATAGGCTGGCCTCAACTTCGCCAGGGACCCTCCTGCCTCAGCCTTCCCAGGGCTGGGATTACAGGCCTGTACCACCACACTCCCAGCCTGCTGGGTTTTTGTTTGTTTGTTGTTGTTGTTTTGGTATCAGACATCAGAACTCAGGCCCTTACACTTGCCAGGCAGGCACTTGTGCTGCTGATCTACATCCCCACCCTGGCTTCTTCTTTTTTTTTTTTTTGTACTGGGTATCAAACTCACAATCTCTCACTTGCCAGGCAGGTGCTTTGCCACTAAGTTGCTGAGCTATATGTGGGTCCTTCCTGCCTTCCTTTTTTTGTTTTGTTTTTTGGTGCCTGAGATCGAAACCTTCCACTGCTGTAGGAAGGCACCATGGAGGAGAAATGGGAGCAGCCACTGAGGCTGAGCCCAGGAATGAAACAGCAGGTGCTTGTAAAGGTCCAGCGGGGCCCAGTCCAGGCTCCACTGAGCTTCGTTATCAGGAAGGTATCTCGGGGTCAGGCTCACTGTGCCAGTGGCTCATGTGTCTTCACTAAGTCTTCAGCTGTCCCATAGGAAGACTGGCAGTGCCTTCCTGAGCTACCTGGGAGGTGGGCACCAGGCCACCCAGGGGAGAAGGACATGCAGAACAGAAACAACTACTCCAGTCCAGCAGGCTTTGAAGTCTTTGTTCAGGGGATAGGAACAGTACTGCTCTGCTTCTCCCCTTCCTTTCCCTTCTGTGAGCTCTTCTGGGGAGTGGGGGGCGTACTGCAGGGAAGGGGAGGGGAAAGAAGAGAAGGGAAGACTGGGTCCTGCTTTAAGGAATTGCTGTGGTTTGCATGTATGCTTACTCCAAAATCCCTTATGTTGAAACCTAATTACGCAGATAGTAGAAGGTGGAACTTTATGCTTGCCAGGCAGGTACTTGCCAAGCTTTCATTTGTGTTTTGTTTTGTTTTGTTTTGAGACAGGATCTCGCTATACTCCAGGCTGGCTTCAAACTCATGGTAATGAGCCTCAGCAGCAGGTAGGGTTAGGATTACAGGCTTGCACCACCACATCCAGCAGGTGGGGCTTTTTGAGGAAGTGATTAGATAAGGACTCCACCCTCATGAACAGGATTCATCACTATATAAAAAAGTGCTAGAGCTAGAAGTAAGGTCCAATTTTGAACTACTTACCCAATGTGCATAATCCTTGGGTTCAATCCACAGCACATGAAGAAACAAACAAGAAGTTCAGCCTGGGCAATTTAAGTGATTTGGCAAGATCCTAACTCAAGAATAAAATGTGAAAAGGGGTTGGGAGCTGGGCTTGATTGTGCATGCCTATAATCCCAGGAGGATTGCTGTCAAGGCATTCAAGGCCAATTTGAGCTACAACTTGAGTTCAAGGCTAGGCTAAACTACACAGCAGAGACCTTGTCTCAAAAAAAGAAGGGGAGAAAGAGTACGGGATCTAGTTCAGTGCAAATGAAATGGGAAGATTGGGCATGGCTAAAATGGATTTCCAAATAGGCATGACAAGATTCCCAGAATACCTGTACAGAACGGGTCCCTAAACCAGGCACCTTACTTCTCTGGAGAACTCAAGCAGATTTTCCATAGGATGGTCTTGACCTGACATCACCCTAAGACACAGGCGATACAAAAAAATATGGTCCACATTGAGGTTTTGCCCTCTTGTTCACTCTTGCATGGTGGGCTGCCCTCACACTGTAGGTTACACTTATTTTCCTACTTTGACTTGGCCCAAACTCACTTTTCAGAGCCTATTTCTCTTCCTACCTATAATAAAACGTTGCTCCCATTCATTTTGTCTTGACCAATTCTTTGCTCAGGACAGAAAGAACCAGAAGTCACTTCCAAAGAGAATCCAGTAGCCTAAAACCAAGCAACAAAAAGACCCTGGATTTAATCCCCAGTACTGAAAAAATAGTATTTTCTCCTTCTGTCATGTGCACGTATAGCAACAAAGGGCCACATGCAAAGCGGTGAACTGTAATCAGACAACAAATGGGTTGACACCTTGATCTTCGACTCATCAGTCTCTAGAACATCAGGAAGTAAATCTGCTCTTCTTGATAAATTACCTAGCCCATAGACCATGACACATTTTTTGGTCATAAAAGAACCATAAATATGGATGTGTCAAACCCTCATTTATTCTTTAAAATATTTCTATTGATGAATTATTAATTTTATGAGTGTCACTATATCAAACAATGAGTGTTTAACAGGAAAAACTATTACAAAAATAATTACATTTGTAATATTTATTGAGTGTTTCAAAAATTTTCAATATTGGGGCTGGGGATTTAGCTCAGTGGCACATCACTTGCCTGGCAAGCATAAGGTTCTAAGTTTGATTCCCAGCACCAAAAACAAAACAAAACAAAATTTTCAACATTGACTAGTTTTTGGTATACAAAGTCTAAAAAAGAACAACAAGGGGCTGGGGATTTAGTTCAGCGGCATAAGTGCCTGCCTTGCAAGCAGGCGGTAGTGAGTTCGATCCCTGGTACCGATAAAAAGTGAAAAAGACAAAAAAAAAAAAAAAAAAAAAAAGAACAACAAAAATAAAGTCCTGTAAATACCAATAGCACTCTACAAAAAAGTAATCTTTACTTCAATTATCATACCTAAGGCAGCCTTCACACATGACAATAGCACATTGTGTAGACACGTATTGCTTATATGGACAGCACATGCAGTTTGCTTTTCTGACCTTTTTTTAGGACATATAGTTGACTGGTCTTGCTGTTTTGTCAAGATGTTCTTATTATATTATACAGTGTGTAGATAACAGGAATAAAAATATCAATAAAATAAAGTATTAAATTCTGTATATTACACATTTAGAATAAACCAACATTTTCACATAATCTGTGTATTTAATTATAAAACCTAAGAGATTACATCAGAAATAAAAACCTATGTGAACTACAATAAAAATACAACAAAAACAATTTTTGTTTCAATTGTCACACCCAAGGCAATCTTTATACGTGAAAATTGCATGTTTCATATACAAGTATCACTTATGCTGATGGCATGTGTGTTTCATTTTCCTGTCCTTTCTTGTAGGACACAGCTGACATTTTTTTGGTTTTCCTGTTGTCACAGTAGGTTTTTAGGATGCTGCACATACATGTTCACCTGTCGGTTCACCAATGTGCTCCACAATTTTTTTTACATAATTCTCTGGCCATAAACATTTTGTTTTTCCTCTGCTGTAAATAATCTCTTATGAGTTACAGTCCCAATCCTCTAAGAAAATTTCTCCACAGTATTTTGCCCTTGTTATTTTCTTTGTAAACTATCAAACTATGCCATACATGTTTAGGATCAAGTAAAACACTACCATTGGCCAGTGTTTTGTGTTTCAAGTAACATTTTAATTGCTACATAACTCATCTACAACAAGTACTCTGCCTTTGGTTTTGCTGTAGAAATTTTCCATCTCAGGCTTCCATTTTGTTGTGGTTTCCCTATGAGTATTTCCATCATGGTGCAGTGTTGACATCAGCGGTACCAGTTTGTTTTTCTTTGCCATATACTAGACCAATTGAAATCTTTTTGAGATCCAAAGACTGTACTATATAATCTCTGTTTTGAAATTGCAACATTGCATTTGACATTTCTGTTTTGTTCTTGCATACAGTTCCCGTGCTAGTCAACTTGTGTTCTGTTAGCAAATGGAGCATCAATTTGAAACTGGTAAGCCAATTGTCAAAGGACACATTCTGATTAATTTGGGAGAAAAGTCTGTTGACATCATTTGATTTATTACTATATGAATAAGGACCTAATGGCTGAATTCCAGGATAAATGTCTAAATTAAAAGCAAACTAGGCTGGGGATTTAGCTCAGCGGCATAAGCGCCTGCCTTGCAAGCGTGCGGTCATGAGTTCAATCCCTGGTACCGATATTAAAAAAAATTAAAAATAAAAAAAGCAAACTAAGTCTTCTCATCTGCAAGGGTGTGATTTTTTATGCCATATTTTGATCCACTGCTTTTCCATAACTCTGTGATCACCATAAGAAACCGCTGCCAAGTACAGTAGACCTATGAATGCTTTCAATTCAGTTAGTGAAGTGTTATAATAAATACATTTTTAATATGGCTATTGGTACACATTTCAGCCTTTGCATATTTCACAGCATCTCATAGTACCTCATCTGTTATAACTTCTAACACTGAATGGCAGTGCTGACATTCTGTCCAATACCTTTTACCCCTGCCAACATGCTCACTATATTTTCTGACCTAATTCTAACATGCAGTCATTCCATTCAGTAGCATGGCCATTTCACATTTCGATTAATCAAATATGTGTTCACATTGTTTTATTTGTTATCTGAATCAAGGGGATCTGCATTCCCTGTGTTTCTATCAGTCAGTTCTTGCTTCATGTCACTGTCACATGAACTCTGGCTCACAGAGCCAACATCAGGGGCTGGGGATTTAGCTCAGCGGCATAAGCACCTGCCTTGCAAGCAGGCAGTCGTGAGTTCAATCCCTGGTACCAATAAAAGGAAAAAGACAAAAAAAAAAAAAGACAGAATCAACATCAAAGTCATCATCATCATCATCATCCACCCAAACCACTCTTCTGGTATGAAAACATGCATTTTACAACAACTGATCATCTTCATCATCCATGCATGAGTAATCTAACCCTTTTGAGCACCTCCCAAACTTGCAAATCTGGCTTTTCATGTGCCATTGTACTTAACTAGGCTATTTCTACCAGTAAAATCAAAAGAAAACTTTTAAAAAAACAAATCCTAAGGGTTGGCACAGTGCCTGGCTCAGTGGCACAAATACCTGGCTGGCAAGTATGAGGTCATGAGTTTGATCCCCAGTACAAAAAAAGCCCTACATAAATCCTAGAGTAGGGTGGGTGTATTACACCCTCTGTGATGCTCAGGCAAACATACACCAAACCTGTTAGCCAAGCATCATGTCAGTGAAAATCCTAATTTGACACTATTGCACACATGCACACATCATGCTTTGTATTATACCAAATGGGTAAACACAAAGATTTCTTCTTGTATCCCTCAGGGAAAGGTACCAAGAAACATGGCCATTTACTATTACACTTAAGTCAAAGTTCACAATAGAAAACTAACAGATGTGTTTGTGGAACCAGTGTTATGCTCTTTGGTCTAATCTCAGGTATTTTGTTTATAGCAGCACAAATGGAATAAGACAGGGACTCCTAGCTCTATATGCACAAGATATTACACTCAAAAGCTCTGCCATCTGTAGGGTGCTACAACCTTTTATTCCCCAGTACCAGGGTTTGAACCCAGGGCCTTTTTGCTGAGTTACATCCATAGCTCTTTTTTATTTTTTGAATTTTAATATTTTAATATCAACAAAAGATAACATATAAGTTGATAACCACTTCAACTTTGAATATATATATATATATATATTTTTCTCTTTTTAAACTCTCTCTCTCTCTCTCTCTCTCTCTCTATATATATATATATATATATATATATATATATGTATTTTTTTTTTTCAGCACTAGGGATTAAACCCAGGGCCTTCCCACTGAGCAATATCCTTGGCAGTTTTTATTTTGAGACACAGTCTTGCTAAGTCACTGAGCTGCGCACACTTGGCTAAAACTTTTATTTTATATATATATATATATTTTAGCAGAACTTGTTATGCAATGCAGGTCAGACTTGAACTTACTATGTAGACCACACTGGCCTCAAACTCACAACAACCCTCCTGCCTCAGCCTCCAGAGTGTTGGAACTAGAAGAGTGTGCCGCCATACCCAGCTTGGGTTAAAATTTGAGGCCTTCAAGGCCCCAGCTGTATCATCTGATCCCTGGTAAGAGGGTAAGGACACCAGGATTACTCAACCTTTATGCTGTCAGTTCCTGGGGCTCATGGTGGAATCAATGCCTGGCTTAGGGCTGAGGGTAGGAGTCCAGGGCTTATTAAGCAACATTGTTTCTAATTAGAAACATTCAAGAGGGGAGCTGAATTCATAGCATCCTCTGCCTTAGAATTTAAACAACCCAGCTTGGAAATCATTAGACAAGAGGAGGGGGTGGGGTGAATGTATGATGATGCCATGGTAGACCCCAATATTGGGCAAAGTTAATGTATACATATGTATATATTTTGTTGTTTTGAGACAGGCTCCCACTTGAGGTGATCCTTCTAATTGAGTCCTCTGGGTGCCCAGCACTTTTTAAAAATTTTATTACATATATATAATCTCTCTCTCTCTCATATATATATATATATATATATATATATATATATATATATATATTCTTTTTGAGACAGGGTCTGGAATGTAGTTCAGTCTGGCTTAGAGATCACTTTGTAGCCCAACTGGTCTCCAACTTGAAACAATTCTTTTGTCTCAGCCTCCTGAGTACTAGGATTACAGGTGTGTACCACTATACCCAGTTTAAAATTTTATTTTAAAGCAAAGTCTCATTAAGTCACTAAATTGCCCAGGCCAGGTTCAAATTTAATGATGTTTTTACCTTACTCTCCCACAGTACTGGAATTACAGGTGTTTACCACACACACCCCTGGATGCTTATGATTTATGGAAACACTGCCAGGTCTTTGGATGCAGTTTCTGGAGCCCCTGATATGTTTTGGGAGAGTTCACCTGTGATAAATTGATTGCATAAATGACCTCAATACACCACTCCCTGGATATATGCTTTTTGCAAAGTACTGTAATTCAGTAGCTTCTTCCCCAAGAAAAAGATTCTATTTTTCCACTACTGTAACATTTATCACTTGCTTTAACTAAGTAAGAGCAATGGGAAAAACACTGTGCTAGCTCTTAGTGAGTTTTTTTTTTTTTTTATCGCTACTGGGAATCAAATTCACGACAGCCTGCAAGGCAGGTGCTTATGCTGCTGAGCTAAATCCCCAGCCCCGAGTTCTTATTTATTTATTTCTCTCTCCTGAAACCCTTCCAAGCCCAAGCCAGTTGCCAGTAGGTGACAAGCCATGTGGCCTACAGGCTACCTACCCAGCTACCTCTACTCAGCCACATGAGAGACCCAGCTGAGCAAAGCCATCTGAGTGTAGATACATGTGTGGTAGCAAGCCCCTGTCGAGAGGAGAGATAGATAGATAGATAGAGATAGAGAGAGAGAGAGAGAGAGAGAGAGAGAGAGAGAGAGAGAGAGAGAAAGAGAGAATAATGGTTGTTTTTGTTTCTTTTTTCGAGACAGAGTCTCACTATGTAATTCAGTCTGATCTTGACTGTGCACCACCACACCTGGCAAGAATGGTTGTTTTAACAACTAATTTTAATGTTGGTTTATTATGAAGCAATACATCATGCTGATCTAATAACTGATCTAATAACTAACACCTAACACCTACCAATATCTCAAATGAGTGACTGAGACCCACAGATAACCAGTGACTTGTTCAGCACTACATAGCCTGTGGGGAGCTCAACTGTGAGTCAAACTTGTACCCTCAAGACTCAATCCCTACTGCCTCTGTATTTGCCATGGACACAGACAAGACTCTACTATTGTTAATTGAGGTTTACAGTCAACAGTCTGGAGAGCTACAAGCTACACCTTAAATATTTTCCTCATCCTGTTTTAATCCAAGCTCTCTTTGCATGTACATGAAATTTTATGTTTGCTTCTTTCTACAATTTATTTGAAGTGGAAGGGTTATTTTACCCTCTGTTCCTTAGCTTCCTCAGCTATAAGACGGAAATATTTTGTATTACTTCTTTGGGTGCCATGAAAAAATATGAGTTCATGTTAATAAAATGCTTAGACTAGAATCTGGCATGTATCAAGGGCTAGATCATTAAAAAAAAACATAATAGTATGACTAAAAATGAGCCATGGCAATGACAATTTTATTAGAGAAACAGTTTTATTTTGATCATGAGAGCCGCATGTTTTTCATTTTGATATGCTGAAATCAGTATTGCGTGTTGAGTCAGATTCTATGCCCTGCCATAAATTCCTCTATCTAAAACAGCACAGGAAACATCCTGTGGGTGGCTAACAAGTTTCTGAAAATCAGACATGCAAAAAAACACTTTTGAGATATTATCACACATTCATGGCACATTTCACAAAGAACATATTCTTCATAGGTTGTGTGTAAATCAAGCCCTAAAAATCCATGTTATCTGAACTCATCTCAGGAATTATTTTGCAAAATCAAATGGCTTTTATAAAGCAAATTTGTATTCTTTGACATTCAAAATATTGAACAGAAAAGAAAATGTTGAACACAGATGCAATGTCTGTGTCTGCTAAAATAAATCTTCCCTGCCTAGCATTCCCCTCAGGGGACTGTGATCCCTGTCTCCCATCCCAGAATCCCTTCCTTCAAGGTTGCCTGACACTGAAATTCAGTACAACTCAAAGGACCCCTAGAGGTCTCCTGTCTCTCATTTGGCCTTTAATCCCTAGCTCTTTAGCCCTGGGATCTGTGTGATTCCTGCCTCTCCTGAGGAAAGTTAAACAGGTTTGAAGGAGCTGTCTTCAATGACTCTGCTGTCGTTACACCGACAATCTGGATATTCAGCTGCCAAGTCTGCAGGTGGTAGACCCCAAGGATTCCTCCCAAGCTGGCAACAACGCGTTGGCAATGTTCTTCACAAACAGGGACATCCAAGAGACATAGCCCACAGCTCTGGCAAATGACCACATCTGGTTCTAAGAGTTGGAGGAATATACATCTCTTGTTCAGTCTCTGAGAGACTGCTTGCATGAGCACAAGTATGAAAGAAGGCCCTGACACACTTTGCAGTCTTCTTTAAATATTTTAGGCTCTAGTATTATTCTGTGCCCTTAAACACACTATTCTGTTGACCTCTAATGCCTGATGTTTCTCTATATTTTTCTCCCATTCCCACTCAGCAATACATTACTGCCTTGCAAACTTTTACTCATCCTCAAGATGGTGTTCACAGGCCTCAGGTTTCAAGTGGCAGGCAAAGCATAGTATTAACTATTGCCATTAAAGTAACAAATAAGGGCCAGGGATATAGCTCAGTGGCACGGTTTTGCCTGGCAAACACGAGGTCATGAATTTGATTCCCAGTACCTAAACAAATAAATAAGTAGAATAACAGAAAAACATATTTTTAAAATAAATAATTGGAAAAAAATTAAATTCCTCAAAGATTAAAAGCAAGCAATCTTAAATTGGAAGTAAAGGCAAGACAAAAAAAAAAAAAAGAGAGAGACGTCATCAAAGACACTAGAGGAAGCCAGCACACTCCCCTAGGGAGCCCTAGAGAAGGTCCAAGCTATATGTGTTAGGTGCTGAGCCCACAAGCCCCTATATCAAGAGCAGAGTCTCCCAAAGCAGAGAGATTCGTCTTCCTTTAAAAGAGAAGGGCAGGGGGCTGGGGATTTAGCTCAGTGGCATAAGTGCCTGCCTTGTAAGCAGGCAGTCGTGAGTTCGATCCCCGGTACCGATAAAAAGGAAAAAGAAAAAATAAAAAAAAAGAGAGGGCAGACATGGCCAAACAGCCTCCTCAAGTATAGGAGTGCAGCTCAGTGACAGAGTGCTTGTCCTGCACTCCTGAAGCCCTGAATTCAATTCCCAGCATTGAAAAAACAAAAAACCCAAAAACTTGAGATCATCAGGCTGACCTCTTCTGATTTTGTCATTGGAGAAAACTCAATGTCCTGGTAAACTGCAGCCAGAGACACACATACCCTGTGGGGTTGTAAAATGAATGAAGTTAGCAGAGGTTCGCCCGAGAAGCTTTTCTGGCTTAGTTGGAGGGAGAGAAAGGAAGGACAGATGTAGAAAGGTACCAGTGTAGGACCAAACAGCTGGCTCCAAAAGCTTGGGACAGTGCATCTTTGGTTCCTTTCTGCTGCCCTCAACCTGCAGCGTTAGACATCGCTGGACAGTTTCTCAGCAGCAGCTGACACCTGAGACTCAGAATATGGCAGCAGCCCCAAGGTCACTGTGCCATCCTCAGCACTGCAGGCAACCTGTGTCTCTCTTGTCTATCTTGTGAAATGCCTAGGACCCCATACAAGACCTCAGTCAATGAGTTTTAGCTGGTGTCAGTTCTCAAGAGACCTTGGAGGTCACTGGTTCAATATCCCATTAAGATGCAAATACTGTCAGTTATATCCTTGTCTGAAAATCATCTAGGTCACTGACTCAATTTGTACTGTATTTCCAATCATTTTTTTTTCTAGGTGGGGAGATTTGATGAACTTGATTTGAAGGAGGCAACAGCACAGTAAAAGCCTTCAGGTGTGCAAGGCCCCGATTTGTCCAGGAGACCATAATTCAGGATGTATTTTACCCTATCTACAGCCATCAGCATAAGGTTCTCAGTCACCCTGCCTTCAAACTCATCTGCATTAAACTTGGTGAAGATCCTTTTTTGAGATGTGGATTTTCTGGTGGCCAGAGAACTTGAACTTGGCCCTGTGTAAGACCTTGATCACATGTTATTTTTTTTGCAGTTTAATGCAGATGGACGTAATGACTTGTCCAATGTGAACCTTTGCCACCTAGCACCCAAAATTAAAGAAAGAAAGGCTTATTTCAGTTCACAGTCTGTAAAAATTTCAGTACATAGTTGGCTGGCTCTAAGACAGGGTGGCATGCCAGAGGGGCACTGCAGAGGACAAACAGTCCATGGCAGAACATACAAGAGGCAACTAGCAGTAGCCTCCATTTCCCTCTTATTCCATCCAGGCTACCAGCACTTTGGTTGGTACCACATACACATGGGATGGGTCTTTCCATTATCCACACTCAGAACTATGCTAAGAAGAAACACAAACCCTAGATTCAGCCAATTTCAAAAAGCCCAGCCTATGAGTGCTCTCTAGATAGGAGCCATAACATTGGGATTGAACCCAGGGCCTTTACACTGCTACATCTGCAACCCTTAAATTTTTGACCCAAGTCTTGCTAAATTGCTAAACTTTCCAAGCTGGGGAAAAACTTGGAATACTCCTGCTTCAGCATGCTACAGTTCTGGGATTTTAGGTGTGCGCTATAATACCTAGCTGGAGAGAGCAATATTTTTGGTTTCTAAAACAGAGTCACGCTATATGTTTCAGGCTGCTCTTGAATTCACTTTTAGCACAGGCTGGCCTCAAACTTTCAGCAGTCCACCTGCCTCAACTTCCTGAGTGATGGGATTATAGGTGTGCACCCCTCTGTCCTCCATGATTCTTCTCAATTCTTTGAAGCAAATTGAATTCTGGATCATAGACCAATACTGCCCTATCAATTAACTTGCTTTTAGGATTAAATAACAAAAAACCCAACCAACCCAAAATGGCTTAAATAATAAAGATAACTGGCCAAAATGGAAAAGATCACAATGAAAATGACTGACTTTGATCAGAGCACTGGCAATGGTTCTCTGCAATAATCTTGGTTTTCGCCTTCCTCTGGGTACCTCAGCTTCACCCTCTGGCTGATTAGTCTCATGGCTGCCAAGCAGCCATGCTTCACACATGCTTCCTCCTCCTTATCCAGGAGAAAGCATTATTTCCCACAACCCTTGAACAGAAGTTCTGAGTTTTTCTCTGATCTCATGAATCAATCACTGTGCTATCAGGATGGATTTACCTCGATAGGGTTAGACCAGTTAGAGCCCACCCTGGGGTAGAGTATGCTACTATTCAACCAGACTATTGGTTGTTAAACCCACAATGTCTACTTCCTAAAGACTAAAAATCATCAGAGTATAATACCTCAGCACACTTTTCCCCCTGTCATTATATAACAAATTACCCAAAACTTAGCAGCTTAAAACAAGAGATTCCATTTACTATCTCACAATTTCAGTAGAACGGGAATTTGGGCCTGGTGTAGTAGGGTTATTTGCTTTAGAGTCTTTCACTAGGCAGCAATCAAGATGTGTTAAGAGCTGGAGGTATAGCTCAGTGATAGACCATTTGCTTGAATGTACAAGAACCTGGATTTGATCCCCTAAAACGAAAAAGATCTGAGGGAATCCCTGTTTCTTGTATTCATAAAGCCTGTGCCCTCTACCTCTGAGTAAGGACTGCATAGAGGAGTGATTTACATCTGACACAAACTGTCAGCAACTTGTTTTTTAATTGTTAAGAGATTAAAACTTTTGCTTAGGACATGTCCAAATTATACATTTTATTTTTAGAAATCATTCTTTATATTTAAATTTTTAAAAGAAAAATCTGAAATATTGATAAATAGTCTGCATGCTGTTAAGCTAAAACAAATGCTGGGGAAATACAGCTGGGCACAGTGGTGCATAGCTGTAATCTTAGGAGTAGAGTTAAAAGATAACTGTGAATTTGAGGCCAGCCTGGGCTACATAGTGAGTTTTAGACAATCCTAGACTACATAGTGAGACCCTGTCTAAAAAAACAAAAAACAAAAAAACATCATATGAGTGGTAGCAGATCCCTATATAGGGGAAAGGAGTCTGAAGGCAGAAAAAGAGTAAAATACAGATGTCATTAGGCTTTCTGGCTAATCTTAACTAGAAAGAGTTAAAACTTTGCTAGATGAGGCAATTAAAAGGATAAAGAAAAGAGCTGATAAACAACAGGAGGAAGCCGGGTGTCTTTACTAATTCAAACAACCCTTACCTCTCCAACAAAATGCAAGGAAGACAAAAGGTAACCATTAAAAAGAAACCATTACTTATTATTTATGAAATTTATTTAATATATAAAAATACACCTATGCGTGTAATTTTTTCTACTGTTGGGCTCTAGGGTCACTGTATTACTGCACTAGATATACACACATCCCCTTACTTAATCATTAATTTGACCTTATGTGTAAGGCTCCTAACCTACTCCTATAAGCCCAGAGATAGTCCCTGACAAGGACAAATGAGTAGGGGGAAATCAAATAAAGCCCATCTAGGAATGTGCATGTAGGCAACAGTGCCCAGGTTAGGATCTTGGGGTCTATGATCTAACCTAAGACAGCGCATCAGGTTGTGACAAGCTCCAGGGGAAAGCATCCCTATCACTTGATAAAAGGAAGCTGGACACAATCCATTGGCAACTGTCTTTTGATTTTTCTTTCCTACAAATAAGCGTCTTCCCTTTTAAACTTCATTCCTTTAATTGGTTACTGGTGCTGAGTTTAGAATCCTGGTAGGCTGAAGAGTAGAGGTGTATATGCCAGATGCAACACTTATATATATATATATATATTTTTTTTTTTTTTTGGTCTTTTTTGTTTTTATCGGTACCAGGGATCGAACTCACGACTGCCTGCTTGCAAGGCAGGTGCTTACGCCGCTGAGCTAAACTCCCAGCCCCAGATGCAACACTTAAAATCTCAGCAGTTGGGAGACTAAGGCAGGAAGACCACCATAGTAAGATTGTCTCAAAAAACAAAAACAAAACAAACTATAAAAGGACTTGAGAGAATGCGTTAAGAAAGTGATTTATTTAGGTTAATTTTATTTTGTGAAGCTACCCAAATGTTAAAAATAACATCACTTGTTATGGAATCTAGAGACTGCAAAATTTTAAAATTCTGTGCTGCATTTTTGGTGCTGATACAGTTTTGTGTAGTTTTTTTCAAATGTCTGTGCATTAAAAATTGTTTTCTATGGAATTAGTATCTTTTGGCCTTTTTGAGATAGGGTTTTACTATGCAGTTCAGCCTGGCCTTGAACTCACTTTGTAGGCCAAGTGGCCTTGAACTTGTGGTGCTCTTCCTGCCTTAGCCTTCTGAGTGCTGGGATTACAAGCATGTGCCATCATATTCCACTAGTATTACATTTTGAGATAAAGAATTTATATTGCTTGATAAACTTTAGTTTGTAAATTTTAAGTTTATTCATCTCAACTTAAAATAATGAATCAATAAACTGATGAAATACAAAAGATGTCAACTAGGGCTGTAGTTAGTTACCTCAAGGTACAAATGGAGAAAGATTCCCTTTTCCAAGCTCACACAGCTGCTGGTATGATTCAGTTCCTTGAGGGTTTTGGGACTCAGGGCCTAAATTCCTTGATGTTCGCTGGAGGCCCCCTCAAATCTTTACAAGGAGCTCCAGCAGAGCAAGCATACTGCCAGAAAGAAAATCTCAGTAAGGAAGCTAGAAGACAGTCTTTCAACCTCATCACAGAAGTGCTAGCTTATCACTTGCTATACTGTTCACAGAAGCAAATCACCAGGTTCAGCCCCATTCATGGGAGTGTACTACCCAGAAGCTGAATACTAGGCAGCAATGGCCTCTGGGACCCATGCAAATAGCTGTCCAGCATATTTAGTAAACAGGCTCTCATTTCTTTTCATACCACCATAATTAGTTTTTTGGGCTTCAGTCAAAGTCTTACTATGTAGCTGACTGGTTTCAAACTATGTAGTTTTATATGTAACCCCAGCATCTGTAACCCCAGCAATTGAGAGGCTACTGCAGGATTGCAATGCATTCAAAGACAGCCTGGGCTACATAGTGAGTGAATTTCATAGCAAGAACCTATCTCACCCCCGCCCCAAAAAAACCCTATTATATATCCCAGGCTGACCTCAAACTTTAGGCAATCCTCCTGCCTCAGCCTCCCAAGTGCTGGGATAACTGGTCCGTGCTATCATGCCCAGTTTTATTCAATGTATTTTAAAGTAGTTTTTATACTTTTTATTAATACCACAATTCACAATAAGAATATATTTTGAATTAAGGCCTAATAAACATATATATACATACATGCTATATTTTGGATCTGGAATGTTCTCCAAAGCCCATGTTATGTTGGCTTGGTGTCCAGTGTGGCATTTTGAGAGGTAACAAAAACTTTTACGATGTGTGGCATATGAGCAGTCTTTGGTCACTGGAGTCATGCTCTTGAAGGGAGACACAGGACCTTGGGGACAACCTCTTCCTCATTTGCAAGTCCTGGAAGAGTCTGCTCCACCACATATCTCACCACAAGTCCAAATTAATGGGCCAACTGGTTATGGACTAAAACCTCCAAAATAAACCTTCCCCCTTCTTCGTTTATCTCAGTATTTATTACAGGAATGTAAGGCTAACACTATATATACACTGAAGTAAATGCTTCAAATAGTAGTATTTTCTCCTGGGCAGGGGTATACCACTACACTGAGCTACACTGGGCTACAGCTCAGTAGAACACTTGTCTACCGTGTGTAAAGTCCAATAATATTTACCTTTATTGTGTAATACACTCTGATCTACTCTCCCTTCCTTTGCTCTTCCCTCCCTTCCTCTCTACACGTCTTTTTTTTTTTTTTTCACGAGTTTTACTATATAGTCCAGAATGGCCTTGACTTTGTTACACAGTCCAAGTTTCATTGAATTTGGGACCCATCCTGCCTCAGCTTCCCAAGTGCTGAGATTACAGACATACACCACTATTGTTTCCTTTCTCTTTTGGGGGGTGACGGGGCAGTCTTGCTGTTCAGCCTAGGCTTGAACTCACTACGTAACTTGAGCTGGCTTTCAACTCACAGTGACCCTCTCACCTTATGACTCCTTTCTTTTTGCAGTGTTGGGGAGCAAATCCTGGTCCCATGCATGCCAAGCACATCCTCTGCCACTAACTCTACACTCCTAACCCTCTGTCTCCTTTTGAAGGTGACTTTGTATTAGTGGGAGTTGAACCCAGGCCTTTTCCCACTGAGCTACATCTCCATCCCACCCCACTTTTTATAAGGGTTTCATAAATCCTTTAATTGCCCAGATTAGGCTTGAACACTCAACTCTCCTGCCTCCATCTCCCAGAGTGCAGAGATTATAGGCACGTGTCACCGCATTCAGCTTAAAATGATCATCTAATTTATTATCTCAGTAGGAGGTGTTATAAAATATTCTATTACGGGCCAGGGATTTAGTTCAGCAGCACAAGTGCAAGGTCCTCAGTTCAATTCTCAGTACCAAAGATAAATAAATATTCTACTGCATCTTGAGTCAGTTTTTTTGTTTTTGCTCATCTTTTTGAGACAGGGTTTTGCTATGCAGTTCAGGCTGGATTTAAACTCACTTTGTAGCCCAGGCTGGCCTTGAACTCACAGCAGTCCTCTTCCCCCAGCCTCCCAAGTGCTGGGATTATGGGCATAAACCACATTTGGCCAGTCAGTCAGTTTTTATTGTGAGAGAAAGCAAGATTTCAAATTTGAATCTTTTGGACCCTTTAAGTAGGCATTGATCTATTCATAAGGGTGGGGCCCCTGGAACCCCAATGCTTCTCATTAGGCCCCATTTCCCATGACTGTTGCATTGAGGCGATTATGTTTCCCCATATGCTCTTGGGTAGGTGGGGGAACACACTGAGACCATAGCAACTGGCAAAAAGTTTCATAATATTCCTTTCTCTTCTTCCTCCAGTCCTAGGGATTAAACACAAGGCCTTGGCACTGAGTTACGATGCAGCTCTTTTAAAAAATTTTTATGCTGGACATGGTGACTCATGCCCAGCACTTGGGAGACTAAGGCAAGAGGGTCACCATGAGTTTGAGACCATAGTGAGTTTAAGGCCAGCCTGAACTACACTGAGAGACTGAAGTACTGAGACTCTGTCTTTCTTTTTTTTTTCTTTTCTTTTCATCAGTACCAGGGATCGAACTCATGACTGCCTGCTTGCAAGGCAGGTGCTTATGCCACTGAGCTAAATCCCCAGCCCCCAACCCTGTCTTTAAAAAAAAAAAAAAAAAGTGAGGTGAGGTGCGAAGAAAAGATGGACCTGCAATCTGACTCACAACTGCCTTCTCCGGGCCCCAGTTTTGCCCCTACAGACATTCAAAACATATCTTCTCTCCCAATCTCAAAAACTCTACTATCTTGCCAGGCATAATAGTGTATGCCCTCTATCTCAACACTCAGAATGTGTTTTAAGGCAGGAGGATTGCAAATTCCAAGGTCAGCCTGCACAACATAGTAAAATCATGTCTCAAAACACAACAAAAATAGTTCTATTTGGAAACAGCATCTGTCTTTCCTAAGTCTGTCCTTTTCATGTATAACACTGCCAATTCCCCAGGTCTTCTGTCTTCTTGGGACACTGTTTGCCCTCCATCCTATTCACCCTCCTCAGGCTATAACTAAGTTTGTCAATATGCCTCCTAAAATGTTACTTCATGTTTTGAAATCCTTAAGTTTAACAGCTCTCTAAGGTGAGGACTGACCTTAAGGAGTGAACTGACCTTCAGAAGCATTTTATGTTGAGGCAGCTATTTCATTTCCTCACTCAGCAAATGCTATTGATAATCATATTCCAGTGAGAGGCCCATGGAACCTGATCAGTTTGCTTTCCAGCTTAAAACTCTCACACTACCTTCCAATTTACTCTAGATAAAATACTCATTCTTTTTATGCAGCCTATAAGGTCCTATGTAGTTGGCTTATCCAGCCTTGCATTTCACCATTCCCACCTTTGTTGTAGTCTTCTGGTCCTTGCCCAGGTCCAGGAATGCATGCCTGCCTTAGGAGCTTCCCATTCATACAACCTGTTCCCTCTGTCAGAGAACCCCACACTCACTCTACCACCTAATTTGATTCCTCTGCATCTTCAGGTTTAAAATTTTCTTCCTCAGGGGCCAAGAGTTTAGCTCAGTAGCACAAGCACCTGCCTGGCAAACCTGAGGTTATGAGTTTGATCCCTGGTGCCAAAAAAATATTCTTCCTCCAGGGCAGATTAAATTGTTGTGGAAATCTGCCATCAAACCAAATGGAAGACCTCTGCAACTGGGAGTTGCAAGGCAACTATTTATTACACTAGTGGGCTGGTGGGACCAAGTTTGAATCACTAGCTCTGACTAACAGTGAAACAGAAACTTCAACACATTTTGTAAGCAGGAAGTACAAAAGCTGAAAATGGGTTATCACATAATTGGTTAGATGGATCAAATTGTATGTTGCCAGGCAGGTTTGTTCAGAGCACGTTAGAGGAGTTGTTTACCATAAGGCAAGAGAAAATAGGGAGGGCTGGGGCTGAGGTGGTGGTTGGAACTAAGCATGTCCTTGACTAGTTTGTCTTGGTTGCACAATTCTTGAAAATATGTTTATATGTCAGACAGTGCATGCAGTCCAGATGGATGCAGTTAGACTGAGTCAGGTTGGATTATCTCTAAGTTTGCAGTGACATGGTCAATCAAGGCTGAGTTAAATGGTCTAACTATGTGGTTGACTGTGTGAGCACATCTTGCCTTAACAGAGCATTAGACTATTGAATTTTAACTTTTCTGTTACAAAGTTCCCCAGCCATATACCCTACTCTTTTCTCAGGACTTTGCTCAGCTGCAACCTACTTGAGAAATTAACTGCAATTACTTTTATTTATAATTATAAAACTATAATCTATTTGCAACTATCTTGCCCTCTAGGTTGGCCATCCCATGATTACACTAATATCTAGGATTAGACCTAGCATATAAAAGGCACTCAACTATGTATTGATTATATAAAGCATGCGTATTGGTACTTAAGACCTAGGGCATCAAAGATAAATACTAGCCTTGCCCTGAACCATTCCTAGTCTGGGAATAGGGTAAAGGAGAAAAAGCAATGGGATGTGCTATACTCATAATTTATATAGAGGATGGAACAGCTCAGTGTGCTTTACAGGATCTGGAAAGACTTTGTGGAGGTGCAGACTTGCTCCCTGAGCAAGAATAGAAGGAAAAGAGTGCAAGACAGAGAAGACAATGTGACCTACTTCAGAGTATCTGTCAGGTTATACCTGAAAGGGACATGGAGTCTGAGAGGAAATTGGGGGGGGGGGGCAACCCTAAGAACAAACTTTAGAAACAGATCAATACCTCTCTCAGATTAGGGAGGCTTGTCTCTGATGATTTTAGGGATGGAACCAAAGGCCTCATGTATGTCGAGCATGCATTCTACCTCTAGTTCATTACCAGTCCTTAACATGTCAGTTACAGTACTTACTGATAAATGCTAATAATTTCATTAGACTGATTTGTGCTCAAAACTGAGTATCTTACAATAGTCACCATTTTATGTGCTCAAAGTTTTGGGGTCAGCAATTTAGATTGGTCTTGATAGAGGTCATTCACACAGTTGAGGCCATCTGACTGCTGTCCCAGAATGGAAGGTCCAAGATGCCCTCCAGCTGGATCCATAGGGTAAAAGAAATTACTTAGCTAAGACTAAGTACTCTAAGCTTCTTCCCTTATTAAAATGGGTCTAAAAAGGAATATCTACTAGGGTTTTGTGAGGATAAAAAACAACAAAGGGGCCTTTGGTTCAATCACTGTGACCTGCATGAAGAATCCTAGTTTTGGGAAAAACTCAAATCGGAAGTTCCTAGGAAGGTTTTCATGCTACTCTTGACCATGAAATCAAGCCAGACACTCATAACTAACTACACCAGTTGCAAACTATCATTAAGGAAATTGATCCTGGAGGTTACCAGAGGACTGTCAGACTCTAAAGAGATATAAATCCCAATACCCTTATTTTGTCCAAAAGTGAAAAACTAGGCATTCAGGTATCCCAAAGATAAATAGGAAGTTTTAGCAATGCAGTTGTAAATCAACTTATTTTCCACAACGTGAAATTCTAGAAAAGGCAAAATATAGTGACAGAAAAACAATGATTACCTGGGATGTGGAACGGAAGGGAATAAGTGCAAAGAAACACAAAGGAGATGGAATTAACTTCTGTATCGTGATGGTGATCCTAGGTACACTATTAATTACTAAAACTTATTAAACAGAGCTGGGAATGTAGCTTAGTGCTAGAGTACTTGCTTAGAGTATACAAAATCTGATATTTATTCTCTAGCACTAACCAAAAAAATAAACAAACAGAACTTCAAAAAACAGTACATTTATAACTGAATTCAGACATGAAGGCAGACACCTAAAACTCCATTACTCTGGGAAGCTGAGGCAGGAAGATCACAAGTTTGAGTCCATCCTAGGCAATTTAGTGAGAACCTAACTCAAAATAAAAATGGCTAAGGGATACAGCTCAATGCAAGGTCTTAAGTTCACTTTCCAGTAGCCTCAAAACAAAACAATAATAAAACTGATGGATTACACAGTATATAACAAAAGTTTTCTTTCAAAAAGAACATGGTGAGGGCTAGGTGTTTAGCTCAGCAGCTTAAGTGTCTGCCTGGCAAGTTCAAGGTTGTGAGTTCAATCCCCAGTAACCAACACCACCAAAACAAAAAGAACACAATGATAGCTGGGTATGGTGGTACATGCCCATAATCCCAGAACTCAGGAGGCTGAGGCAAGAGGACTGCTGCAAGTTTGAGGCCAGTCTAGGCTACACAGTGAGTCCCTATCTCAAAAAAAAGGCAGGTCTTAAACTCACAGTGATCCTCCTACCTCTGTCTCTCAAGTACTAAGATTATAGGTGCATCTCACCATGTCTGGCTCACTTAATATTTTATTGCTGAAATTCATCCATATTACTATGCATCAGTATAGTTCATTTGTTTAGACAACTGTGTAATACTCCACTATGTAAATATTCAAGTTTATTCATCCATTCTGTGGCTCATGAGCATTTGGATTATTTCTGGACTTTTCTGCTTTTGTGAAAAAAGCTGCTATAAACATTGTTTACATGTGTCTTGGTGTACACACATTAGTTTCTCTAGGATTTATCGCTAGTATTAGAATAACCAGGATATAGAGTAGGTAACCATTCAATTATAGGAGACAAATTATTTTTCAAAGTAGTTATCTGCTTTTTTTTTTATCACAGTCTGTCTGTCTGCAATTAGACTGTAACTCTAGGCGTAGGAAATTGCTTCCTTTTCAATTAGTACTCTTTAGAATTCAATCAGCATTAGGCTGGATATCCAAAGGCTAAGGGCAGAAACCCATACAGCAGAGTCCTCTCAGCCTTAGAAAATACTATGTACAATATAAATAGCAGGCAGGTTTGGGGGGTGGATGCACACAGCAATAATCCACACTCAGGGCTGAATTCTCAGCAGGAGAATTGCTGAGAATTTGAGGCCAGCCTGGGCTACGTGAGTTCAAAACCAATCTGAACTACATAGCAAGACCTGTCTCAAAAAATCCAATTAATAATTAATAAACAACAGGAAGCAACCATATGCATAGAGGCTGGTTAGGGTCCTACTCAGAGTACCAGCAAAGCTCCCTAGGTCTTCCTACCTTCCCTTGATCTAGAGTCTAGAAGACTATCCAAGCCCTCAGCTACAATGCAAATCCTAAGAAAAAAATAAGGTTTAACTTCAGCTAAAGATCTTCTTAACTGATACTTTAGGAGCCAAGTAAGAATCAGCAGAAAAGGGCCAGAAATACAGCTCAGTGGCACAGTGCCTGCCTAGCAAGTGCAAGGTCCTAAGCTTGATTCCAGTAAAAAAAAAAATAAAAATAAAAATAAAGAACAGGAAAAGCATAAAGGACAAAAGGAATAGAAAAAGGAGGAGAGGGATAAGAAAAGCAAGAAGTGCCAAGAAACATTCAGAAATCCTAAAATTATATACCACTGTCTGCACAGGGTTTTTTCAGGAAAAAAATTTTAATAAAAAACAAAATCCACAGTGACCATCAGCCAGTTTTGTTTCGCTTTGTTTTTGAGACAGGGTCTTGCAATATAGTTCAGACTGGCCTTGAACTCACTATGTAGTCCAGGCTGGCTTTGAACTAGGGATGATACTTCTGCTTCAACCTCCCAAGTTCTGGGATTACAGACATGTGCCACCACACTCAACGACTGTAAGCAGGTTGTAATATCCGTGCCATAAAGGTTATCTTCTTTGGACTAATGCTACCAAAACATAACTACAAAACCATCACATGGTAAGTAAATTATGTAATGTTACCCTCAAACACAAATTGTGTGAAGTAAAGCCCGGTGATGCTGGGAAGTGTTGAGGGATTTGAAGTGGGTCAAGGGACAGGCCAAAATTAGAAACAAGCACAAAAACTGCCCTAGTTGAATCTCTAGTACCACAAAACACTAAGATTCCCAGGTACAAATGCAAAAGGTGGTGAGTTCTCAAATATTCTAACAGCTCCCTAGCTCCTTGTCCTACAGGAGCTCATGGAATGCTGGCTGCTAGATGAAGGAACAAAGAAGGAACCCACAAAAAGAGTATGACATTCCTATAGCAGAAGCAGCTTCTCCAGCCACAGCAGTGCCACTGATAGCACAAGGAATAGCCAGAATTATTCAGCACAGCAGAGTTTTCTCAACAAGTAAGAAGTTATGCATCAGCTTAAAATATTTAGTCACTTGCTCCTCAGTTTAGATCATAACCCACATGGGGAAACTAGGGAGGCTTGCTGGATCTGTCAACTAATTAAATGGAACTTACCTCAAGCATTAGAGGAGATTTATAACCAGACGCCTGTAACCAGGCTGAGGTGTTGGGGTTAGGCACCTTAGAGCTTCAGCTCCCACTGGGAACAAACAGAACTATAACAGTACCTGGACTGACATGAAGTTCCCAACAATAGCCCCAGATCTAGGGAGCTTCAACGATTTTATTGACTAACTGCTTCTTCCCAAGTTTACAGCTTACAGTGTGGGCCTGCTCACCGGTTCCCCCTTCTAATCCTCAAAAGGGCATGAAACTTTAGCACAGTTGTGGAGATGGGGTGGAAGTATAAGTGAGCTAGCAACCTGCTGATGCTCCACAACTGGACATCAGGACATACAAACTCCTACTTCTTACTGCTTAAACTGTCTTCAGAAAAACTGGAAGAAATTGGAGGCAGTATCCAGAGTGTTTATCTGCTAATGGTCTCGGTTTCTGGTACCTCCAACAGAATATACCCTTTGTCTTCCTAATTCAGGAACAGGGTAATGCTATGTTAACCTATGCAATTTGCAGAAGTACATAGGCCCAAAATTGGCCATCAGGTTTGGCAATACCAGTTCGCCAACCTGGCAGGACTGAAAGAAACAAAATGTGTCCATAAAAAGCTTTCGGAAGTGAGACAGGTCTTCCACCTGAACCCTGATGCTGTATTGGTTGGCCAGAAGCTCAATGGTGCCTTGCACCACATACTCATTCTGTAAGTGTGAGAGTGAGCAGGTGGAATAAACAACATGACCTCCTGGTCTGGTGGCAAGAAGTCCAGCCCTGAAAATAGAAACAGAAAGAAGCAATGACTAGTGAGCTTCCCAGTTGTAGAAGCAACCAAAGAGTTAAAAACAAAGCTAGGGCAGTCTACTACACAATGGGGAAGTGAATTCGATACCCCTTTAAGTCCCTTCTATGATGACACTGCCTGAAACTTATTCTCAAAGCAGAGAGCAACCCAATCTTATTCCATGAACTCTCCTAGTCTAGGAAGGCTTCTTTTGTATCCTGACTCTAGTTACGGAATAAACCCTAAAGCTGGTGATACTCTGACTTTTTACCTCAGCCCTCAGTAGTTCATTTTCTTTTCCTTTCTCTTCCTCTTTCCCTATCTCCCTTCTTTCTTTTTCTTTCTTTGTTTTGTTTTGTATTTTAAGACAGGGTCTCCCACTGTAGTCCAGGATAGCCTTGAACTTGTGGCAATCCTCCTGCTCCAGCCTTCCGAGTGCTGGGATTATAGGAGTACACCACCACGCTGAGCTTTTCCTTTTTTTTCCCCCCTGAGACAGAGTCTCTCTATGTAGTGCAGGCTGGCCTCACACTCACAGTGATCCTCCTTGCCCCAGCTTCCCAAGTGATGGGATTATAGGTATGCACCACCATGACTGGCTCTTTCCGTTTTTTTAAAGAAGCAGTCTCACTATTTTTCCCAGGCTAGAATCCAGGGCAGCTCCAAACTTCTGGGCTTATGTGATCCTCCTTCCCAGCCTTGCAAGTAGCAGAGATTACAAGTATACACCATTGAGTCTGGTAATAGCTATTTTTCAAATATGCAAGTCACTGGTATTGAGGGCAAAACAGCATGAGTAAATTTTTATGGGATTCCCTGATATGTCCTACCAGATAGTGTTTTTAATGTTCCAGAGAAGGACCATCACATGTCCCCTTCAGCAAATCTCCAGCTGTAAGACCCTTCCATGGGTAACGGTCTTAGCAAAAACTTCTGACTCCTCCAATCTCCCAAATGCCCAGAATCCTAGCGCACTCAGGCACAAATCCTTGAGATTTTGTAAATCTATCACTCACGCGAGTAGCTGCACCTGCAGCATAGGCAACATCTGTCGCTCCTTCTTCCTTGACCGCTGAAAAATGTTATTCTCTTCCTCATAGAGCGAGTGTCGGTCTGTGGTACAGGGCACATCTACCAGCACCTGCTCAGAGGTAAAGGGTAAAGCATTAAAGTTCCTCCTACTGAAGCCATAAGCTGTCTTAAAACTTTGGCCTAGAAGGTTCCTGAAGTGTTCCTTCTTCCCATCCTTCCATTTCAGAAAACCTGACAAAGCTACTTATTTTAGCCTTTTAGACAACTGTGCAATATATGAGTGGGAAATAGTATATTCAGCAATATTTGTGAATAGTCAAAAAGCCCAAATCAATACATAAATAAATATAAAATTAAAGAATATCAACTGAGAGTGATTCAGGGGTGTATTCTTACCTACTTGGATGAAAACATCCAGTTCATAGATGTTATAATGCTCAATTTACAGACAATATCAAACAACAAAATTTGGATTCAAAGTTAAATTAAAACAATGTCAGATCTAATAGGAAAATGTTTTAAAGTAAGAAATATAAAGTGACTCAGGCATCACTAAAAGCCTACTGTGTCCTAAACACTAAAGAAAAAATTTTTAGCGCCGGAGAGTTAGCTCAGCAGCTCAAGCCTTGCCTGGTAAGCATGAAGTCATGAGTTCCATCCCTGGTAACAAAATAATAATAATAGTAGTAGTAGTAGTAGTAGTAGTAGTAGTAGTAGTAGTAGTAGTAGTAGTTTGTGCTGGGGCTTTAGCTCAGTGGCATAAGCACCTGCCTGGCAAGTGCAAGGTTGTGAGTTTGATCCCAATACCAAAAAAAAATTCTTTTTTGTTTCAGAAAGTATAATTATCTTTGGAAAACATCTGTTTCAGTTAAGCAGAAATTCTAACTAAATTAAAAAATTACCCAGCATTCAACATTCTGATGTGTTCTCAGCTGCCTTGATAGATTCAGTGTATACAGAGTAAGAAAAACGATCACCTCATATTTTACTCAGGCTTTATGGAACTATGATGAGGCTGTCCTTCACAAGAAAAATGAAATACTAATTAATGGGGATGTCCACAGAAGGACCACTGTGATATTCTTTGTTTTTTGGTACATTTGTTTGTTTGCATTGAGATATTCTAGAAACCATCTCATAGAAGAATTTAATACTTTTTTTTCTATTAATATATAGTAAATTAGATTTACTAAAAACTGTTATGACAACAAAACTTTACAAGGCTGGGTAAAATGTATTTGAAAAATTTAAATGTAGCATTCAAAGATTACAAAAACCTCCAAAAGAGAATTAAAAAAAAAGGAAAATAAATCTAAGAAGGCATGTAAAAAGCTAAAGTTAATGGCCTCTGGGGTTGCATTGTTTTGTTTTCAGTACAATACTGGGGACTAAGTTAAATTAGGCCTAGAAGGTCCTAGAACCTTCTAGGCCTTTTGTACTGAGCAACATCTCTACACTTTTTTTTGAGACTGAGTCTTGCTAAATCACTAAACTGTCCAGCCTGGATTGCCATCTGCTATCCTCCTTCCTCAGTCTACTAGACTGCTGAGATTATGGACATGTGCTACCATGCCCAGCTAATGGTTTATGCTTTGTTTTGTTTTTTACTAATTCCTATTAAGTAAAAGCCTAGAAGGACAAAAAACAGCATTTCCCATGTGAAATGAGACACTGGAATGAAAACCCATACCAAAGCCAAATCTTCAAAGAGCATGCTAGTAAACAAATACCTTCTCCTTTGAGTCAGCCCCCGAAATTTAATACCCTAGATACAGAGGAAAGCTGGAAAACTGGAAAGTGAACAGCCTTCACAAAGACCAACCTTGAATCAGCTTACACTGAATAAAGATGATATGCCTTACAGTTAAGTGTTGTACTAAAGCAAATCAAAATCTTTTTAAAGGAAACTAGCAGCATCTAGAGGCTCAAATTATCCTTGTAATTCATTATACAGTGTTGGCATTCGATATTAAAAATTACTAATTCGGGAGCTAGGGATTTAGCTCAGCGGCATAAGCGCCTGCCTTGTAAGCAGGCAGTCGTGAGTTCGATCCCCGGTACTGATAAAAAGGAAAAAGACCAAAAAAAAAAAAAAAAATTACTAATTTACCAGAAGATAAAATCCAAATAACCAAAACACCAAGAGAAGTTGGGCATGATGGCACATGCCTGTAAGCTCAGTATCTAGGATCCTGGGAACCTGAGGTAGGAGGTCTGCCACCAGTTCTCATGAGTCTCCTCAAGATTCAGACAGCATAAAGGAGTGACACCACAAGAGCTTGCTACCACGGCTTTCCTCCTGGATAGTCATCCCTGCTTCCTCCAGGGTGTACTTTTATCTTGCTTTTTCCTCTTCTACTTGGCCCAAGCTCACTTTGCAGAGCTTGGGCCAGTTTCTCCCTTACTCTTTTTTTATGGTACCAGGGATCAAACTCACAACTGCGTGCTTGCCAGGCAGGCGCTTATACTGCTTAGCTAAATCCCTAGCCCTCTCCCTTACTCTTCACTTTTACTTTTCTAATAAACTTTGCCACTGCATTTTTGCTCATCTCATTTAATTCTCTGTTTGAGATGAGAAAACCCTGAAATCTTAACTCCAGAAGGAAAGACTAGTGATCTAAAACCTGGTAACATTTATTTGGCAAGCCTCTTCTAAAAGGAGCTACCTGGTAACAGAAGTGTCACTCAGTGGTAGAACATCTGTTCAGTATGTATGAGGCCCTTGGTTCAATCCTTAGCATCACATATACACAAAAAAATATGATAGCACAAGCAGACTCATGAAAGACTGAACACTGAAATTATCAGAAAGAAGTATTTCAAAAGTCACAATATATTAAAAAGTGAGATGAAAAAGTTTCTACAAAAATTTTAAAAAAGAACCAGAAATCCTAATACTGTAAAATACAATGATTGAAACTAAGAATATAGTAGATATATTTAATTACATATTAGATAAGAGTTTAAGAAAGGATTAGTGAATTAGGTGAAAATAAAATATTCAGATTGAGTCATGAAGAAAAAAAATAAAGAAGAGTAAAAAATAGAGGCTAAGGCTAGGGATATAACTCAGTGGTACAGTGCCTGCTTGGCAAATGCAAAGTCATGAGTTTGATTCTCAGTACCAAAAAAAAGGGGCCAGTAGCCAGGCTTGGTGGCATGCTCCTGTAATCTCAGCTCTTGGGAGGCTGAGGCAGGAGAATCATTTGCAAGTTCGAGACCAGTCTGGGCTACAAAGTGAGCCCAAGCCAGTGTGAACTGCATAGAGACTCTGTCTCAAAAAGACCAAAACAAACAAACAAACACAAAAAGCGGAGGAGTAGGGGTAGCTGGGCATGGTGGCACACACTTGTAATTCCAGCACTTGGGAGGCTGAGATAGAATTGCCACATATCTGAGACCAGCCAGGGCTATATAGTGAGTTCAAGGCCAGCCTAAACTACACAATGAGACCCTGTCTCAAAAAAACAAAACAAAACAAAAATTTAAAGTGGATATCCTCAATCAAGAATTACTAGGGCGGGGGCTGGGGATTTAGCTCAGCGGCATAAGCGTCTGCCTTGCAAGCAGGCGGTCGTGAGTTCGATCCCTGGTACCCATAAAAAGGAAAAAGACCAAAAAAAAAAAAAAAAAAAATAGAATTACTAGGGTCGAGCATGCTGGCACACCTGTAATCCCAGCACTCAGAGGCTAAAACAGGAGGATCGATGCAAGTTCAAGGCCAGCCTAGGCTACCAGGTGAGTTTAAAGCCAGCTTGAACTGTACAGTGAAACCCTGTCTCAAAAAGAAAAAAAAAAAAAGAATTACTCACTCGGTCATAAGTGTCTCCTTCCAGTTCTCCCCACTTCCTTCCATCCCAGGAAGTAACTCGAACTTGATTCTTTTCCCTGATATCTTGAGGCACATAGCTTTGAAGGACTTTCTGTAGTCTACCTGTCCGAGAAGTGGACAGATCATTGGCAGCAAGGTTGCCTGTAGAAATGAAAATATTAGGGCTGGGAATGTAGCTCAGTGATAGAACACTTGCCTAGCACATATAAAGCCCTGAATTCAATCTTCAGTATAGAAAGAAAGATAGATATAGATAGATTGATTACAGAAGCCATAGTCCAATAAAGCATCCCTCCCTCCAGCAGTGGTACTGATGGAGACTCACATTAATTCTCAGGCACAGCCAGTCAATGCAGACCCCATGGATAAGGTTTTTATTATGTACATGGCACCAAATCAACTCTCTGGAGAGTAGGCTGTCAGGACAGCTACCTATAAGGCACATCCACCAACACCTGCTGGCCAAGAAAGGCTAAGCAAATAAAGGAGGCCAAATATGAGTATTTATTGCTAAGAAAATATGCTCTCTTCTACCCTTTTGTTTCTTGGGTTTTGGGTTTTTTGAGACAGGGTCTTAGTATATAATTCATGCTGGCCTTGAACTCCAGGCGATTCTCCAGTCTCTGCCTCCCAAGTGCTAGAATTACAGGTGTATACCACCATGCACAACTTTTTTTTTTTTTTTTAAAATAGCACCAGGTTAGCTTGAAATCTCTGGACTCAAATGATCCTCCTGTTTCAACATCCTGAATAGCTGAGACTACAGATGCAGGCTACTATACCCAGAAACCCACTATTCTTTCTTTCTTTTTTTTTTTTTTTTTTTTTGAGACAGAGTCTTGCTCTGTAATTCAGAATGGCCTTGAACTCTACTATGTAGCTTTGGCTGGCTTCAAACTTGCAGCAATTCTCCTGCCTGAGCCTTCCAAGTGTTGTGATTACAGGCATTAGCCACCACTCCTGGTGAACCCCACTACTCCTGAAACATTCTGCTCTCTCTTTTTTGCAGCATTCAGGATTAAACTCATGTCCTTTGCACTGAGCTACATCCTAGCCCTTTTTATTTTTGAGACAATGTATTGCTAAATTGTCCCTGGGCTTGAATTTGCAGTTTTCCTGCCTCAGCCTCCCAAAGGCATGCACCCAGTTTCAGTTTGTATTTTTCAACAGATAGGAATGCAAGAAGTATCTCACAGGTGACACTCAGTCTGAATCAAGAAGCAACAGGAGATGTAGGAACTGGAGAGTATACATACACCTTATGTGACATGAACCAGTTTTAGTGTCTCTGTAAGAAATTTCTTTTCTTTCTTTCCAATTTTATTTTTATTTTGTTTTTTTGTCTTCAGCACTGAGGACTGAACCCAGACTTGCACTAAGCTATATATCCATCCTTTTTAAATTTTTATTTTGAGATAATACCTCATTAAATTGCTAAATTGACTGGGCTGGCTCTGAATTTACAATCATTTTGCCTCAGCTTTCCAGAGTTGCTGAGATTACAGGTGCATGTCTCTATGCCCAGCTAGAAATGCCCCAGTTTTTGGCACCCAACAATGTAAAAATCAGATACTCTGCTCAAGGAGAAAAGATAGGTTCCAGTTCTGGCTCTACTTCCAGCTCTTGTAAAATTTAAGTTTTATAATCTCACCAGAGTTGTTTTCCCCTTTACAAACTAGAAGGGCTGAACAAGGAAACTCTTTTAAGTTCCCTTCTTGCATTAAAATTCTGTGATCCTGTCTTCCTGGAATCAGGAAGTCAGGCACGTGAGTGAAGAGCTGGAATGAAGAAGAGGTGCCAGTAACTCAGCAACTCAATTCTATCTCCTTTGCCCTTTTCTCTCCTTTAGCTCAAATTCTCCCATTCCAAGTAACCACATCCCTGTCTCCCATCAGAAGCATCCTACAGCACTTAGGCAGATCAGCATAGCCCAGCACTCATGCTGGGCTCTCCTTCATGTGGTGTTCATTCACATCTTTTCTCCTCTCCCTCTGGAATTCTAGAAGTCTGTGACTAAAATATGATAGTTCTCTGAATCAGCCATGAGCTTATGAGGCTTATGAGGCTGGATGCTAACTTGAACTCTGCAAGAACTGAAATAGAAGGATTCAAGGCCAACTCACTTAGATGCATGGCATGTAAAACCTAGCCTAGCTCCAGGTAGAATATGAAAATCACAGCCCTCTGTGCTACTTCTCAGTTCCCAAAGGGAAAAAAAATCTGTGTGCTTCATAGCATTTTAAGGTAAGATGTTGGCCAGTAGATGGCTAAAGTGACAGCACCTGCAGTGCAGAAGGCCAGGACTCACCAACTGAGGTAAATAATAAGCCTTGGATTGAGACTGGGGCTGTAGTTCAATGGTAGAGTGCTTGCTCTAAGTTCAATGCCCAATCATTGTGAACAAAAATACCTGAGCTGTCCCCAAGAAATTTATAATCTTTTTCTTTTCTTTTTTTTCTTTTCTTTCTTTTTTTTTTTTTTTTCTTTTCTTTTCTTTTCTTTTTTTTTTTTTTTGAGACAGGGTCTCAGTATCCAGTTCAGGATGAATTTGAACTCACTATGTAGCCCAGCTGGCCACAAACTTCAGGGAATCCTCCTGCCTCAGCCTCCAAAAAACTGAGATTATAGACATGTACTACCACATTCAGCTTAGAAATGCATAATCTTTTTTTTTCCAATCCATTTTATTTCAAAGAGAAAAAAAAGAAGAAGAAGAAAACACATCACTCAGGGGGTAACAATGGTACATATATTATACATTGTCATCCCCAAAATCATTCATCCAGAGCATAAGACATCTGCATTCAACTGTCTGAACAATATCAGCACAAATCTTTCTTTTCATTGAACTCAGAGAAATCAGTAATATAACTATCTTAACTATTTATATATATATATATGTTTCAGCTTCTCACATCAATGAGACAATACAATGTTTACACATGTGTGTCTGATTTAAGAAATTCATAATCTTGAAGAGGGAAAGATCCATATCCAGTAAAACTCTGAGGTAAAGCTAAAGCTAACAGGTTAACAGTTGCAAGGGTGATGTTCTTGATTTGGGAGCACAGAAGAAAGAGAGGTCATTTATGAACTGGCTTGAGGAAAAACTTCCTGGAGGTAGCAGCTTGGAGCTAAGTATAGAAAGCTCAACCCAGCTTTGGTGGGCTGAGGGATTCTTCAGAAAGTATAACAGGAATAAAGCCTTATTCAGCCAACAGAGAGGAGCAGGGTATGTCTGAAGCACACAAAGCCTGATGAAGAGAAATATATAAACCTGTAAATGGGACTTCAACAGATCTTAACTATTTTAGCTGCAGGCCAAGAAAGTAAGATTTAATCTTAGAGACAAAGCAAACACAGGCAGTGGGATGAAAGGGTCATGTAATGAATTGGGAATTTTCCTTTAATCTGCCTTCAGAGGCCTTGCTTAGTCATGTTCCTTGACCAGCTGACAGAGAAAAAAAGAGGCAATAACTGCAAATAAAAAATACACACAATTTAACAATATCTCCTCCTTTCTGACCTTAGGAGCAGAAAGTTCACCATACTCAATGTGACTAGATGAGTGGGGAGAGCTACCCCGGCCCAAAACATCCACACCAGGCGAGGATTTAGCTCAGCAGCGCAAGAGCCTGCCTGGCGGGCATGAGGTCATGCGGTCGATCCTCAGTTCTAAAAAACAAAAATAAAATGTAGGAAACAGTACAAAACATCCACACCCTGACTTACCGCAACAGAGAGTCTGAAGCAGTGCTAGTGTCTTTCCCCCAGGGGCTGCACACAGGTCAAGCACAGTATCCCCAGGATGAAGGCCAAGAGCCAGGACAGGTAGCAAGGAGGCAGCATCCATCAGGTAGTAGTCCATAACACCCAGGCTGCCAAGTCTGCAAAAAAGACCATCTTAATGTTAAATTCCAGGTCAGGACATCCACTGGGAGTCACACCACCAAGTCCATGCTCTCAGAGGTACTGAGTTCTGCTCAGCAAAAAAAACTAATTTCTTAGACTCACACTCAATTATTCTCTCTCTCATTCATTCATCTACACAGTGTCCTGGGTAAATCTTTTAAAATAGATCAAGCTAGGTATTATGGCTCATGTCTGTAATTCCAGTACTCTGAGAGGATGAGAGAAGAGGACTGCAAGTTTAAGGCCAGCCTGGACAACTTAGTGAGACCCTGTTGCAAAATAAAAATAAAAAAACAAAAAACAAAAAAGTGCACAGACCCTGAGTTCAATCCCCAGTACCACCCCCCCTAAAATTTATATATATATATATATATATATATATAGAGAGAGAGAGAGAGAGAGAGAGACAGACAGACAGACACACACACACACACACACACACACATACATACATAGCAACTCAATCTAGCTATACCACCACCTTACTATTTCTGTCTCAGGTCCTATACTTCTATGCCTTCTGCCTCAACACTGTACCTTCAAACATCCCTATGTGCTTCCTCACTACTCTCAGGTCTCTTCTCGAAAGTTACCTCATCATTAAATAAAATTAAAAAAAAATAATAAGTACAGCCAAAGTTTAAAATTACAAAAAAAAAAAAAAAAAAAAAAAAAAAAAAGAAAGTTACCTCATCAGAGCACTGGCATTCCCTGACCATTCTATTTCAAGTAATAGCCCCTATTTCCATTATCTTCTATGTCTCCCTGTATTATTTGTATTTAAAACACTTGTTATTCATGTTTTAAATACAGATGTTTGTGTGTTTTGTTTTTCTATCTTGCCCTATTAGAATATTAACTCTGTGACAGGAGGGATTCTGTCTGCTCTGCTCATTCTGTTCCCAATTCCTGAGACAGTGCCTGGTACAAAGTAGGAACTCAGTTATATTGGGTTACACAATGAGATACAAAGTGCTTTACAGATTCAAAGGGGAAGGAAACAGAGGCCTTCATTAAGTAAAAAGAGAAAAGGAACATTCTAAGCAGAAGAAAAAAGAAAAAGCCAGGCATAGAAACATACAAATTCATACCTTCTGTCAGAATGGTAGTGAGGAATCTGGTGTGGCAGAAATACAAGATGTGTTAAGATTGAAGCTGGAAAGCAGACTGAGGTCTTAAAATGAATGCTATGGAGTCTGGACCAAAAATTTTTAAGGAAAATGACCCAACTAAAGAGACCTGAGTTTCAGAAAGGTAGGTAAGCTACAGACAGAGACACCAGGTAGGAAGTGTGGGTAAGAAAGGGAGGAATGATCAGTAACAGACTCAAAAAACAACTTCCTAGTTGTAGGACAACTGTCTTAAGGCCTGTTGGTGATGAGCAGTATTTCCACTGCTTGAGACAGCTCAGCATTGGGAACAGATCAAGGACACAGAAACCCTAACAGGAGGAGGAGAAGGATGTGATAACACACAGCACCACTCATGGTCAGTTACAAAAGCTACAATAGCCAGTCCCCAAGTTGTAGTTCCTCAAGCATTCACCAACAGACTTAGGTTTGATATGGCAATTTTTTTTCTTTCTTTCTTTCTTTCTTTTTTTTTGCTTCTGTTTTTATAAAATTCATGGCAATCCTCCTGCCTCTGCCTCCCAAGTGCATCAATTATAGGCATATGCTCCAATACCCAACAAGGATATTTTCAAAGTCAAACCACACTTAAGAGTATCTGTGCCTCTGCCTCACAAAGGAGAATAACAAAAGCACTGAGAAATCTGAGGAAGGCACAGGGCTGTTACCATGCCACCAGTAGGCCAAGAAAGCCACCTTCATCAAGTTTCTTCTATCCCATATTAAACTTTTTTGGCTCACAGTTTTTGAGAATCAGCTAAAAGCTAGTCTTTCTGAAAAAAAAAAAAAAAGTACAATTTTACAAACAATTTCAGAAGGTTCCCAGAATCTCTGGGAACCTTGAGAAGTTAAGAGCCCACTGACTTTACAGGGAGTTCAAGATAAAAGTGGAAAAAATCAGACATGTGGGAGTTTGGGGAAAAGGAAAAACCACCTCCATACATCTCCCATCATTGCTCACTCTCCTCACTCTCAGGGTAACCTTCCTGAGTAGAAACCCCTGGAATCAGTGTCAAGCACCTCAAGCAACTTAAGAAACCACACGGTTCTTACTGTGTGGTTTCACCTAAAGCCAGTGCCTCAGCACTGGTCTCTAAACTTGGTACCATCTATTTATACCTACACAGCAACTAAAGGAAGCTTCCTAAGCATAACTGATGAGAATACCATCAATTGCAAAAGGTGCTACTGATGAGTGCTATATTTCATGCACTACAGTATATGTTTAATATACATAATTTCTTTTCTTTTTCTTTCTTTTTTTTTTTTTTTTGAGACAGGGTCTTTGAGGCTGGCCTCAAACTCATGGTGATCCTCCTGCCTCAACCTCCTGAGTACTAGGATTATTATAGAAATGTACTATCACACCGGGCCATAATTACATTTAATCTGTGCCATAGCACAATGAAATAGGTAAACCCAGGTTTCAGGGCCCAACTGCCTACACCTCAAACCCAATCCAGTTACTCATCAGTGTGACTTTCACAAATTCTTCAATTTCTCTACACCTTAGTTTTTTCCACCTGCAATAAGAGTACTTGTAAGATAGGGTTACTATGAGAATTAAAAGGCCAGGTATGGTGACACACACCTGCAATCCCAACATTCAGGAAGCTGAGGTAGGAGGATGACCAGTCTGGGCTATTGACATAGTGAAATCCTGTTTCCAAACACCAAAAAATAAAGTGCTTAGAACAGTAACTGACACATAATAAGCTATATTATTAGCTATCACTATCATTATCTTCCAAATAATACTATTATTATCTATCTACTATTATTTTCAGATAAGGAAACCAAGGTTCAGTACACAATGCCACACATCCAACAGGTGATAAAGACAGTATCCAAATCTAGGTCTGCCTGACTCCAAAGTTTATGCTGATAACCACTGTGCATTACTAGCTTTCATTTGCTTAGAATGACCTTTTTGGCGGTTCTCTAGAACAAATTTTAGTAACTATAGCAGTTTGTACTAAAGGACACATGGCCTGAAGCCATTCTGCCCTCAGCTACCAAAAAGCAACTCAGAGTCACCAGATAAATCCCTTTCTCCCAATGTGGAAACTCCTGGCATCCAACATTCCCACATACAGTCCTTCTAGATACTTTTCCGGCCTCACCATTCATTCCTCCCTCAGGCCAATAGCCAAGACAGTCATAAAACCCTCTTAATTTATATCCTCATTTCCATTCCTATCTTTCTACAATCTGTTTTGCACACCAGCCAGAGTAACATTTTAGAAATTCAAATCTGGTCAAATCATTCCCTAACTTAAAACCTTTCAGGCTTCCTCTTATTCTCAGAGAAAAAGTCCTAGATAGAATTTCATACGATTTATCAAACCTTCCTAATCTGGCTCCTGCCTACTAAGTAGCCTACCATTTATATAGCCTCTTACTCTGATTCCAGTCCCATAACACCAGCTTTACTTCAGTGTTTGGGTCTTACCTTAAATTTCAAAAAAACAAAGACAAGAAAGAAAGATAGAAGGATAGAAAGAAAGAAAGAAAGAAAGAAAGAAAGAAAGAAAGACAGACAGACAGACAGACACTGGGTATGGTAGTCCATGTCTGTAATCTAGGGCAATTGGGAGGCTGAGGCAGGAGGACTGCCTTGAGTCCAAGACCAGCAGTGAGGTCAAGGGCAGCCTGAACTATATACTGAAATTCTGTCTCAAAAAAAAAGAGAAAGACAGAAAGAAAAAGGGAGAGAGAGAAGGCAGGAAAGAAGAAAGCCAGCCAGACAGTAAGTGAGGTGTGGTGGCACAAATCTGTCATTCTAGCACCTGAGAAGCTGAGGTAAGAATCACCCTGAGTTTGAGGCCAGCCTGTGCTACACAGTAAGTTCAAGGTCAGCCTGAACTACACAGTGAGACCCTGTCTCAAAACACACAACACACACACACACACACAACACACACACACACACACACACACACACACACACACACACACTTCGCATCCTCAGAAAAAAATAGGTTAAAAAAGAAAAAAAGGAAGAAAGAAAAAACTGGGTTAAATCTCCTGGTAATTATGAAACCTCATAGCATTTTATACTTTTCCTTTGTAGAACTTAACGTAACCATAAATCATTTTAAATATCTGTCTTCCTCATTGGACTAGAACCTCCATGAAGATCTATCTATATATTACTAACCCAGACACTTAAATGCCTGGCACTTGATAGATAATATTTGTCAAATGAATCAATAAAGCCTTCAAAGTCAATTCAGCAGTATGCATCTATAATCCCAGTACTACAGGAGGATGAGGCAAGAGAATCAAAGTTTGAGGCCAGCCTTAACTAGACCCTGTCTCAAAAAAAAAAGGGTTGGACTGGGGATTTAGCTCAGCAGCATAAGCGTCTGCCTTGCAAGCAGGCAGTCGTGAGTTCAATCCCTGGTACCGATAAAACAATGAAAAAGACAAAAAAAAAAAAAAAAAAAAGGGTTGGGGATGAATTCAGTGTGAAGGCCCTAGGTTCAAAACCCAGCACTAAAAAATTAAATTAAAAAATCAAGCCATGGTGGCTCATGCCTGTAATGGAGAGGCTGAGGCAACAGGATTGCCTGGGCCAGCCTGGACTACATAGTGAGACCTTGTCTCAACAAAAATCAAAAATAAAAATTGAATTCCCACATTCTGCAACTAACACTGAGCTTCAAAGCCTAGATTCTAGGGACAACCACTTGGGTCTAAATACTAGCTGCACCACTAACTGAACAACTCGAAGCAAGTACCTTAGCTTCTTTGAACCTAAGTTTCCTCAAATGTAAAAGAGCAGCATAATATTACCTACCTCATCTGTCTATTGACAGAAATGACTTAACATAGGTACAGCATGTAGATAAACACCCAGTCTGCAGAAGCACACCAGAAGCATTAACCACAATTCTTATTACAGAGGCCAGGAGCTAGGTCTCTTCAGTCTACTTTCAACAAGCACTCAGAACAGACCCAGCCATGGCTCTACATCTCACCTGGAAGGAGGGAAGCGGCTGACATCCCCTCTGGCAAAAGTGAAGCATCGAAGGTTTGGACTGTAAGCTGGGGATGGGGCTGCAGAATGGCCACTCTGAGCTTCCAGTTCCCAGTGGGAGATGGCTTCACTCACAAAGTCCTTGGCATTTAGCTGCTCCAGCCTAGCACTCACACAATCCCAATCAGCAAAATTATTGACCAGTGCACCATACTTCTGCTCTGAGAGAAGACTGACTCGGATTGATGGCCAAAGATCCTCAAACTGCACACTGTAGGTCATGTCAAAATTCTGCAGAGCCAGTTGAGTGGCAGGGAATTTGGGTTCTGTGGCAGCCTGAAAGAGAAAGGGCAGGCTTACTGATCTTCCCACTCCTGCCTTGGACCTCAGTGAAACCTCAGAACTCAGGGGCAAACTCAGAACCAGCTAAATGTCCACTCCCGCCTTTGCATTTTGCCTCTGCCTGTCACTACAGAAGTGTGGTAGAGAAAAGTAAAGAGGAGGGATGGGCGTCGCAGCACACATGCCTGTGATCCCAGCATTCAGCAGGCTAAGAAGGATCACCATGAGTTTGAGCCTAGCCTGGACTACATAGTGAGTTCTTGCAGTTCCAGGCCACCCTGAACTATAAGACCCCATCTCAAGAAACCAAAACCAATCAAATAAATAAATGGGGGGAAAAAGTAATGAGAAGCTGGCCTTTCCATCTCAGGATTATGAAAGGTAAGTGGACTTCTTACAATAACTGTTGTGGGCAGAAGGGAGGTCATCAAAAAAGAAACTCTTGGACTGAGGTGTCAATCAGTATTAGAGCACTTGCCTACCACAAGTGATGCCCTGGGTTTTACCCCAAGCACTGTGAAATGCAGGGAGGGAGGCTTGGATTGAGAAAAATTTAAGCAAATGGACGCTCAAGAGAAGACTTAATGGGAGGGGCTGCAGAAGTCTGGAAGAGACTACAGAAACCCTAGGAAAGCTTTAGGCAAAAAAAAAAAAAAAAAAAAAAGACACTCTGATTCTGAACACCCCTTCTACTTGCCAAAAACTGTGTCTACTAGCTTACGTTAACACTAGAAGAAAAGTGCTCAGTAGAATACAAAAAACAAAAGCAAAAACTTTCCTATTTGACAGAGGGATGAGGGTAACTTACCTAGGATTACACAGTGAGTAGCAACATAAGGCTCAGAATTATAGGGTTGAGGTTGTTCTGGGGAGAGCTTTCAGGCCTCCGGAGTAAGATAAGGAATAAAGAGGGCTCACAAAGTCTTTGAGGTATGAACCAAATCAAGAACTTCAAGAGTGATTGCTATGGGGATAGCCGTGAGGCACATAAGTTAGGCCTGAAGAGTACGAAGATAGATTAAAATAGAAATGAAGTCCACAATTTGGTGTTGGTCGCCACAGCTGGAATGCTTGCTACTATTGGCAGTCTTGCTACTAACTGTACTTTTGTTTTGGCCTAGATTTTCGGTCTCCTCAGAATTTCTGCTCTCATTTCTTCTTATTTTGGGGACTCTTGCTCCGTTTCCGACTCTTGCGAGGACTCTTGCTCTGGCCCTGTCTTTTACCACCACGGGTACTCTTATTCTGTTTCCGACTTCGGCCATCACGAGGACTCTTACTCTGGTCCTGAATTATGACCTGGCGAGGACTACTGCTCTGGCTCCTACTTCGGCTACGATGCGAACTCTTGCTCCGGCTCACACTTTTGCTTTCGGAGCTGCTCTTGCTCTGGTTGTCAGTACTCTGACATTCACTCACAATGACTGAACTACAGCTTTGATTAGTGCTACAGGTAGAGCTTCTGGGTGAAGGCAAAGGGCAGCAATAGGGGATCTGGGGGGGCTCTTTGCAGGGGCCTTGAGAGGCTACAGAGTAGGTGTGAAGGCCACAGGGTATATTATCAGGGGAGGGTTGAGCTCGGGGGACAATGGGTAGACACTGGGGGTCAAAAGGTGTTCTCAGAGGGATAAAAGAATAGATGTGGGTAGAACAAGGAGGCATCACAGGTTTGCAAGGGAGTAGGGGTGGGCCCCTGGGAGCACCATAGGTACCACAGGGGGGTACTATAGGCTGATTATGACACTGAGGGGACCTTGTAGAGTGAATGAGGGAACTAGAGGGTGGACAAGGATTAGAGGTGGGAGGAACTACAGAACACATATGGGTATTGCAGGGGGATACCAAGGAGGCTCCATGGGGACTACTCGTAGCATAACTATTGGGTAAGACAGGATCACAAGGAACACAGAGAGGAAGAGAAGTAGGGGAAATAGTTTTGATGACTCCAGGGACCCTACTGGGTAAGGGAACACCTGTGGCAAGTTCTTTAGTGCAGCAATCTAAAGGAGCTGTGATGGATGACTCCATACAAGAAGTACCAGAGAGGCCAGTGGGCTGGTGGAGAGGCAGAGGAGAGGTGCCAGCCTTAGGGGGTTTGGGCAGGTCAGGAGTGTATTGGGCAGTGTTGACTAGGGAGCGACACTTGTGAAGTGTACGTGGCTGTCTTACCTCTGAGGATTTGGGGGACTTCGTATGGGGAGAAACTGGAGTAGGGAGAGGAGGTTCATTATAACTTCTTTGGGGGACTGTCTGCGGTGGAGCTACAAATCGGTTGCCCAGGGATGAAGGAAAATAAAGGTCAGAACAAGGACAGTGGGAAAGAGGTGGCTCTGGAGGACAGGGGGGACCAGAAATCATGGTGCCAGGGCTTAGGAGAAGGTAGGAGTTCCCACCAGTCCCCCAGGAAAGAAGGGACTCAAAGCAAGGTTTCTTGGGAGGCTGGAACTGGGGTGAACAAGAAGAACCAGTATTCTCAGGGCGTAAGCGGATGGCACAATAAGGGCTCCCAGGGGCAGATATGTGGGCCTCTGAAGAAATATGGGAATAATGAAAAGCACCCTCCTGAGGTGAGCTGGGAGAGCCAGAGATGCCCACCTGAGAAGAAAGTGAGGAGCCACAAATTTTGCCAAGGGGTACATCAAGCTGTGGTGTAGGTTCACAAGAGTCTGAAGGCTTATGGTTGTCATGGGAACTTCTGTCAGTAGGTTGAGAAGATGCTGAAGGAGGGGGAGGGTCATTATAATTCTTCCCTGAGGACCAGTGAGAGACTAGAGGGGAGATCCCAGGCCCAGTTTCCAATACCCCAGGAGGAACAGTTGTGGAAACTATGGCTCTAGTTCCCATGGGCCGATGAACAAGCAGAGGTGAAACTGAAAGTCCAGTTCCCAGGGGCCTACGAATAAGAGGAGGTGAGATCATAGAACAAGTTCCCTCAGACTCCAGGGTGAGAGATGAAATTATGGGGTCAGTTTCCAAGGGTATGTGAATGAGCTGAGGGGAGGTCACTGGACTGGTTACTGGGGGCTGAGTGAGGGGTGTGAAGGTCACCGGACTACAGTAACAAAGGTAAGTGTGCTGATCAAAGAGCGAACTTGGAGGACAAGGACGCTGCATTCTTGGGGTACTGGCCAAACTGCAATAAGGGCTTCGCTGACGGGGAGGGGATGGTCCCAGAATGCCTAACCGATCAAGACCAGGGCTTGTAGGGGATGAATTAGAGAGTCTAGGTCCGTGGCAACAGGACTTTCCAAGGAGTATGGGAGAACAGGGTTCAAAAGAATTCTGTGGGAATGAGGAAGGCGCTGGTGGCGGTGGGGAGGGGATCCTTCGAGGTACACTGGGGGACTTGCCAGTGAGGCAAGATGAAGGGTCTCTGGGGTGAGGGAGGTCAGTGCACTTTTTCCCTGTCTTTGGGGAAGGCTTGACAATATGGGCAGGGTGGTCACTGTAACCTTTCCCCAGTTCGAGGGTGAGGGCAGGGCTGAATCCTTTTCCACAATTTGAAGAAAGAGGGAAGGGGTCATCGCTAGCACGCTGTCGAACGGGTGCAGGCAACTGGGCTGAAAGTTTGAGAAAAGGAGAAGTCATGGTGGACTGGGGTAGGAAAAAAGGGGAAGGAAAGAAAGGGGAGGGCAGGGAAGGGGAAAGGGAGGAAAAGGGAAGGGAGACAGGAGTAGTGGGTGCCAAGGGAAAGGTAAGCACCAGGAAGAGGTGGTGACTTAACGGAAAGAATGGGGCAGGCGATGACGTAACTTAAGGGGGCGGAGTCAGGAGTTGGCAAACGGTTCAGGAAAAGCGTGACGAGTAAAAGCGCAGACCCACCGTGAGCTGCAGACGTAAGTCAGCGACACTGTCAGGGGCGCGAGAAAAGATGGCGAGGCGTTCTAGTGGAGCAGAAGTGGTAAACGCTACTGATGAGAAAGAGGAACTGTGATGGGAGGGAGAGCTTCCTACCTACGCCGCTGGCCAGCCCTTACCCATTTCTTCTTATGTCGATGTCTCCGCGGGACCAGCGCGAAGTCCACAAGCCTCATCAGCTCACGAACACTCCTCACTATCGGGGCAGCCATGTCAGGAGTGCGCCGCCGGGTAATTCCGGCAGAAACCTCATAGGAAGCCCTGCAGGTTCCGCAGACGTGCGCGCGCTGGTTGGAGGAGCCCGAAAAAGGGGCGGGGGAAGGAGGAGGGAATTACGTCTCTGACGCTCTAGCAACCTAGTCCTGCTGGAGTTAGCTGGAATTACTGGGAAACAACACCCAGAGGTTCAGCACTGGATTCTAGATACTTAGAGCAATGTGAGGGCCTCCGAAAAGGCCACTTTCTTACGGGGGTCAGAGTACCGGAAGATGGCGTTTCAGTACTGAAGGAGCTAATTAAAGAATTACAGAAGAAATTGGCACGCATTAAGATTCAAAGGTACGGAAAAATTTGACCAGTCTTGTGGGCAGAGGTGAATTTACAGTGAAGCTAATAAAGCTTAAATTTCAGGACCTGTCATTTATTTACACAGCCTCTTTCATCTTGTATTATCTTTCTGAAAGAGCCTCTCAAATGATGTATGTTGTAGGCCCCAGGGCACTTGTCTGCACCATTGAGACATTAGCAGATAAGTGTTTTTAGAAATGACCACGTAACAGTTGATGATCTGAGTAGGTAGAAGTTAGACTGAAAGATCAGACGCTAGAAGATAATGATCTGGATTCTTGTGGCAGTGAGGATGAAAAGGACATGGATTCCACTAATTGAGAAAATTATAAGACTGATTGGCTGTAACTACAAATGCAGAGGGGCAACTGGTGTGGTGGTGCATGCCTGTAATCCCAGATGTGCACCTGGGAGGCTGAGGCTGGAGGATCGTTTCAAGTTCGAGAACAGCCTGAGCTACAAAGTGAGTGCAAGGCCAGCCTGAACTGTATTGCGAAACCCTATCTCAAAATAATAATAATAATAATAATAAATTAATGCATAGAGGTAGGGGGTGTAGCCCCGTGGTTGTAACAGTACATGCTTAGTCTTGTTAATTAACTGGGTGTGAGAAAACACTTGGAGCCTGAGTCTCTAAGAATGCCTAGATTTAATTCCCATATAGTTACAGGCAGGCTGAAATAGGAGTGATAGTAATATCTGGAGGAGAGGGTAAGTATAGAGGGTTTGGGATTGAGAATTGTAGTTGCAAAGAACCTGGATGGAATGTTTGAGGTCAAAGCTGGAAGGACTATCAGCACAAGGTGTACACATAAAGCTGGGTCTTCCAGCATCAGGGAGATTGCAGGTCAAATCTTTAAAAAAATTTTTTTTGTTACCAAGGATCAAACTCACAACCTTGTGCTTGCCAGGCAAGAGTCTATGCTGCTGAGCTAAACTCCTGGCTCTATGACTATCAATTCTTGTTTGTAGATGGCAGCATGTTTTGTTGGGAAAGTCTTTCTCAAGTCAAGACTTGTGAAGCTGTTGGGGCAGAGGGTCATAAAAACCCAGTATAAAGCCCAGATGAGTAACACTGTAAAATAAGCATGACTCCATGTTTATCTGTGCCTGATGATTATAAGATCATCACATGCTTATCATGTACTGTTATGGCTTGTGCCTAGATGTCCCACCAAAACCTCATGCAGTCATTAGTGAGGCTTTTTCAGATAGAACTGGATCTATAGTGTGTGATGCTAGAATTGATTCATGGTACAATGCTAGGCTCAAGGACACTAAGAATAAGAGTGTGAGTGTTACCCATCCTAAACAAAATAAAAGGAAGCAGAAAGAGCTATGGTTGTCCCTTGTTGCTCTGCTACCTTCTGCCTGCCATCAGCAAAGCCACCCTGCTTTGGAGCCAGCCTATGGTGGACTGAAACCTCAACAAACTATGAGCTAAATGCAGCTTTCCCCCCTTTAACTTTGGATGTCAGTATTTTGTCTCAGCAATGAGAAAAGTAACTAAGATGTACCATTTCTTCGAAAAAAATGTACCCTACTCACAATGTTACTCACACTTCTATATGCTTAAAAAATTCTGAACTCATCTTGTCCTCTTCCCAGAAACAAAGACTAAGACCCTGATTGGCCTAGCCCACACCAATCAACAAAACAGTTTGCTCCTATAAGTACAAGCATATCTTACACTCACCAGATCATCCCAGGTAGGAGGCCCCTATCTTGCAGCGCCACTCTGCTGGTAAGAAAGCTCTCCTACTTTCTCTGTATTTGCCATACTTTAAATAAACTTGCTTTGCACTATACCAGTCTTAACTCTTCCATTTCTCACTAAGAGTCCCACTTTCTAATTCTTCACTTAAGTAAGGGTAAGGGCCCAGAGAGAGGCAGGGGGTCGTTATAGGGGACTCCTAGGCCCTCCCTCTTCAGAGAACCTACTGCCAGACATATAAAGCCCTGGGTTCAATCCTCAGCACAGAATAATTAATGAATGAATTAAAAATAAAATAGCTTATACTACACCAGCAGTAGGTTAATAACTTTCCTCTTACCCTGCTTTTATTTTTATGATTACAACCTGATATATACTATAGTGTGCTAAATTATAATTTTCAACAAGTTAAAAAATACAACTTTTGGACATGGGCAGGTGACTGCTAGCTGGGGGAGAGCCAGACCCAAGCCTCTCGCCATGAATCAATGCCATTTGCAGGTGGTGGAGGGAGAGAACCAGGCCCCATGGGAAGAAATCCCCGTCCAGAAATCATCATTTTCATTATTTTGCTGGGTTGGGTTTTTTGTGGTTTTTGTTTTGTTTTGCTTTTTGTACCGAGGATCGAACTCATGACCATGTGCCTGCCAGGCAGGCACTTATGTCACTGACTTAAATCCCCAGCCCCTAGGTTTTGATTTTCTTTTGTTTTCTATATGTTAACTCTGATGGCATGAGCAGTTATTTAACTTACAGCAAGACATGTTATGGAAGCCATTATGTATTTACTACTGGCTTGTTTTGATGTCCTTTATTGCATTCATTGTTTTGTTTTTATTGTTTCTATTCTGTTCAATTTTTAATATGTTCAAAGGTGGTATCTGCAGCTATTTTGAAGCCAACAAAGGCACTGTAGTAACTATTGTTGATTTCATAAGGTTTGGAAGTCCTGTATCACTTATTCTGGTTTATTTTGATTGATTTTATTCTTTTATATTCCTTGATTTTATCCTCTTTAAAATAATACATATATATGTAACTTTTACTCCAATAGGAAGAAAAAAGAGAAGATGAGGACTACAGTTCCATGAACCCCAACAGAATGAATCCACCAGACAAGACAAGCAATTAAACAGAAAGGGGGAAAAGGAACCAACAGGGTCAGGGGATTTAGCTCAGAGGCACATGTGCCTGCCTGGCAACTGCGAAGTTGTCAGCTCAATCCTTGGTTAAAAAAAAAAAAAGGAATCAACAACAGGAAAATAACATGACCAAGTACATGTGAGTTAGAACCATCAATATATATATATATTTTTTTTTGTCTTCTTCCTTTTTATCGGTACCGGGGATCGAACTCACGACTGCCTGCTTGCAAGGCAGGCGCTGATGCCGCTGAGCTAAATCTCCAGCCCCTAGAACCATCAATCTTAATGGTCTCAATTCACCAATCAAAAGAAACAAAACTAGGGCTGGGGATTTAGCTCAGCGGCATAAGCGCCTGCCTTGCAAGCAGGTAGTCGTGAGTTCGATCCCTGGGACCGATAAAAAGAAACAGACCAAAAACAAAAAACAAAAAAAAGAAACAAAACTAGCAGAATGGATCTAGAAGAAAGATCCAATAATAAATGTTGCATATAAGAAACCATTTAATTCATAGACTAAAAGTCAAAGGATGGGAAAAAAATACTCTATGACAGGAATCTGAAAAAAAGCAAGGTCACTATCATTAAGAGAGACAAAGTCACTATATCCTTGTAAAGAGAACAATTCAAGTGGAAGAGATAACAATCATAAATATATATGCATCAAATACCAGTGCATCCAAGTATATAAAACATTAACAGACATGAAAAATCACATAAGCACTAATACAGTTGTAATGGGGGACCTCAGTACTCCACTGTCACAACTAAAAAAAAAAAAAAAGGAACTGGGCTGGAGATACAGCTTAGTGGCACAGCACCTGCCTGGCATGTATGAGGTTCTGAGCTTGATTTCTGGTACCAAAAATTTTTTTTTTAATTTTTTAAAAACTTTTGTTTTGTTTTGTTTGTTCTTTTTGGTACCAGGGATCAAGCTCACAACTTTGCGCTTGCCAGGTGAGCGCTTATGCTGCTGAGCTAAATCCCCGGCCCTGAACCAAACTTTTTTTTTTGTCTTTTTGAGACAGGTTCTCGCTGTGCAGTTCAGGCTGGCCCTGAGCTCACTTTGTAGCCTACGCTGGTCTCGAACTCACAACAATCCTCCTGCCTCAGCCTCCTGAGTGCTGGAATTAAAGGCATGAGCCACCACGCCCGGCCTGAACCAAACTTTTGAACAAATGTACTCAGTATCTACTTAGTATCTGTAGATACCCGTTTGCAGAATGTTCTACCCTACATCAGAATACACATTCTTCTTAGCTGCCCATGGGACATTCTCCAAAACAGACCACACACTAGCTCACAGAATATGTTTAAGTAAACACAAAGGAATTGAAATTATCCTATGCATATTATCAGACCATAGTACAATGAAATTGGAAATCAATGGCAAAAGATACCACAAAGACTTCATAAACACAAGGAAATTACATAACACCCCCCTGAACAACCAATGGTTCACAGATGCAATTAAAGAAGAAATTAGATAGTTTCTACAATGAAACAATAATGCCAGTACAATATACTGGAACTTAAGGGTGGTATGAAAGCAGTCCTATGAAAGAAATTTCCAATGATGAATTCCCATATCAGAAAAGCAGAGCAAGCTTAAACATTTCTTCGTTTATTTATTTTTGTTTTTGAGACAGAGTTTCACTAAGGCTGATTTTAAACTAACTTGGTAGCCCAGGCTGGCCTCAAACTCAAGGCCAACTCTTCTACCTCAGCCTCCCAAGGGGATTACAGGCATGTGCCAGCACACCCAGATGGAGCAAGTTTAAATAGACAACCTAATGAACCTCCAGCTTCTAGAAGAAGAAGGGCAAGTCAAGTCTAAAGCTCATACAAAGAAGAAAATTATAAAAGAGCAGAAATGAGTGCAATGGAGACTAAGAAATTCAAAAACTTAATGAATCAAAGAGTTGGTTCTGGGGCCAAGGATTTAGCTCAGTGGTAAAAGCTCTTGCCTGGCAAGCATGAGGGTGTGAGTTCAATCCCCAGTACCACCAAAAAACAAAAAACAAAAAAACATAAAGAGTTGGTTCCTTGAAATATTAAATGAAACTGACCAACCCTTAGATACCCTTCTCAAAAACATGAAAGAAAAGACTCAAATCTATGCAATTAGGAATGAAAGGGGTGAAATCACAACAGATCCTGTTGAAATCAGTACCTACTTTGAGAACCTGAATTCTAATAGGATAGAAAACACAGAACAAATGGATAGATTCCTAGATACAAAGCCAAATCAAGAAGATACAAATGAGGCAAGAGGATTGTTGTGAGTTTGAGACTAGTCTGGGTTACAAAGTAAGCTCATGGCCAGCCTGATTTGTATACAGACAACTTGTCTCAAAAAGACAAAATTTTTTAAATTAAACTCTATATATATAGCAAAAGGGCCAGGGATTTAACTCAGTGGCATAAGTGCCTGCCTTGCAAGCACGAGGTCATGAGTTTGATCCCCAGTACTGGAAAAAAAAAAAAAAGCTAACACATTGTTTAAAAAGAGCGGGGGGGGGGGGGGGGGGCAGGGATATAGTCCAGCAGCACAAGTGCCTGCCTAGCAAGCACAAGATGTCTGAAAGTTCAATACCAAAAAAGATATAAAACCTTTAAATAAACCAGTATTGGTCAATGAAATTGAAGTTACAATTAAAACCCTACCAACAAAGAAAAGACCAGGTCCTGATTAGATTTACTGCTGAACTCTAGAAGAAATTTGGAAAAGACCTATTGCCACTACTTCTCAAAATACTTACTGAAATTAAAAGGGAAGCAATATTCCTAAATTCATTTCTGGAATCAAGTATCAACCTGAGGGCCAGGATATAGCTCAGTAGCACTATACCTACATGGCAAGTGTGAGGTCATGAGTTCCACTCCTGGTACCAAAAAAAAGTATCAACCTGATACCAAAACCTGAACCAACCATAAAAGAGAACTATAGGCCAATCTCCCTAATGAACACAGACAAAAATCCTCAATAAGATACTGGCAAACAATGCAGTAAATCACCTAAATTATACACTGTGATCAAGTAGGGTTCACCCCAGGGATTCAGGAATGTTCAATGTATGCAAATTAATAAATGTAAAACACTGTATTAGCCAGGGACAAAAAACATGCAGTCATCTCAATAGATGCAGAAAAGGTGTTTGACAAAGTCCAGCATCCATTCATGATTTAAAAAACTACAGAAAATTGGAATAGATGCGTTTTTTTAACACCAAGTACATTTATTAGAAAAAAAGTTATGAAATATCCTTCTAAATTTCCTTTAAAAACTAAAAAGACAGAATAAAACCAAAAATGAATAGAAGAAAATAATAAAGATCTGAAAACACATTCCCTTATCAAAATGCCAACATCATTTTTCATAAAAATTACATTTTGATTCTTACATTTCTGTAGAAATACAAAAGACTCAGAATAGTCTAAACAGCCTTGATAAAGGAACAAAATTAGAATTCCAACCCTTCCCAATCCCATGACTTACCACAAAGTTACACCAGTCATCACAAAATAGCAGTGATACCAAGATAGACAAACCACCAAGGTACCAATATGAAGTCCCAAAACAGATACCCACAAAACAGACAATTGATTTCTGACAAAAATGCAAAAGCAGTAAGTGGAGAAAGGACTGTATCTTCAACAAATATACTGGAACAACTGGATTATCCACATGCAAAAAAAACCCAAACCTTATAGCACATCATCAGTTTCTTAAGACAGCCAAAAGTTGGCTGGGGATTTAGCTCAGTGGCCTAAGGGCCTGTCTGGCAAGCACTAGGTCGTGAGTTCAATCCCCAGTACCAAAACAAAACAAAACAAAACAAAACAAAGCATCCAGAAGACAACCAAAATATCTCACATTGGGTTAGTTAAAGTGAAGACAGGTGTGACCTGAATCGTTGCTTTGGCTGAGGTCATTGTCTCTGGGACAGAAAGACCGGGACAGAGTATAGAAGGGAAGGTAGAACCTACAGACGTGTTTAGTGAAGAGAAGCATTGATTTTGCTTCTGAATATGCCATGTGGATGACAAAGGAGGCCATTAAGCTTTTTTTTAAACTATCAACTTTTTTATATGCACATACATACACATATACATGTTTTTTTCTTTCAGCTTGTCACACTAATGAAACAATACAATGTTTACCCGTGTGTCTCATTTATTTCACTAATAAGTATGTTCTCAAGGTGCATCCATTTAGCTATAAAAGTCTACAGTTTACCATTCTTTATGGCTGAGTGGTTTTCCATTGTATAACAATACCACATCTTTTTTTGTCCATTCCTCAGTCGATGGGCATTTAGGTTATTTCCAAGATCTGGCTATTATAAACTGTGCTGCTATAAACATGGGTGCACATATATCTAGTATGTTTTTAATTGTTTTGGGAAGATACCCAAAAGGGGAATAGCTGGGTTGAATGGGACCTCCAATCCTAGTTTTTTGAGGAATCACCAGACTGATTTCCACAGTGGTTGCACCAGTCTGCATTCCCACCAACACAGGAGAAGAGTTTCTTTTTCCCCACAGCCTCTCCAGCATTTGTTATTAGCTGATTTCTTAATACTAGCCATTCTTTCTGGGATAAGGTGGAATCTCAGTGGTTTTAATTTTCATCTCTCAAATGACCAGTGATGGTGAACATTTTTTTCCACATATTTATTTGCTGTTTTTATTTCTTCATCTGAAAAGTGTGTATTCATCACAAATGCCCATTTTGGATTGGATTTTTAAATCTGGGAGGACTGATTTGTCCTAGTTCTTTATATGTTCTTTATATGTTTCCTTTGTCTGAGGAACACATGGAAAACATTTTCTCCAGCATTGTGGGTTGTCTCTTGTTGATTTCTCTAGCTGTGCAAAAACTTTTCAGTAGGATGAGATCCCATTTGCTGATTCTTTGCAATAAGTCCTGTGCAATGAGTTTTTTAATAAAGACTGCCTATACCAATGTCTTCAAGAATATTATCTTTCAGCAGATTTAATGTTTGTTTTAATATTACGATCCTTGATGCATTCTAATTTTAGCTTAGTACATGGTAGAAGATACAGGTTCTGTTTTAATCTTCAGCATGAGGGAAGCCAGTTTTTCCAATACCATTTATTTATTTATTTAGTCTTTTTCCTTTTTATCGGTACCAGGGATCGAACTCACAACTGCCTGCTTGAAAGGCAGGTGCTTATGCCGCTGAGCTAAATCCCCAGCCCCTCCAATACCATTTATTAAAGAGGCTATCTTTCTTCCAATGAATGTGTTTGGCAACTTTGTCAAACATAAGATGGCTTACTGTATATGCAGTTGTTTCTGCATTTTCTAATCTATTCCACTGATCATCAGGTCTGTTTTCTGCCAGTATACAGTTTTGTTTTGTTATCACAGTAGCTTTATAGTATAATTTCAAGTCAGGGATTGTGGATGTCCCATCTTGTCTTTGTTGCCCAGGATCACCTTTGCCATTCTAGGTCTCTCTGGTTCCAGATAAATTTTAGGATTGTTTCCACTAATTCTGTGAGATATGCTATTGGAGTTTTGATTGGGGTTGCATTAAATCTGTATAACAGTTTTGAAACTATGGCCATTTTCACTGTATTGGTTCTTCCTACCCAAGAGCATGGGATATCTCTCCATTTTCTAATATCCTCTTCAATCTCCTTTTCCAGAGTACTATAGTTTTCAATGTAGAGGTCCTTTACATCCTTTGTTAAATTGATTCCTACGTATTTCACTTTTGGGGATACTACTGTAAAAGCTACTGTTTTCCTGATATCTTTCTCAGTGAGTTTGTTATTCATGTACAGGAAGGCTATTGATTTTTAATTGTAGCCAGTTGTGTTATTAAATTTGCTTATTAAATCTAAAAGTCTTTTGGTGGAGCTTTTGGGGTCTTCTAAGTAGAGTATCATGTCATCTGCAAATAATGATAGTTAAACTTCTTCCTTTCCTATCTTTATTCCTTTTATTTCTTTCTCTTGTCTAATTGCTCTGGCTAAAGTTTCTAGGACTATGTTGAGGAAGAATGGAGACAATGGACATCCTTGTTTTGTTCCTGATTTTAGAGTCAAAGCTTTCAGTTTTTGTCCATTTAGTATGATGTTGGCCATTGGTTTGTATTAGATAGCTTTTACCAGATTGAGATGACCAGCTCTTCCGTAGGGTTTTTATCATGAAAGGGTCCTGGACTTTGTCAAAAAGCTTTTTATTGTTATTGTTGTTTTTATTTCTTTGCACTGGGGATCAAACTCACAAACACGCACCTTCCAGGCAGGTACTTACGCCACTGAGCTAAATCCCCAGCAAATTCTTTTTCTTCTTCTTCTTCTTCTTCTTCTTCTTCTTCTTCTTCTTCTTCTTCTTCTTCTTCTTCTTCTTCTTCTTCTTATGGTGCCAGGGATCAAACTCACAACCTCGTGCTTGCTAGGCAGGCACTATAGCTGCTGAGCTAAATTCCCGGCATCATCACACTATCTTTTTTTTTTTTTTTTTTTTTTTTTTAACCAGGGATCAGCCTCATGACCTTGCACTTGCCAGGCAGGTATCTGTGCTGCTGAGCTAAATTCATGGCCCTTGTCAAAAGCTTTGTGTGGGCTGCGGATTTAGCTCAGCAGTATGAGTGCCTGCCTGGCAAGCACAAGGTTGTGAGTTCAATCCCTGGTACCAAAAAAAAAAAAAAAAAAAAAAAACATTTTGTGCATCTATTGCAATGATCATATAATTATTGTCCTCAGCTCTGTTAATATGGTACATTACATTTATGGATTTACATATGTTGAACCATCCCTGCATCCCTGGGATAAATCCCACTTGATCATGGTATACAATCTGTTTGACGATTTGCTGCAATCTGTTTGCAAATACCTTAAGGATTTTGCATCAATGTTCATTATGGAGACTGGCCTGTAATTCATTTTTTTAGTTGGGTCCTTTTCTGGTTTTGGAATCAGAGTAATGCTTGCTTCCAGAACTGAATTTGAGAGTACTGCTTCCCTTTGAATTTCATTAAAGAGCTTGAAAAGTAGTGGTCTTAGGTCTTCTCTAAATTTCTTGTAGAATTGAGCAGTGAATCCATCATGGCCTATACTTTATTGATAGGTTTTTTTTTTCCCCTGTAAGAAACACATCTGTTTAGCCCAGACCAGTCTTGAGGATCTTGTGGCATCATCAGGCTCAGGTGAGATACACACAAAGGTACTGTTATAACTCGGGCCCCGGTATAAAATCCAAGGAAGCAAGAGACCGAAAATTTAGGTAGCAAAGGCTTTATTTCCAGGCCTGGCGACGAGTCTCCGGGAGCCAATTTGGAGACTGTGTCCCAGAGACTGAAGGGAGGACTTTAAAAGGAGGCTGGAGGAAAGGGGGGGGGGGGGGACAAAGAAACCTGCAGAGCCATCAAACTTGTTGACCCGAGTCTGGAAACTGTATTGCTGTCCACTTAGCTCTGACAATCTCAGGAGTTCCTGGTGTTTCTCAAATTACTCCCATCCTACAGACTGACATTATCTCGGAGTGGCACATCTGCAGCAATATTTGGAGAAGAAAGTGGAGAGTTAATTATCCCAGGACAGCTCATTTTCGCTAGTGGGTGCGAAGGGGTCAAGAGTTACAAGAAGCTGAAACTTAAGTTTTACAAAGATCTGATGTCTAACTCACTTGATGCATACAGAACAAAAAGAAAGCACCGATTGGGGTTTGGGCCATAGTATTTCCTGGTAATTTCTTTGAAGCTAAACAGTTCTTAAAATTGGGGCAGGCTCATTTAATGACAGATCATCACCGGGTCGGGAAGAGGTCAACAGAAACCCAAATTCTTTATGGCCTAGTCTAGATAGATAGGTAAGGGGAGAGGGAGGCAATAAGGCACCATACAGAACAGAAAACGGCAGTTATGTATTTTTCTTCTTTCTGGGAAGGGAATCAAGGTCAGGTAAAGGGTTAAACTCATAAGCAAATCTCTCTGCACACAAGCAAGTTACTTCAAACAAATGTAAATTAGTGGGCCATCCTAGTTTTCTTTAGCTCTTTAGCAGAAAATAGAGGCACCTAACAGTGATTAACCAGCTTGTTAGCTTGTTTTAGCACAACTTCTGTAGTTTGTAGAGGGCAACAATGGTTAACATATCAGGTGAGATTCTTGCAATTCTTTACAGAGGAGAGTATTGCTCAACATATCAATTAGGTCACTTAACATATCAGTTAGGGAAAAAGGATAAAAAAACACATTTAGTAAGCCACGTTGCAGGTTTGCTATAATACACATATAAGGATGCTATTTTCTTAGAGTACAACAGGTACTTTACCTGGGTAATGCCCATCACCAGGTGGCCAATCTCCATCAGCACAACTAGCAAGATGTATGACATCTGCAAGTGCAGCAGATTGGGACGAAGGGTAGGAAGTGGCATGGTTATAACATTAAAATGTTCTCGGATACAGACATAATTCTCTACCTATGGAAACCTGACCCTTACCACCTAAAAAAGAACAGAGGTGCTGAGACTGATAAACACAATTACCAAGTGAGATGTTCCCCTCCAAAACCGCAGCGAGGCTGAATAAAAGACCAACACACAAGACCACCCCAGAATACTCTAGCCATTCAGTACCTGCATCACTGCCAGCCCCAGGCAGGGAGCTGAGAACCCACAGTGCATACACCTCTATTTCTTCTGCTTCTATTTCTACTTGTGGGAAAAAGAGTAAAACAACTGCTGGGCCACACCTGCTTTCAGATGCCCGGTGAGAATTTCACTGGGACATGCCCTGACAGATTCATCTCAACACACATGAACAGACAGCAGGCTGCAGAGAGAAGGCAGGATGAGCAACCTGGCCTGTGGAAAAGACTCAGGTTAGTGCTGTCCACACACTCACTTCAGATATGTGCTTGGTAGTACATCATTGTCTTATCGATAGGTTTTTTTTTTTTTTCCTTTTTTATTGGTACCGGGGATCGAACTCACGACTGCCTGCTTGCAAGACAGGCACTCATGCTGCTGAGCTAAATAATCTCCAGCCCCTATCCAAAGGTTTTTAATTACTTTTTTTTTTTTTTTGTCTTTCTGAACAGGGTCTCACTATGCAGTTCAGGCTGGCCTTGCATTCACTTTGTAGCCCAGGCTGGTCTCAGACTTGCAATGATCCTCCTGTCTCAGCCTCCTGAGTGTTAGGATTACAAGAGTGCGCCACCACGCCCGGCTTTTAATTACATGTTAAATTTCAAGTATTGATATGGGTTATTTAGGATTTTTATATCTTCTTTGTTCGGCTTTGGTAATTCATATGGATCTAGGAATCTGTGCATTTCTTCTGTATTTTTCATTATAATACAAGTTTTTAAAGTAGGAATAGATGATTTTCTGGATTTCTACAAGGTCTATTGTGGTTTCGCCCTTTTCATTCTTAATTGCATGGATCTGAGTCTTTTCTTTCCTTTTTTTTGATAAGGTTGGCCAAAGCTTTATCAATTTTAATCTTTCAAAGAACCAATTCTTCAATTTATTAATTCTTTGTATTGTTTTTTTAGTCTCCAGTCTGCTAATGTCTGCTCTGATCCTTATAATTTTCTCCCTTGTATGAGCTTTTGGTTTAGTCTGCTCTTCTTTTTCTAGAAGTTTGAGGTTCAACATTAAGTTGTTTATATATTCTTGCTCTGTTTTTCTGATATGGGTATTTGTTGCTACAAATTTCCTTCTTGAGACTGCTTTCACTGTGTCCTGCAAGTTCTGGTATGTTGTCTTTATCACTCAACTGTAAAAAGTGTCTAATTGCTTCTTTAATTTCATCTGTGACCCACTGATTGTTTACTAGGGTGCTATTTAATTTCCATGGATTGATGAAGTACTTGTGGTTTCCTTTGCCAAAGGTTTCCAATTTCATTGCACTGTGATCTGATAGTATGCATGGGATAATTTCAGTTCCAGTGTATGGTGTGTTTTGGAGAATGTCTCATGTGTCCCATGTCTGATGTTGTGGAATGAAACACTATAGACATCTTCTAAATCCGTTTGCTCAAAAGTTTGATTTAGTTCTGATATTTCATTATCTTTTTGTCCAGTTGGCTGTCTTTTTGTGACAGCAGTGTATTCTGGTCTCCCAATACAGTTGTACTAAGGCTTGATTTTTCATGTCCATTAATAATTGTTTTATATAACTGAGTGCACTGATCTTTGTTGAATACATATTTATGATTATCTCTTCCTCTTGGATTGTTCTCTTTACCAGGATATAGTGACCTTCTTTATCTCTCTTAATCAATCTTGGCTTGAAATTCACTGTTTGCAAAGAGAATAGCAACCCCTGCTTTTTTCTGAATTCCTGTTGTATAGAGTATTGTTATCCATCCTTTGACTTTTAGTCTATAAATCTTTTTGAATTACATGTGTTTCTTGTATACAGTATACTGTTGGATCTTACTTCTTGATCCATTCTGCCAGTCTGTGTCTTTTGACTGGTGAAATAAGACCATTAACATTACTGGTTAAAATTGCTATGTATTGACATCTTTGTCATGTTATTTTCCTATTATTGCTCCCCTCCCCCGCTTTTTCCCCTTTCCCTCTAATTGTCTGCCTTTCCTGGTGGATTCCTTCTGTTGGGGTTCATGGAGCTGTAGTTCTTATAATCCCTTTGTAGAATGTCCTTCAGAACATTTTGAAGTGCTAGTTTAGTGGTCATAAATTTCCTCAGATGGTCTTTGTCATGGAAGTATCTTATTTCTCCATTAATTTTGAAACATAGTTTTTCAGGGTACATCAATCTGTGTTGAAAGTTGTTTTCCTGGGGCTGGGGATTTAGCTCAGCGGTATAAGCACCTGCCTTGAAGCAGGTGGTCATGAGTTCAATCCCAGTACCAATTAAAAAAAAAAAAAGCTGTTTTCTTTTAGAACTTGGAGTACGTCACTCCAAGCTCGCCTTGACTTGATAGTTTGTGCTGAGAAGTCAGCTGTAATTTTTTTTGTCTTTTTTTTTTTTTTTTATCATTACCAGGGATCGAACTCATGATCACACACTTGCAAGGCAGGTGCTTATGCCACTGAGCTAAATCCCCAGCCCCTCAGCTATAATTCTGATAAGCTTTCCTTTATAAGTGACTTGTTTTCCCTGAGAGCTTTTAAGATTCTATTCTTGTGCTGAATTTATGGCATCTTGACTATGATATGCCTGGATGTAGTGGTTTTTTTTTTTTTTTTTTTTTATGGATGCTAATTGGAGTTCTATATGCCTCACGTATTTCTGTCAAATTCTTTTTTTCTACCAGGAAAGTTTCTGACATGGTGTCTGTAAGGATGTTTTTAATGTCATTTGTGGTATGTCCTGTTTGTGCATTGACTGGAATTAATGTTAAATTATTTTTCTTTGTCTCATCTAGCAGCTGCTGGATTGATTTTTCATGGTTCCTTGCTAGTTTTGATAAATGCTTTTCCCCCCCCCCTGGTCACTAACTGCAAGCCTGTCTTCGGTATCTGAGATCTTGTCCTCACACTGGCTTAATCTGCTTCAAAGATTTTCAGTATTGTTTTTATTCTCCTGGATATCTGCTTGAATCTGCTTTATGGATTCCATTTCTTTCCTATATTGTGCTTCCATAATTTGCTTAAGCGCATTTATTTCTTTGTCTGTGTTTGCTCTAACATCAATACTTTTATGTGTACTTTTATAATCTCTGTAGTTACTTGAGAGATTATTTCTAATTTCACTTTTTCCAGACCTCATTCAATTGCTTTGTTACCACTGTGGAGAGACTTGGTAGGGTGCTTTTGGATTTTCCAGCCTCATTGCCCACTGGGTTTGCTTTTGGTGAACTGGGTGTCTGAGGTTGTGTTTTGTTTAAGTGTCTTCTCATTTCTTAAACTGAATAAAACAAGAAAAAAGGAAAAGAAAACAAAAAATAGTCCACTTCTGGGACTCTCTTTGGATGCACTGATAGAGAGCCTGTGAAGACAGCTTCCCAAATCATGCCACTGTTTCCTTGCAAGCCAGGAGTTGCTTTATGACCAAGTAGTAGACAACCTTAGCAGGTCTGTCCTGAGACCAGGCTCATTGGGCTTGTTGCAGTCCAAGTGATTTCCAAGGTTCTGTGCCCAGCCAGGAGCTACTGGAGGAAGCTGGCAAAGGTTCTGGTTCTGGTTCTGGGTTTATCTGGCATACTCCAAAATGGCTCCCAGCCAATTGCTCCCTCCCGCGGGAGGACTGAATCCTCTGCACTCACTGCCAGCCAGTACTGTATGCTGCTGCTCCCCTCCACTGCTGAGTCTCTCTGCAAAGGCTTCTGGGGTCACCAACTGCCACTGTTCCTGTGACCACAGGTCCCTCATGCAATGAGTCTGGCTCCATGCAAAGGCGCCACCAGCTACCACCTTCTTCCTCATTGAAGTTTTTCTTTTTATTCTCTCTGTGGGCTTCAATTCAGACTGTAGAATTCTTGTCTTGTGGGTATATTCCCATGTATAGATGATGTCTCTCAGAGAGACTGTTTTCTCTGCTGCTTACTACTACTCTGCCATCTTCCAGGAAGTCTTGTGGGGTTTTTTTGTTTTTTTATTTTTTTCTGTCTTTCTGAGACAGGGTCTCACTATGCAGTTCAGGCTGGTCTTGAACTTGCAGCAGCCCTCCTGCCTCAGCCTACCAAGTGCTGGCATTACAGGCATACACCACCATGCCTGGGGTCAGGAATAGATGGTTTTTATTTCAATTGCCATTTATGACAAACCAACAGCCAATGTCATTATAAATGGAAAAAACTGAAAGCTTTCACTCTAAAATCATGAAAAAGACAAGGCTGACACTATTACCACTCTTAAGTAAAATAAATCAGAAACTTATTTATTTATTTATTGGTATCGGGAATCAAACTCATGACCTGACACTTGCCAGGCAGGCACTGTGCTGCTGAGCTATCTCTCCAGCCCCTGCACATGTCTAAATACTGCATTATTTCTCTGGTAAGGGAAACCAAAAATGTAAATAAGAACCAAAATATATAATAGATATTGGGAAATGAGAAGAATATATTCAAATGGGATGGGGAACAAGATTGGGAAGGGGAAAAGGAAGGAAGGGACAAAAAAAAAGAATGGAAAAAAATTAAAACAAAGCTTTAGTAAATAAGGAGGACAAGGAGGTGAAGGAAGGGAAGGGGAATGAGAAAAAAAAACACAAGACATATGTACAGGTACAAATTCCCTATAATGAATGTATATCTAAAATCACTGTATCTAAAATGTATATCTAAAATCACTATATCAAAAAACCTAATTAAAAATATTAATATCTATTAATAGGTGCTGGATTAGAAATTAAAAATGAGTTGTGATGGCACATGCCTGTAATCTCAGCACTAGAGAAGCTGAGGCAGGATGATCTCTATAGGTCTGAGTAAAACAGCCTAGACTGTGCAAGTTAGCAGTTTAATGAGACTTCCCATCTCAAAAACAGAGATGGGGATGTAGATCAGTGCAAAATTTCTAGGTTCAGTCCTCAGTACTCAACAACAAAAAACCATTTGGTGGTGGGCATAGTGGCACATACCTGTAATGCCAGCACTCAGGAGGCTGAGTTAGGAGGATCTCTGAGAACTTGAGCCTAGTCTGGGCTATAAATTGAGTTCAAGGCCAGCCTGAATTGCATAGTGAAAGTCTGTTTCAAAAAACAACCAAAAGCCACTTGTTAATATCCCTACTGATCTTATCGTAAAAGTATTTAAAATGTTAGGAAACTCTCTTTTTCCCAAGCTACATCTCTATTTTTACAAGGTACCTTAGTACTTGTCATTAATTAGTTTGAGAAGGTACAACAAGTATCAAATGACAGTAAAAAGCAAACAAACTGTTTTGGTTGGAAAGGATATCAAATAGGCAATTAACAAGTTCTAGCTTACAGGTCACAAATGACAAGTACAAGAAAATCATTTCGGGGGTGGGGATTTAGCTCAGCGGCATAAGCGCCTGCCTTGCAAGCAGGCAGTCGTGAGTTCGATCCCTGGCTACCAATAAAAAAAAAAAAAAAAACCCTAAAAAAATTCTTAAAGAAAAAATGAGCAAAAATAAAAGGGTCAGGTCGTGTGGGTCAGCATGAAAAGCCCTGGGTTCAATCTCTAGTATAAAAACAACATAAAAAAATGAGGGCCAGGGATTAACTCAGAGCCATAAGTGCCTGCCTGGCAAGCGCGAGTCATGAGTTTGATCCCTAGTACCAAATAAAATAAAATTAAATTAAAAATTACTTGAATTCATGTATTCTTTTGGCAGTACTAGGAATGAAACCAAAAGGGTACTCTACCACAGAGCTATATCCCCAGCCTTTTTTTTGAGACAGGGATAATTGCTAAATTGCCTAGTCTATTTGCAACCCCTCTGCCTTGGCCTTCCACAGTATCAGGATTACAGGCATGTGTCACTGTGCCAGGCCCCAGTACATTATTTTATATTGCTGGATTCTTGCATCTGAGGGCTTTTCTTCTGTTTTGGGGTTTGTTTTGTGGTTTTTTGAAACAGGTCTCACTATATAGTTCATGTTGACCTTGAATTCACTATGTAGCCCAAGCTAGCCGCAGAGGTGATCCTCCTACCTCAGCTGCTGGAGTGCTGAGATTACATGCATGCATCATCACACCCTACTCTTGCATCTGTGTTCATGAATGATACTGGCTTGCAGTTTTCTTTTTGTGTAGTATCTTTGATTTTGTTATCAGGTAACAGCATCATAAAATGAGTTTGGGAAATGTCCCTCTGCTTCTACTTTGAAAGAATTTGTGTCAGACCGGCATTATTTCTTCCTCAAATAATTGTTAGAAATCAACAATAAAGCCTTGCGGGCAGAGAGATAGGTGTTTTGTTTTGTTTCTTTTCCTGGGATGGAAGGAACAGGGAAAGGAGGAGTGGCAAGTTTTGCTTTTTTGTTTTTGTTTGATAGCAGGAATGTAACACATGGCCTTGAGCTTGCCAGGCAGGCACTGTGCCACTGAACTGTATCTCCAGCTCATTTTAAATTATGTTTTCCAACTTTTTAATTATTAATTCAACTTCTTCAGTTGATAGAGGGCAAGTTCTCAGGAATGATTTTGTACCTTCCTCAGGACATTTTCGTAACATCTGGAAACATCTGAAGTTGTTAAAACTGCTTGGTGCTTCTGGCTTTTAATGGGTAGAGGGCACAGACGGCTAAACACCTTCACCACATCTTTCCCCAACAACAAAGAATTACCTAACCCAACATGTCAGTAGAGTTGAGACTGAGAAATCATCAGGCTTTTCGAACATTCTAATTCTTCTTGTATGACTTCTGATGATTTTAATTTTTTAAAAGAATTTACCCATTTTCACTTAAATTGTCTTCCCATGAAAGTGTTCAGAATATTCTATTATTGGGCTAGGGATGTAGGTCAGTGGTGGAACACTTGCCTATTATGGATGAGATCCTAGGTTCCATCCTCAGTGCTGAAAATATATACATATACCCTAACACTTCAGAATATTTCAGTAACACCACCACCACCTTTTTGCAGTACTGGGAATGGAACCAAGGGCCTCACACTTCTCACACATGCTAGGAAAGTACCAAAGTTACATCTTCAGTCTTGTGTCACATGCTTGTGTGTGCACATTTGCTCACAGTGGGGGAATGACACAGATAGGGGGCGTGGCAAAATGACTGCGGAAGCAGACATGACCTATTATAAGATCCTGGAACACATTTCTAAGAATTTGAGCAGGATTTCAATGGGATGGCCTGGACCTGATGTTAGCCTGAGTAGAATCCCAGAACTGCTTCTCAGGACCCAGATGTAGAAGTTCTCACAGGTTTCCTCCAGATGTGGATGGTGAAACATAGATACCAAGAGCTTACTATCTGGCTTTCTTCACAATGGCCTGCCCCAGGTCCACTAATGTGTACTTTTTTTTTTTGGAACCCGAGATCGAACTCACCACCTCATGCATGCCAGGCATGCGCTTATGCCACTGAGCTAAACCCCCAGCCCAAGGTGTATTTTTATCTTGCTTTTCCTTTTACTTGGCCCAAACTCACTCTGCAGAGCCAGTTTTCCCTCTTTTACTTGCCAAACCTGGTAATGTTTGGTGTGCCAAATTTTTTTGTTTCTTTTTGAGACAGGGTCTCGCCATGCAGTTCAGGCTGGCCTTGAGCTCACTTTGTAACTCATTTTGTCCTGCTTTAGCCTCTTAAGTACTGGGATTACAGGCATGTGCCACCATGCCCAGAATGGTGTGCCACTTTTAGGAGAGACCTGGTAAAAGTACTAAGAATTAAATCTGGGGTCTTGGTCTTGCTCTGCCTTTCAAACTTTTTTTTAAAAACTGGGCATGGTGGTGCATGCCTGTAATCCAGCTCTCGAAAGTTTGAGGCAGGATTGCCAGGAGTTCAAGGCCAGGCTGGGCTATACAGGGAGTTTATCAGCCTGACCTACATAGTGAGAGACCCTACCTCAAAAAGAAAAACAAAAAAACTTTTAAAAATGTTGCTGGGTGGGGGGCTGGGGATTTAGCTCAGCGGCATAAGCGCCTGCCTTGCAAGCAGGCAGTCGTGAGTTCGATCCCCAGTACCGATAAAAAGGAAAAAGACAAAAAAAAAAAAAAAAAAAAAAATGTTGCTGGGTTATCTTGAATTTGAGATATTCCTGCCTCAGCCACCCAAGTAATTGTAATGATAGGTACATGCCATAAGTGCCTGGCTTATTACCCTTTGAATATCTATGATTGCCAGGTATAGTGAAGCATATCTACTGTCCAAGCACTGGGGAGGATAAAGCTGGTTTTGCCATGAGTTTGATGGTAGTGTGAACTACACAGTGAGACCCCATCTCCAAAAAAAAAAAAAAAAACTATGATAGCCAAGCACGGTGGCTCATACCTGTGGGAGGCTGAGGTGAAGTGGGAGGATCACTGTGGATTCAAGAGTGGTTAGGCCTTGCCTCGAAACAAACAAAACCAAACCCTATGGTAGGGATATGAGAGTCAGCAAAATGAGACCAAAAGTCAGACTCAGCCTGGAGACTTTTTTTTGGTACCAGGGATCAAACTTTTAACTTCGCACTTGCCAGGCCGGCAAATCCCTAGCTAAACCTAGCCATAGAGATTATTTTTTAAACACTATTTTAACACAGTCACCCCTCATTTATTTAAATCTGTTGCTATCAAGTTGAACACAGTAGTCCTCTCTTATCCACAAGTAATACATTCCAACAACCCCAATGGATGCCTGACACCTTGGGTGGTGGTTCTGGCTAATACCTAGATGCACCCACAAAATCTCATGTATTCATAGGTGGTACTTTTTGGGATTAAAGGACTAATCCACTGGTTTAATATGGCTGTGGCTTTGGATGACGGACTTACTGAAGAGGAAAGACCCACCTCAGGTATGGGTGGCACCAATAGGCTTGCAGCCTGAATAGAATAAAAAAGGAAAGACTGAACCTGAACATCGTGAACTCTTTCTCCTCTGCCATGCCCCTCTGCCACACCACTTTGTGTTGGAGCCAGCAGACTATGGACTAAAACCCTTACAGACTGTGAGCTAAGATAAATCTTTAACTTCTGGGTGTTGGGTATTTTGTCCTAGCAACAAGGAAGTAACTGGTAGTGTCCAGTCATATCCATGCTGTATTTTTCTTATATATAATACGTACCTATGATAAAATTTATGAACTGGACAGATTAATATGAATAGAACAATTATAACAAAATACTGTACTCTCATATGCAACCAGAGGTTGCAAACTAGGATGCCAAATCCACAGATACATGTATTTGACCTCTATGCTTTCAAATTACTTGCCCTTAGCCAGGTGTGGTAGTGCAGACCTGTAATTCCAGCACTCCGTTTGGGCTACATAGTAAGACCCTGTCTCAAAAATAAAAAACAAAAGTTACTTGCCTTCATTTAAAAAGTGAAGGCTGGGCTAGGCCGTATATACCCAACATTTAGGAAGCTGAGACAGGTAGATCCTAAGTTCAAGGATATGCTAGACTACATTACAAGACCTTCTTGTCCCCCCAAAAAAATTTTTTTTGAGATATTTCACAGTTTGGATTTCTGCTTCCTTACCGAAAGATGTGATAACAAACACCAAGTCTGCACTCCCATATAAAAACAACTGGTGGAGTACAGAAGCACTTTTCTAATTCCTACATCTCACTTCTATCAGTTACCACTAAAGCAGCTAGGTTTGCAACTGCTAGACCTTTTTTTTTCTCTGTCTCTCTCTCTTAAAATGGTAACCATTAAACACACATTGCTACTTGAATGTGACTTAAAATTAAATAGAATTTAATTCTGTACCTCAGTTACATTATTACATTCCAATTGTTTGACAGTCGCAAATGGCTACTGGCTAGCACAATGCATAGTTCTGGATACCCTACCAGCTGGGGCAGCAAATGGTTTCGTTTTTGTATCATGGGCTGTGGATTGAACATAAGGCTTTGTGGATACTAAGCTTCCATATCTCTTGAACACCGCACAGTACTAACAGTACTATAAGCCTCATCACTATTCACTGTTTTGTGGGACAATATGCCAAACTCTAACATAATGTGGGAATGTGGGCAGTTCACAGCCCTAGTTGTTTAAAGTCTGAAGTTACATTCTGCTATATACAGATTTTTTGGTGGTTCTGAGTATTGAACCTTAGGGCCTTCACACTCATCTGCTCAGATTCCAGTACCCCTCTTTCTACAATGCTATACTTTCTTTGCTTTAGAAAGGAGTCTTGCTGGGGAGGTGCTACATGCCTATAATTGCAGCACCGAGAGAAGTTGAAATAGGAAGAACACAAATTTGAATCCCACTTAAGCAAGTTAGCAAAACCCTGTCTCAAAATAAAATAAAAAGGACTGGAGATATAGCTAAATGGTAAAACACTCCTGAGTTCAATCCCAGTACCAAAAAAATATCTAAATTAGAAGCTAGAGGTATCACTCAGTAACATAGCCGCCAAGCATGAAGAGACTAGGCTCTAGGTTTCATCCTCACACTGCAATAAAAAGAAAAAAGTAAAACTTCCTAGCACTGTAAAAAAGAAAAGAAAAAAAAAAAAAGAGGGAAGAAAGAAGAAAAGAGAAAGAAAAGGAAAAAAAGGAAGAAAGGGAGGCGGGGAGAGAGGAAGAAAGTTCTAAATAAAAAGATCAGGAGTCAGGGTTGCAGATCACAGGATTTTATTAAGACAGAATCTGCTAATTACATTGCTACTTGCGTAAACCCATATCCATGAGGTTCACAAATCAGAAACAAATGACATGTTCAAAATCACAAAAAAACAGCTTGATATCCAGGTGATGAAGGCTGAATAAGTCTGCACACTTATTTCAAGCTATTAAAGAGTTTGTGGGCCACCTAGACAGGGGAAAAAAAAAAATCATCAATTGGCAGCTTTCATATCATGGATTACAGGGTTCTTTATAACTTACAACAGTTGCCAAGTGTGGTGGTGCACTTGGGGGCTGACACAGGAGAGTTGGAGGCCAGCCTGAGCTACATAATGAGTTCAAGGTCAGCCTGAACTGAGACTCTGTCTCAAAAAATCAATCCTTCAACTGGGAGTGGTGGTACACACCTATAATCCTAGCACTCAGGAAGGTGAGGAAAGATGACGTGCTTTCATGGCCAGCCTGGACTACATAGTAACAAGGCCAGCCTGAGTTATAGCAAGATCCTGTCTCAGAAAAACAAACAATCAACCCATCAATCACAGACCTACAACAGTACTGGGTCCTTTCCCACAACACCCTTTCTGCATTTGAGTCCCACTGAATGCTCTTCACCCAAATCTATCCCTTCTACTGAAACTCTCCCAGTTTTCATCTTGTATTCTTCATTCAAAACTTACAGTTACCGCATGCCTTCCTTAAATAAGCCCCTATCACTACACATATCTATCCTTTTATCTTTCCCACTAAAACTTGTACCTTTCAGGAGGCACGGTGGTGCATGCCTGTAACCCTAGCACTCAGAGTCTGAGACAAGAGGATCACTGCAAGTTCAAGACCAGCCTGGGCTATGAAGTGAGCTCAAGGCAGGCCTGAATTGCATAGTGATACCCTATCTCAAAAAGACAAAAAACAAAACAGAAACACTTGTACCTCTCATCACATGATATAAATATTAGATTTCTTTAATTTTTTTAAAAAAAAAGGGTTTTTCAGACCAGGGATATAACTTTGTGGCATAGTAACTGTCAGACAAGTGCAAGGTCGTGAGTTCAATTCTCAGTACACTCACTGACAAAAAAGAAATTTTTCTTGGCACTACTTGGGATTCAACCAATGGCTTTCACACTAAGCTAAATCTCCAGCCCTTTTTTATTTTGAGACAAGGTCTCCCTACATTGACCAGGCTGTATTGGAGCTTGCAATCATCCTCTTCAGCCTCCCAGAGGATTACAGGTATTCATTTCCACACATAGCTTCATATTACATATTAATTAAACATGCCAGGTGTGGTAGCACATGTCTGAAATCCTAGCACTCGGGAGACTGAGGTGAGAGGATCACAGAGACCTCTTTTGAGGCCATTCTGGGATACATAAGCAAATTCAAAGCCAGCCTGCACTACATAGCAAGATCCTGTCTCAAAAAAACCCCAAACCATATTAATTAAATACTTTGGAGTTGGTATAGTACACCATTCCTAGAGGTATCATACCAGGTCAGTGTATGAAGTGGATGGAGCAAGCTTCTACTCCATCTCCTTGTTCCAAAAATCCATTTACTCTATTATCCTTGAAACAGATGATGTGTCAGATATTAACACTAACATATACAGATGCTCTACTTAGCCAAAAGGCCAAGAAGCAATAAAAATAAGCTAATTTCTAATAGTGATAAGCAAATGAAGATGGGAGAGGGCATGAAGGGAGCAAGCACGTGTCAGTGAATGCCATCCTCAAGTTACACTTGAAAGACTTACCACAGTTTTATCATGTTTCTACTTTTGTCTTTTGTATTGGTCCATAAACTAAGTGAAGGAAGGGACAACGGTTCCATATCCTAAGCCACAGTTTAGCTCATAAGTGTTTAAAAAGATTTGCTAAATGATTACAAAGTGGGAGGCAGTAAATACCAAGAGGGGATGTAATAAGGGTGACTGGCCTATTTTACACATTTCATATAAATACCAGAATCCTGTTGTATATATGAGTCTGTGCCTGACTTACCTCACTTTGCATGTGAGATAAGCATAACACTTATCTAAGATATGCAGCTTAGTGGTGAAACACTTGCCTAACATGTGCAAAGCCCAGGATTCAGTATCTAGCACGACCACCACCTCAAAAAGCGGTAAAATATACACTGAATTTACCACCTTAATCACTGTGTAATGCCATTTCTATGGCATTATGTAACTTGTTTTGCAACTATCGATCTCCAAAACCTCTTCGTTTTTCCAAACTGAAATTCCTGACTCTCTAAACTACAGATCTTCGTTTCCTCTCCCTCCAGCTCCTAATTACCACAAGTCCATCTTCTATCCCTCTGATTGTGGCTATTTCTACCCTCTGGAATATGGCTACTCCAAAAAACCTCATGTTATGATGCAACATTTGTGCTTTGTGACTTATTTCACTTGGCATAATGTCCTTAACAATTATCTGTTGTAGCATGTATCAGTTTCTTTTTAAGGCTGAATAATATCCCACTGTATGCATAAATTTTGTTTACGTATTCGTCCCAAAAGATACTTGGGCTGTTTCTACCTACTAGCTGTTACAACTAATACTTTTTTTTTGCCTTTCTCCTTTTTTATCGGTACCAGGGATCGAACTCACAACTGCTTGCCTGCAAGGCAGGCGCTTATGCCGCTAAGCTAAATCCCCAACCCCACAACTAATACTTCTATGAACAGGGATTTGTTTGAATCTTTATTCCCTATTTTTGGATATGTAATTTAAAAAATGGATGGTCATATGTTAAACCTGTACATACTTAACTTTTGGGGTAAGTACCTGACTGTTTTTCACAGTGGCTGTACCAATTTATATTTCTACCAGCAGCATATGTGGTTTTCAGTTTCTCCACATTCTAATACTTACTTGTCACTCTGTGTGTATACGTATGCATGTTGCTTAGGATCAAACCCAGAAACACTCATGCTTGCTTTTGTTTTGTTTTTGGTCTTTTTTCATTTTTATCAGTGCCAGGGATCGAACTCACGACTGCCTGCTTGCAATGCAGGCGCTTATGCCACTGAGCTAAATCCCCAGCCCCCTTTTTTTGTCTTGAAAAAGGATCTCACTATGCAATTCAGAATGGCTTTGAGCTCACTTTGTAGCCCAGGCTGGTTTCAAATTTGCAAGATTTTTCTGCCTCAGCTTCCAGAGTGCTGCAATTATAGGCATGTGCCACCATGCCTGGTTCACTCGTGCTTTTATTTTTCCTGAGGCAAGGTCTCACTATGCAGTTCAGGCTAGTCTCAAACTTACAGTACCCTCCTGCCTCAGCCTCCTGAGTGCAAGGATAACAGAAATGCACCACCACGCCCAGGTAACATGTTCTCTTGACGTGATTTGCCTTTCCTGATAGGTAATGATGTCAAATTTGGTTTTGGCACTGAGGATTGAACGAGGGTTTCTCATATGCTAGGCCTATACTCTGCTGCTTACTATACCCCATCTTGTCATGTATTTCCTGGCTACCCAATCAGTTTTTATTGTTGTTGTTTTATAGTTCTGGGGACTGAACTCAGGGAATACTAAGCTACATGTCCAGCCTCTCTGTTTAAATTTTGAGATAGGGTCTCAAACTTATGAGTCTCCTACTTCAGCCTCCCGAGTAGTGCAATTATAGGCATGTGCCACCATGCTTGGCTCCTCATTAGTTTCAAGCAACCCCATCGAACTTTGCCTGTGTATAATTTGTAGTATATGAAAGAATTAAGCACAATTTTTTTTAAAAATAAAACTTCGCAGACAATTATGTAAAAACATACTGTGTCTGCACAGCCTGAGACCCTGGTTTGATACTAAAAACTACAAAATAAAAAAGCAACAAAAGCCAGCTTTTCTATTTAGCATTGAAGTCATGATGCCTTTATTTTTCTGAATCTATTTTTATCTGTAAAGTGGGAATGATACCTACCCTCCAGTGGAAGTGGCAAAGTTCAGACCAAATTATTCATGTAAAATGCTATTCTTTCTTTCTTTTTTTGTAAAATGCTATTCTTGACATAACAAGTTCACAGTTGACACTTGCTGACGGGCAGACCCTAGCATAGAAAGACTGCAAGTGCCAAGTTCTCTGACCACTATAAGCTTTCACTGTCCAACTCTGGACTGACTTACGCAGTGGTCCCTCGCATGCAAGAAGTCAAAGAGCTCCTCCGTGCAATCCTCTTCTGTATGTGATCGGGAAGAGACACGTTCATCACAGAGCTCTAGCCGCTCCCGTGCCTTCACACATTTCTCCAGCTGCTCACATTGTTCTCTCACTGTTGTTAGGGGGTCCTGAACCACAAACAAAAGGAACAAAATGGAGGCTGTAGAGAAGACCCACCAGTCTTATGCTTTGATTAATACAACCTCTAAACCAAGGTGCTGCTTCTGAATTACCATGCAGAAAGCCAGCAGGCAGAGCCAAACTACTGCCAGAAATAGCACAATGGGGTCTTTCACTCAACTCCGATGCTAAGTAGTATGGAAAGATTTCACATTCTTGCCTTCCAAGGTTGCCAGTGTACACTGAACATCTCAGTCCTATTTGAAAAACCAGTGGTAAAGGAAATCCAGCCAAACTTGAAGGAGAACTATCAGAGGTCTTATTTGTTAACACAGCATTATGGAATACATTGTGTTTAAAACTTCAGATTCCCTTGTTTAAAAACCAGGTCTATGTAGAAAATGTTCCTTCCAGAATTATTTCTGTCTGTTTTGTTTTTGGTGGTATTGGCTAGACAAGCATTCCACCACTAAGCTATATATCCTCCCCTTTTTTGAGACAAGGGCTTGGTAAGTTGCCCAGCTGACCTCCAACGTGTTATCTTCCTACCTCAGCCTCACAAGTAGTTGGAATTACAGGTGTGTGACACTGCTAGTCTGAGTTTTCCTGAAACCAAGGCCCTCTAGATGTTCTCTCTTCCCTGGTAAGCTGAAGAAGTCTCAAACTCAGAGCTAAAATAGTGTTTCAGACTTTCACTGCACAGGAAGTTTCTAGTTTTTTGTTTTTGAAACAGGCTATTGGTATGTATCTGAGGCTGGCCTCAGTGATCCTCCTATCTCATCCTGCTGACTGCTGGGATCACAGGTGTGAACCACTATGCCCAGACAGAAAGTATTAAAAGCTTATCCCACTCTCATTTCCTGAAGGTATCATATAAAGACTCCTTAAGGTGCTCTTAGTTTCATAAAGCTCACAATTCTTGTTTTTACTGAGTATTCTAAACCGAACACAGCTCTTACCACTAATTCCTCCTCTTCCTGTTCTTCTTCCTACAAAAGAAAAACAAAAGTAATGTCAGCGATTTTATGACATATATTTCCCTAATCTATACCACATTACAAATACTGAGAACAGATGTTATACTAATCATGTTTTATTTTCTATATTCTATGACATTTGACATCTTAGTAGCCATACTCATTTTGGAGCTACTCTTGCAGTGTTAGCTATCAGAGAAAGCCCACAACTTGCCTGGAGCCCATCTTTTTTATACGCAACATAATTTATCCAAAGCCCACGTAGCCAACCATTTCTTTTATGTAAGTCCCACAATATATGAAGCTCATATTTCCCTTTGCCTAAACTATTCCAGGGATAAAGAAAAATTATGGATGTGCCCTCTCATCTGAAACTTAACAGATTACTCACTATCCAATCCTAAACTTAATGAGGCTTGCCTACCCTGCTTCAGTCATTTCTTCCCACAGAAACAAGAGTATGAGCTACACTTTCCCTAACTTCTTCTGCTCACTTCCCCACATAACCCTGTATTGTGGGGTATACTCTCAGAGACTCTATCTAAGTAGTAGGTCCTTTCAAAGTTAGTTGTCTCGGGGCTGGGGATTTATCTCAGCGGCATAAATGTCTTCTTTGCAAGCAGGCAGTCGTGAGTTCAATCCCCGGTAATGGTAAAAAGGAAAAAGACCAAAAAAAGGTAGTTGTCTTAGGGGGCTGGGGATTTAGCTCAGCGGCATAAGCACCTGCCTTGCAAGCAGGCAGTCGTGAGTTTGATCCCTGGTACCGATAAAAAGAGAAAAAAAAAGGTAGTTGTCTCCATGTCTGTCACTCTATCATACCTGACACAACCCAAAAATATTTCAAAATGGACACTATTTGTTTGTTTTTTACATGGCTGAGGATTAAACCCAGAGCCTTGGATGTGGTAAGCAAACACCATGAGCAGTGCTGGGCTACCACAGGACTCTGTTTCACTAGGTTAACTGCTTTGCCACTAGAGTATATCCCTAGCCCTATTTACATCTATCCATTATTTATTTTTGTAGTGCTGAACACTGAACCCAAGCCTTCACACTGAGTTACATCCCTATCCTTTAAAAAATTTTTTTGTGGCTGGGAATTTAGCTCAGTGACTCAAGCACTTGTCTGTTAAGTGCAAGGTCATAAGTTCAATCCCTGGCACCAATAAATAAATAAATAATTTTTTTAAAATTAGAGACAGGATCTCAAAAAGCTACTCATGCTAGTGTTGAACTTGAGAGTTTTGTTTAATTTAGTTTTGTTTTGGCACCAGGGATTGCACTCATGACCTGGCACTTGCCAGGCAGGCACTTAGGCCACTGAGCTAAATCCCTGAACCCAAACTTTCAGGTTTTATGAGTTTTATTATATTAAACAATGAGTGCT